CCATCGTACAACCGCTTCCTCGCGCTCCGCCTCGGTCGACTTCCTAAAGTCGACCATGCCACGCCTCAGGTGGATCAGCATAACCTCAGCCTTGAGTTCGGTTAGTCTATGTTTGGAAAGTTCCTTTTCGAGCCCTTTCAGCGTGTAACCAGGTAAGCCAAAAAGCCCTACGCGGAGCCTTGTTAGTGACGTGTTGACAGGGGAATAGAATAGCAGCATCATGGACAAAACTTACCGGCAAAGATATTAAATGTGAAACCGCGAAAGGCTTGCCAAGTGCCCTTACCGAAACCCTTGATACCCTCATTCTTTGCTCCCTTGTACGGCTTCACGACGACACCGCTGAATGCATCCCAGCCCCCCAAGGCGAACTCCTTGCCGGCCGTTCGAAGGCCGCTCCCCAACCCGGTGATTTCGTCCCGCCGCCTCACGTCGTGACCCGCAAAGCCGTACGACGGGAAGTTGTGGAAGCCGTTGGCCACGTTGTAGAACACGGCCACCGGTGCCTTGAGCCCGGCCTTGGCCACCTCGATGCCGTAGCGGCCGGTCGCGCGCGTAACCTCCATCGGCCGGCTTCGCTGGCGCTTGCCAATGGATACGAACGACTCCTTCCGCCTCCCTCGCTTCGTCAAGTCCTCCAGCGCGAGCTCGGCGGCGGGGTTGGCGCATCGAAGGGACTTGGTAGCCATCTTCATGGCAACGCTCTTCAACTGCCTCGGCGTCATCGTGTCGCTCCCTGCAATCTGCTTCAGATGTCCATCCGCCGGATTCGATTCCCCATCACCGCTGGGCTCCACCGATGCCTCGCGGGTTGTGTTGATTTCCTCTTCGGCGGGCTTTCCTTGTCCCGGGTGGTCCTCGAAGTCGATGTCGGTTTCGCGCATCCGCACGACTGGTTGAGGGTTACGCAGGCGCTGAGAGTAGTCCGAGGTCGCTGTCCCTACGGCAGTGAAGAAGCCTGCGACGGCTGCGACCAGGCCGATGACGGGGTGCTCTGCACCCTCGTCGACATACCAGTGTTTGTGCTTGAGGAGCTTAAACTCGTGAGGCTTCATGTACCCCTGGTCGATCAGACAGGTAACGGCAAAACTACTCAGGTGGGCGCCTGTCTTCCTATGCCTCCAGACCGCCAGTCGTTCGGGGCAGATGTCGCACCTCATGGTATCAATCGCAAGCCTCTCCTGGATATCTCTCGCCGTGTCGCCCGCACCGTCCTCTTCGGCGATTTGCTGCGCCATTTGCTGCACCGCCACCTGGACCTCGGGTTTCAGCGCAAAGGCGATGCTCGACGCCAGGGTCTCCGCCGTCATCTCTTTGAACGGCACCGGCGCCGGGCCGGCGCCCGCTCGGGCGATCATCTGGCCCCAGAACGGCTGATCGCCGAAGAAAGGAACGACTACCGTGGGACGGCCGGCGGCGATGCCGGCGGCGGACGTCCCGGCGCCGCCGTGGTGGACGACGGCCGAGACGCGCTTGAAGAGCCAGTCGTGCGGGCAGTTGCCGATGAGGTAGACGTCGGCCGGGACGTTGTCGCCGGCCCCGACGCCGCCCCACCCCTTCGACACGATGGCGCGGACACCCGCGATCTCGACGGCCTTGAAGATGAGCTGCGTGAGGGCTTTCGGATCGTCGACGACGATGGAGCCGAAGCCGATGTAGACCGGCGGCGGCCCGCTCTCCAAGAAGGCCGTCAGGTCTGCCGGCGGAGTGTACTTGTCAGCCAAGGGTAGAAAGGAAAAGCCGGTAATGTTGATATGAGAGTCCCAGTCTTTCGGCTTTGGGATGAGAGACTCGGACCAGAGGAACGTGTACGGCACGCGTAACCTGGGGAGGAGCTGGCATCCCCACATAGGGCTGATGTGATCCAGGCCCAGGGTCTGTGAGCGGAATTTGTTGATCACGTCGCCGAGTCTGGGAATCAGAGTTCACATATTAATGATGTACTGGAGAGGGGGAGGGAGGGGGGGGGGGGGGGGGGAGGCTGTGGACAGCATTGTAACTGACCCTTGCCAAGTCAAGAGCTCCATCATGATGAAGGAGAGGTAATTGGCGACGCTCTTATCCGCGTCGCCGTAGCTCATGGACGCCAAGGGATGGTGGAAAGCCTGGGTAGGGCACCACGGCATCGTGAAGACCATGTGCAGCGGCACGCCGAGCTTCTCGGCGCAGTGGATGTGCGCCATTGAGGGCGGGTTGGCGATGATCGCATCGGCGACGAAGAGATCGCTGGCGTCCTTGACGGTGGCGGCCGTCGTGCGCTCGCCCATGCCGTCCCCGGCCTCGATGCAGCTCCGCCACGCGCCGTTGATGATCTCGGCCATCTCTTTCCTGCGCTGCCCGATGTCTCCGGCCTTGACGCTCTCGCGGCTGGGCAGCAGGCCGGGGTTCTTGACCATGTACGCCATGAGCGCCTCCGGGTCGCCGCCGATGCTGAAGAACTCGACGCCGTTGGACTCGACAAACTCCTTGAAGACGGGGTGCGTGCATATCCGGACCCTGTGGCCGTAGGGCGGCTCCATGAGCAGCTGGGCGATGGGGATGAAGGGCTGGATGTCCCCGCGCGACCCGACGATGTGGATGGCGATGTTCAGGCGCGGGCTCGCCGCCGGCGGGTGCTGCCTCAGATTCTCAAAAACAACACTGCTGTGTCTGCGTACCCTGTTTCCATCGTGTTCTCCGCAGCTGTTGTCGAAAGATGGAGGCGTGAAGGCGCCCTGGGCGTTTTGGAACCAAGCCGCCAAAGTCTGGGGATTCTCGTGGAACCGGACCTTGACACGGCCATCGTTGCCGACATTGCCGGTGGTCGTTGTATCGGATCGGTCACTGCTGCCCAGCTGGATATGTCCCAATCCCTTAGAGGTGACGCGGCTGAGTGACATGACGGGGATCTGACAGGCCCAGAGCCTGTCTGGCCTTTGGGCTGTCGATGAGGGGATGCTTGAATGAACCGTTGTGTGATAAATCTATTATCACGATGAGATGAGGAGTTATAAATCTAGCGGTCAAGCTGCCAACTCATCCCGGCGGACTCTTTAACGATCACGTGTGTCATCCAGCCGCCGAGTGGCCGTTCCTCTCACTCCCGACGCTGCCGCTTTCATCCGTTCGTTGCTGAGATGCCCAAACCGTCATCCGCGCAGGCGCTAGGTTTTCACCTTAGCGTCGTCCTTAGCCCTGTGGATCAATTGAGATATCCATGCTGATTTACCAAAGATGACTTAAGGGTTTACGCTGTTTGCGGTTAGTCTCAGACAACTAACATGTGCTGTACGGGCCCCCCTGGTCTTGACTCGCAGCCCTGTTCCTCGCTTTCCACCCCTCTACGACGTATTAATTCTGTTTCCTGGGCCTAATCCACTGGTTTTGCCGTTGTAGATAGGAGGGCCCTATCGGATGGGTAGGAGACATCGGCAGCCCCGAACTCCCGGTTCACCGGCCAACAGATACCCCCGGGAGTCCTTCTCGCCTGCAGGCAACATTCTTAAAGTGCTTGTGATCTATCGCACGGGTTCCAAGATACACCGCTGGTGCTTGGGTGAAGTGCTTCTTGGAATTGCCGTGATCATCCGGATTGTTTGTGTGCCAAACCCGTGATGAAAAGCCGGCAGAAGCGGAAAACACATCATACCTCGACCAAGGCAGCGAGTCCGGATTACCCGGTTCTTGGAACCGAGTACCGCGGCAAACCCTGTTCGCTGGCCGCGGGATCATAGCCTGCAACCGGACGAAGTGCGTGCTCTGTATTTTCGTGCTTACGGCTGGCATCGGATGCTGGCAAATGCCCTGTTATTTCTGGATTGATCGATCTCGCATACCACTGCGTTTTGGGCGTCCCCGGCGGCGGGGGCAATACTACTTGCTTATTAACCACGTTAGTGAAAAAAGACTCTTTGATAGAGAGAATTAAAACATAGAATAAGTAGCGTAGCAAGGAATATAGAAATAGCTAGCCTTGGTTCAACCACAGGGCAAAGTAGGGTGTCGCAACTTATTATTAATGTGTCAGCTATTAGGCAAATCTTTCTTTCCAGGCATAGCTGCCGGCAAAGGCAGCTGAAACCGAGTAGGAATCAATCAATCAATCAATTAATCGTACAAAGGCTGGCATTGCCTATATACTGACCCGATCCCCAACCCGCCCCCCAATCCAATTTCTAACCTTAACCGGGGTCGGGGCCATTAGGGGGGGCTGCTCTGAAAGTGGTCCAAAGAAGGTCAGCATGAAACGCGTGGCAGAAGAAGATTGCTGCTGGCAGAAGTGGAAGATAATAACTCTTCTTCTACTTTGACGACTGTATCTCGGCGTTTCCACCTCAACTCAATATAATATACTGCGTCGTTGGCTCGCAGGGCTGAAACCCCTGCAGCTGCTGCCGCAGACCCTCTAATACCACCAACTTCTGCTCCTGTTTGGATGGATACTTTTTGGTTACTTATGGTTGATCCTGAAACCTCTCTCTACATAGTAACCACGGACCTGCTTCACCCGTCCCCTGCCAGTCAACTGAGCGACTGACTCTGTACTCCTTATAGTCGATAATAACTAACCCTACTCCTGCCTACCCTGCAATGTTGACTGACTACTTGTTCCCAGTCATCTGCTGTAGCGCTTAGGGTGACGCTGATTTGTCGGTAAGCCAACGCTCCTTGTACAGACCAGAATGCTCCAATACCTAGTCCAGATGAACAGGTGATCGGATTACTCCGACGAATCCATGTGCTTTTGCCATAACTTTTGTCGCAAAAGCCCCCATGGCCGATCGACAAAGGATATTCTTGGCACAAAAAGAAAGGGAACCTGGGTTTGCTTTCGTGACCTTCTCAAGCGCGCTTGGCTATGAAGGCCATGACCTCAATTATCGTCATTTCGGAATGCATAAAGTAGCTTCTCTGCCTGGTTCACTCTCTTTGCATAATGAACTACACTTCTTCACTATTCCATCGCAATAAATACCCCTCTTTCAAGTTTTCTTACTTTCATATCTTTTCTACCTGTCAGCATGCATGTTTCTACACTAGGTCTATGCATTTGCTATATAAGCAGTGCTACTCTTCTTGCCGCCCTTGTACTATCACAAGACGCTACTTATAATATCATTAGATCTCTTGCTGAGCAAGAGGAACCTAAACCTAAAGTATGTCCTAACGCAAATATCCCCTTTTTAAATAAAATACTCTGTTAACAACAAGAAGACTACCCAGCCTCAAGATACACAAATCCCCCCTAACGCAAACATCCCCCATTTTGAGAGCGTGGTACTAGTTGACGGTGTCCAACCCGCCGTAAAGCGAGACAGCGTTAGAGTGAAGTTATCATCTCCTAAGGAAGATCTTGCAACTAGAGAAATACCTATAGAAGGAGTTTCAGGTCTAGAAAGGAGACAAGCAGAAATCCTTGCTCTTATTGCAGCAGCTATTCCTATTGGGATAACTATAGCGGCTTTTTCGTTAGCATTGAGTGCTATCCAAGACGCTCAAGACTTCGATGATGTAAGAACCCTCTGAAAGCTACAACACTATGATCTATTCCTTACAAAAGCATAGGGCCGCAAGAAGTTTACCTCAACCCAAGTAGAGGAGATGTGGGATCTCAACCCTGATTATAATAAATTTCCTGCCGCTGCCTGCTATGATTTAGGCTATCGCCTGGCAAACCCAGCTGGCTTTGATCAATTAGCAAGCATCACTCTTACTGCAGGGAGCAAGAAAGTAGTGTACGTGCTATACTAATTATACTACGTACTGCGAAGCGACTTATCTGACTTTATAAATAATAGGTATGACTGTATGCTTGTCCAGGGCCCAAATCAATTCTTCACCAACGGTGATGGTGGCTCACTTAACGTAAGTGTCAAATATCTTTCCTGGTTATAATCATGTAGTTTAACTAACAAGAAATAGCTTGGCGTTGCCTGCAACCCAGACCGCTGCCCCCGTAGTGAAGTGCATAAGTTCATTGAATCAAAAGTAACCGAACCGCCTGCTAATCCTCCGTGAGTGTGAGAAATTCCAAACACAGTCCATTACATTAGCCTCATAAAAAAAAAAAACAATGCTTCGTGTTGCCCATTGACGAGGACGCCAACTGTATCATGAAAAGCTCCAACCCAGACGCCGGGAGAAGGGGGGAATCAAATATCCATCAAATCTGTCATTATTTACTTGCTGCTGAAATCAGGTGCCAGACTGCTCTTCGTCGCGGCGATCGCCGCCAGTTGAGAGATGCTGGAGTTGTTCGTGATGTCGAAGACCGTCACCTCGGCGCCGAGCTCCTTCATGAGCCAGGATCGGAGCTCGACCGCGGTGAGCGAGTCGATGCCGTACGCGTGCAGGGGCCTCGAGACCTCGAGGTTCGAGACTTCGATGCTGAGCATCCGCGCAATCTTGAGGAGCAGCGCGTCCAGGACGATGCCCTCCACCTCCCCCCGGGAAGCGGCGCCTTGGAGGAGTGCCTTGTGGTTGAGTGTCTTGTTCGTCTCGTCGGCCTTCCCTTCGTCGTCGTTTCCAGTTTGTTGGAGGTGGCTGAAGAGGGGATCCTCGCCCCACGACAGCGTCTGGTAGCCCTCGACGGCGGTCTCTTGTGGCAGCCAGACGCGCGGGATGACCTGTGCCCTGGACACCTCCACCGGCTTGTCTGCAGGGCGGCAGTGGTAGTCCAAGACGGCGTACAACTCCTCCTCCGAGATGTGAGTCCACCCGGCCGAGCGGAGGTAGTCCCAAAGCTCCGGCTTCTCGGCCACGTAGCCCACGCCCTCGACGATGGGGAGGTCAACGGAAACGGCGTTGATGCCTTGCGCGACCATTTTACGTGCCAAGGCGTCTTGGAACGCACCGCCGGCGGCGTAGTTCGCCTGCTCGGGGTTACCGATGATGCTCACGAACGAAGAAAGGAAGACGAAAAAGTCCGTCTTGTCGCCGAGGACGTTGCAGAGGTTCCGCGACCCGTCGACCTTGGGACGGGTAGCTGCCTTCCAGCTGTCGAGTGACATATTCTGGACAAGGTTGTCCTAGCAAAGTGTGAGCTACGAACTCATTGAGAGGATGTGAGCGTTTACAAACCTGTAGGACCATGGATCCCTGAATGCAACCCTTGACGGGCGGCAGGCTTCTCGAAACCTCGTTCATGGTGTTGATCAGAGCTTGCTCGTCTGTCACATCGCATGCCGGCGCGACCACGTTGTCGCACACAGTCTTGAGCTCGTTGACGAGTTCGATCGCGGGCTTCTCAACAGCACCACGTCTTGAAAGGAGGACGAGGTTCTTGGCGCCTCGAGACGCCATCCAGCGCGCGACCGACCTTCCGAGACCACCGAGCCCACCAGCGACGACATACGATGCCTTGGGGTCGAAGAAGCTCGCTGGCTTGCGGCTGGACAAGACCGGTATCACGTCCTGGTCACGGGGCTCCAAGACCACCTTGGCGTTCTGTCCCTCTGACTGTAGTCGGCGGAACGCGTCTTGAGCCTGGGAAAACGAGTAGACGGCGGCGGGCGCCGGCCTGCTTATGCTGCTCCAGTTGGCAGAGACAAGATCGACCATGCTCTGGAACAGGTTTTCGGTAAAGGGAAGATAAAGATCATCGGCCATACAGGAGGCCAAGTCGAAGGATTCCAGGCGGATATTGCGGCCGCGGGGGAGGCGGGCGCTCGAGACGGAGATTTCTGAGCCGATGCTGACTATCCGCCCAAAGGGTGCGACGCAGCCGACCACGTCGTCGATGAGTCCAGGTGCGTCGGCCGTGGTAACGACAAGGTTGAGTCCGTGGCCCTCGGTGATGCTCTGAAGCGACCATCTGAGTGAGCTGTCGCGGCCGCTCAAGATATGTTCCTGTGGAATGCTACAAAGCGCGGCGATCGTATCGCGCTCCGTCCGGTTGTTGACAGTCGCATAGACTTTGGCATCTTGCAGCTTGGCAATCTGAATGAGGGCCTGTCCAAGAGAGGACGCGCCATCCTGAATCAGAACGGCGCCGCCTTTTCGAAGGGATCCAAACTGGCAGAGAACCGCGTAGGCGGTGGTGTAGTCCGCCGGGAGAACTGCGCCATGAGCCCAGCTCACACCGTCGGGCAGTTTGGCAAGGAGTCCGTCCGTGGACCGCACATGGGTTTTGGTGGCGCCCGAGGTGGTCAGACCAAAGACCCGATCGCCGGCTTGGAACCTGGACGAGGACCCGGCCTTGGTGACGATGCCCGAAGCCTCACACCCCAGAGGCGATTCGTCTGTCTTCCCAAGCGCCGAGGACAAATCCCTGGGCATGAGCCCGCAGGCCATGGTCTTGACTTGGACGTCGTGGTCGCCCAATGGCGTGTCGAATGTGACGTCGTCCTCGAACCTGAGCGAATCGAGATGCCCAACATCTCCCACCTGTAGAGCCAGAGGCCGGGAGGTATCGTCGCCTAGGGGCCTGTTCACCACGCTCGACGATCCCGTCTGGGCTCGGAGGTGCTCCGTCAGATACTTTGCTTGGACAAGCCGAGGCACGTTGACGATGCCGTCAATGATTCTGAACGAGTTTTCTGCGTCCCCTTGCGCGTTTCGGAGTATCTGGACGCACTTCTCCACGACGGTATCTTCGCTTGCGGCCGCCGCGAAGGACGCGGTAAGGAACTTGACGTCGGGCCTCTCTGCGCGAACGACCCTGGCAAGACCCGTAACAAGCTCTGCATTCGGGTCTGGCGCCGCAGCCGTGCCTCCGCGGGTGACCCAGAGGATGAGCTTGCTCTGAACAAGGACTTGCTTGAAGCTCTCAAACATCTCCTCCGTCATGTCGGCCAGACACGGCTTGTCAAATTCGGATAAAACGACACATGCCGAGCCTGCCAAGCTTTTGGTGGCCATGGCCTCGGCCGTGGTGACGTCGCAGGGTCCATACTGGCCGATAATTTGCGACATTTCTTTGGCCACCTTGACCTGCGCAGGCGTACCACTCGTTAAGACGTAACTCGGCATCAACGACGCGGCTGTCTTGTCCGGCTGGGGAACGGTCGACACCATAATCGAGCTCATCTGGTACGGCGACGAGGGGAAGTCATGGAAGATGGCGTCGATGCCGCTGAATGCCGCGTCGGTCAAGTGGTGACTCCACGAGACGGGCGACATCAAGGGACCCCAGATGCGGTCCTTGTCCTCCGACAGCCACCACCCGGGAAGCACGCCGAAGCAGAAGCTCCCGAGCAGGACGTCGGTGTTGGTGATCTCGAAGAGGAGGAGCCTACCACCGGGCTTGAGCAGCCTTCGGGCGTTGCTCAGCGTCTCGTCTATCTTCTTCGTGGCGTGCAGGACGTTGGCCGCGACGATGACGTCGTACCGGCCGGCCTCGAAGCCCTGCGCCAGGGGGTCGTTCTCGACGTTGAGCACGCGGAAGTTCATGTGCGCCAGCTCGTCCTCGAAGGTCTCCTTGGCCTGTTCGAAGAAGGATGGCGAGATGTCGGTGAAGTCGTAGCGCTTGTAGCGGCGGCCGTCCCGCGTCAGCGTCGCCATGACGGGGCGGGTGGCGCCGCCGGTGCCGCCGCCGATCTCGAGGACCTCCATGGCCGGGTTCTTGTGGGCGAGGGCGTCCAGGTAGCTGCAGAGCTGGGCGTAGCAGCGCTTCGAGCCGAGGCCGTTCTTGTAGACGTCCTCGGCCAGCTTGTCCTTGAAGATGACGTCCAACGGGTCGCGCTTCCCGGCGAGGATGTCGTCCAGGGCGTTGCCGACGGCGATGATCAGCTTCCCTTCCGAAGCGCCCGAGGCCTCGACCCTGGCCTCGAGGTCGGCGATGGCCTCGCCTGCCGCCTCGTTCGAGGATTGGCGCACGACGTGCTGGAACCAGGAGGCGTATCGTTGGTGGTACCAGGCCATGTTAGCAATCGTGTCCTTGGACGTGCCGAGGACGTAGCGACGGATGTACGCGAGACACAGCGCTTCGCAATCCTTCATCCACCGAGAAGGGTCGTCTTCCGCCGCCATCGGTAGGTCGAACAGCCTGGAAGCCTGTTCTCTGCTGAGGAGGCTAGGGTCTGGCTTCCATGCGATGTTGTAAGCGGGGTGCGCCGACGCGTTCTTGGCCTCCTTGGACGCCTCGTGGGAAATGGTCCTGAAGAGCAGGCCCGACATGCGGACCATTGTTTGGCCTTGCTCGGGATGTGTGGCCGTGACTTCGGCCGTCATCTCGTTCCGGCCGCGAAGCTTGGACTCTGCCGACACATTGTATGAGTCGTGGAGAAGGTCAGGACGCGCCGAAACCCATCCGTCAGTCAGATAAGTCGGCACCCTGGTCGAATGAGAATGCTTGGCGTTGGAGACCAGCGGGACGACGTTCGCATGGACGACGGCATCGAGAGTGGCCGGGTGTACCAGATGGGGCTGGACGTACTGATACGGCATCACCTTCTTGATCTTCTCGCCGGGCGAATCAACCGTGGCAACCATGTTGAGATCCTGCCCGAGGCGTACGTTGCTCAAGGTCTGGAAGGTCGGGCCGAAGTGTAGCCCCGATTGTGAAAGGTTGCGGTACAGCTTGTCGACAGACACCCCAGTCGTGTACCCGCGGCTATCGCTTATCTGGTTTCCTTGGGGGCTGGGAAGAACAAGATCATCGTCGAGCTCGTACTCGGTTTGCACGAACCCGTGGCAATGTTCTCTCCACTCGCCGTTCTGCAACGTCCAAAGCTCGAACTCTTTCCATGCAGAGGGAGCCGAGACGCTTGATTCCCGGTGTTGGCGGAGGTAGAACTGCGACTCCACGCCGTTTGCATCGTCAGGCACGCGTAGGGCAAGTTTGAAGGAGACGTCCCGGAATCTGAATCCTTTCAGGGTCTTGGTCCTGTCGGCGACTTGCCGGCTCGCCTCTATGGCCATCACGAGCATGCCAGCAGCGGGGTACAACACATCTCCCGAGACTTTGTGGTCTTCGATCCACGGGCTCTCCGTCAGGCGGATGTAATTACGCCACGTCCCGTTGTTCTCGTTGAAGCCCGGCATGGGGGCCCCGAGGAGCTCGTGCCGGCCGGCGTGCCTCTTGCGATGGTGGTCGCTCAATGTGCTCTCGACCCAGTACTCTTTCGAGTGGTCGAACGGGTACGACGGGAGGTTCGTCAGCATGAGAGGCCTGGGCCCGTGTGGCTCGTCCGCCTCGTTGACTTGGGCAAGGCGGACGCCGTATCCCTGGCAGAAGAGGGAGCCGGCGACCTCGAGTGTGGTTTCCACAGCCGGCTTTTGGCGACGCAGGACAGAGTGGTAGTCGACCTTGGACGTGCCTCGGACTTGCTTGGTTGTGCTGGACAGCGGTCCCTTCAGAGCACTATGAGGGCCAATCTCGAGGAAGTCGGTGATGGGGTCCATCGCGGGCTCGTCGCCGTTGACGCCGTTGACGCCGTTGACGCCGTTGACCTCGTTGACGTGGCCGTTGACTTTGGGTTGCGACGATCCTTTCAGCATCTCGGCGACAGACTCTGTGAATCTCACAGGCGACACCAAGTTCTTGACCCAGTAGTCGGGTTGTCGAAGCTGGGAGAGCGCTATGGGAGCGCCAACCGTCGACGAGTAGAACCGGGGTTCGAGCGGGCTTTTCAGAACGCCTTGCTCCAGCTCGCCCATCGCCCGGAGATACTCGTCGGCCATGGGCTTCATGTACTGGGAGTGGTACGCGATGTCGACGTTGAGCCTCCGGGCAAAGACCTTGTCGCTGCCGAGCATCTCGACGAGGCGCTCAATCTTCCGGGCGTCACCGCTGACGGTGTGGCTGTCGGAGCTGTTCATGCAGGCGATCTCGAGGGTTCCCTCGCCGCACAGCTGGTTCACGCGGCCGATGGCGGCCTCCGTGCCGGCCTTGTCCAGGCCGACGGCAGCCATGCCGGTCTTGGGACGCGACTCGGAACGGGCAAGCTTGGCGCTGAGCCTTCCGCGGTGGTAAGCCACCTTCCACGCCGCCTCTCTGGAGATGGCCCCGGCGGCGTAGGCCGCGGCGACCTCGCCCGATGAGTGGCCGGTGATTGCATGGGGATAGATGCCCCAGGTGGTGAGGAGGTCCACCAGGGCGACCTGCAGAGCCGTACATATGGGTTGACAGAACTCTGGGTCATCTATCCGAGACGAGGTTTTCGGCTTGGATAGTTCGACTTGAATGGAAAAGGACGTCAGCCATGCTCTCGGGCAACGGTCATCCTTACAACGGCGACTTACAGGTCAAGGACCACCTGCAGCCCAGATCATTCAGGTATCTGTCGGCTGCAAAGATACTCTCCTGGAACGCGCGGTAGGACAGCAGGTCCATGCCCATGGCGGCCCACTGCGCTCCTTGCCCCGTGAACACGAAAGCCAGACGAGGGTTCGGCTTCGCCTTTGTCGGTGCGAGGCCGCCATCGTCGAGGGCCTTCTGGAGTTGGCTCGGCGAGCCGGCAATGCTCACCGATCGCCAGGCGTGATGTGTTCGCCTCGACGCCAGAGTATAGCTGAGGTCCCTCAAGAAGCGTACTTGAGCGTGTTCACCCAAGTGCTCTGCCACCTTGGCGGAGAGGTACTCCTCGTACAGTTTCTTGAGACGCGACGCAGCGTCGGGGTCATTGGCCGAAAGCACGAAGAGCCTCGGGAGATCTTCACACTCGTATCCACTCATCTCTACACCGCTATCTGAGCGGCGGGGCCGGTTGATGGGATCTGTTGGACAGAACCGTTTCCGTTAGTCGAGTCCCGACACGATGGTTAAGCTTTATATTTTATTTCATTTTGGAAGAAACTCACAATCGCCGTTGGTCGACCCGGGGGTCAGGTGCCGAGGGATGTGCGGATTCGCCTCGGTCCGGTGGTTGCCGTTGAGCCGGTGGTTCTTGAGGAAATGAAGCGCATCGTCCATGACGACATGCGCGTTGCTGCCACCGACGCCGAACGAGTTGATGGACATGCGCCGCAGCCCTCGCTGGGGCCAGACGGTCGGCTCTGTTGGGAACTTTAGGTTCCACGAGTCCTGGATCTTGGGGTTCTTCTTCTCGAACCAGATGTTGCCGGGAATGACGCCGCTCTCGAGCGTCAACACGCCCTTGATGACGGCGGCCACGCCCGCCGCGCCCTCCAGGTGGCCGACGTTGCTCTTGAGGGCGCCGATGAACAGAGGCTCGTCCCGGGACCGATGGGGCGCAAACACCTCGGCCAGTGCGCTCGCCTCGATGGGGTCGCCCACCGGTGTCCCCGTCCCATGGGCCTCTGCGAAGCGGGTAAGAGAGGGGTCCAGGTTGGCCCGGTCGTAGACGTGTTTGATCAGCGCGACCTGACCGGCCTTTGTCGGTTGGGTGATGCCGGGGGATCGGCCGTCCTGGTTCGTCGACGAGTTTCGGATGACGGCTCGGATGACGTCCCCGTCGCGGACCGCATCCGACACCCGCTTGAGTACCACAGCCCCGAACCCTTCACCGCGGGCATATCCGTTGGCCCGGTGGTCAAAGCTATACGACTTGCCATCCGGACCAAGGACGCCGGCGGCGTCGAGCTTCAGTGTCATCTCGGGTGTCAGGATAAGGTTACATCCGCCTACGACGGCCTAGCCAGCAACATGATGGGGGTCAGCGCACGTTCGTTCTCCGATTTCCGGTTCCTGGGGGTTTTTCTTTTTTTTTTTTCTTTTTCCTTCTTCTCTTTCAACCCCCCTTGCAAAGTTAAACTTATGGCTCACCATGGATATTTCCCGGAGCTTCAGGCTCATACATGCTTCATGCACTGCTACCAAGCTGCTTGAGCAGGCTGTATCGACTGTTACACTCGGGCCCCGGAAGTCGAAGAACCACGAGACCCTGTTGCTCAGCATGCTTGCCACTGTGCCCAACGCCGAGTACTTATTTGGTATGTCCAAGTCTTTTGCTATGTGGTCGTTGTAATCCGCCGTGAAGCAGCCGACGTACACGCCCGTCTGCGACCCGGCCACTGTGTTGAGGGGAATCCCGGCTAAACAGCCAAGTCAGCAGCAAACTCTTTTTCACCTTGCTCTCTTATCTTGTTTCTTTCTTTCGCCGAGTGTGTGTCTGGGCTAGGGTTCCCGGGGAGATAAATCCTGACCATTTTCGAGTGCCTTGTACACGCTCTCCAGCATTCCTCGCTGTTGTGGATCGATACTCCGTGCTTCCGTCGGAGTGATGGAGAAGAAGGGCGCATCGAACGCCGAGATGCTGCCTTTGAGGAAATGGCCATGTCGGACCCGTGTCTGCCTCCCTGGTCAGTCTCGGACTCGGGGCTCGGACTCGAATTCTCTACAGAGCTCGCGAGGGGGGGGATGGGACGCACCGCGCCGCTTCTGTCAGCGTCCGGGTGCCAAAAGGCGTCCGCGTTGTATCTCTCCCGTGGCACTTCTGTCCGGGCTGACCTCCCGGCGAGCAGAGACTCGAAGAAGCGCTCAGGGGTATCACCATCGCCAGGCAGTCTAGCGCTCACGCCCACAATGGCAATTGGTTCTTCCATCCCTCTCGTAAGCTAATGGCGGCGTATTGACAATGATCTGCTCTCGTCCGTGCGGTAAAGTACGGTGAGCCGGCACTTAGATTGGGACGAAGTGTCGGGGGGGGAGCGGTTAAGACATGGAGCAAGGTCGTTAGGACGGGACACGATGCCCGGATCAGGGCTCTAGCGGGCCGTTGCGTTATGAGATGAAATCCACCACTCCTTCCATCGCCCTCATCTACTAGTAGCTGCGGACATACAATGAAGATCTTCGGTGTCGAGTTTGATACGCTTAACGGCCCGGTGGTGGCCCCCCCTCCCCTGTCACGGCCTCAGCCAGGCGTTACGTGGGGGAAAACGAATCATAGTAACCGTGTTGTATCACCAGACCCGGCGTGGGGCGCGATATCGAGGCTATTGCCGCGGGAAGAAGCCGCGGACGCGGGACGCGTGTACTAAAATAAAACGTCATGCAGCGGTACCGGTACGTGTGTCTTTTTGCAAGGATATCAACTGATAGCCACCTCCAACTATACTTCGGCTGCGGGCTATACGATACAAAGCTCGCGAGTTGGCGCGCGTGCATCATCCCATTGGCTCATGGGGCCGCAGGACGCTTACTTCGCGTCCAAGTTTCTTGATAACGGGGCTGGAGGAACAGGCAGTGTAGGTAGGGGTCTCTTGAAGAATCTGTCGAGCTGCTAATGCACGCACACCGAGCATCGCGGGCTCTGGCACTCTGGGTACAGGGAATTTCGATATCACAAATCAGATACAAAGCATCCTACCGAGTGAGTATCCGTACTGCAAACACATTGGCCAGACGGCCGAGCATCGCTTATCCCGTCCTGGCTTAGCCTGCAAACTGCACTGCCGTCCCTGGCAGTGATGTGCCTGCCTAGACTCCTCCCACAGCCGGCAATTTGTTTGCGAGTGCCCGCGGACTGGGCAATATGTATCCCATCTGCCGCTCTGGTTGGTTGCTAAGGAAGTGGTGGTGGGGGGAAGGGAGGCCCTAGGGGATTGCTGTTGGTTTCTCCCCATTCATTCGTTTCTATAGCATTACTCACTCCAACACCGATACAGAGACACTTTGTTTGCTCCAATATTGATAGTTCGAGCATGCGGCAAGTATTATTACCTACGGAGTATATAGTGAGCAGCGTACCATGTCGACCGCCAGCTTCTTCTTCCCCCTTTTCCCACGACCTGTTGCAATGGCTGTAGGGCCAGATCCCGGAGCACCGGCAAGAATCGCGAGGAACACTGGGCAAAGGCTTGTTGCCCAATCACCGCCCTGGCCAAGAGCATTCCATCTCCATGGGATCCTTGACTCAGTGCCTAACAGACAGAAAGCGACCCCACATCATACTCATGACATCCCAGCTGCCAAGCCTTGACACTTCTCGATTACATGGTCTGTGGTTGTTTGCTCCGCCGCTATGCTGGACGCATGGTCATGACTAGTGAGGCGGATGGCAGGTTTTCGGTGCCATTGACAAGGCGATAACGTCTAACGTCGGGCGGCGGCGTATTAAAAGGGGAAGGGGGGGGGGGCTATAGCAAGCATATCGGAGGCACTAAGCCATCATACTGTGTGTGTCTGTCTGTAAAGGCGTCGCACCCAAAAGCTCATCTTTCGAGTCTCACCACCCTCGGGCTGTCAACTACATGTGTAGTGATTAGTGACAGGTTCCGCTGCGAGCGTCTTCCCCAGGAATTACGCGCTACTTGTTGGTGTGTGTGTGTGTGTGTGTGTGTGCGTGTATTTGTATTCCGGACTGATAAATAACCACGGATCCCAGCCAAGGGCCACAGAGCCCCGCACGTCGTTTTGACACCTTACCGACGCAGTTCATCTAAAACAACAACAAGGTTCTTGGTTTTCCCTCAGCAGTCAAGCCATGGAGAAGGGAGACGCAACGCAGACAGGGGTCTCGAGGACGGCAGTGTCCGAGCAGCCAGCCTGGCATCGTGCCCAAAAAGAAGGGGGAAAACAACCGGCTGCCCTAGCCCATTTCTCCCCCTCCCTCCCCCGGGGCCCATGTCTTCGAAAGAAAGAAAAGAAAACGATAAAAAAAGAAAAAAAAAAGAAAAGAAAAAACAAGAAGGACAAGGGAACGAGCGAAAACCCGAGACCAGCTGCTTGTTATTCTAACTTCATGGAACGTCCTTGTCCATCCCGCAACTTTCTTTTGCTGCTGCTCACCTATCACTTCTTCCTTACATACATCTTCCCCTTGCCGCAGACGGAGAAACCGGGTCGCCGTATCTCATTGTTTTTTTTATTTCTGTCAGCAGTCCCCTTTTCCCCCCTTCGGTCTCTGTTTCGCCGCAAGCAGGGCGCTACGAACCACACCACCGCACCCACTGCTTTCTCCCCCTTGCTGACGACCTTGCTCGGGGTCGGGCAGATTGCAAGTTGATGGATAATCACAGCCATCAGCGGCTTCGAAAAGCCGGCTACGGCTCGGTTCCTGGCTCGCCCGTGGGACGGAAGCGCCCTTCGACAGCCGCTAACAGCGTCTCTGCCGCCTCTGCATCGACCTGGCTCACCGCTAGTTCGTCCTCTGAACGTACCCGCAACACTTCAGCAGATAGCGGCGGTAGGCCACACACGCCGCCCTCGACGAGGCCCTCGATACAGTCTGGCCAACAGCATGTACGGTTCACCACCCACTCCTGACCCCCCTCCCCTCCTCCCCTTATCATCACATTTTCATTGTTATGCGTGAGAGAGAGAGAGAGAGAGAGAAAGAGAAACCTCGGGCATTGAGACCAACATATCATTACAGGAGGATTGTGCCGATGAACACCCGAGCCCAACGTCCGATGAGGTAAACCGGGCGCTATGGGCGGGGGGATCCGACTCCGACGACATGTCGGATGAGACCGCGCCGGCTGCGGGTACCCGCCTGGCTAACTAGTGAGTCGGTCCCCTATAGCAGAGGCCATGTTATTGTGATGGCGCAAGACCACGATTGTATCGTGCCCTGTTTTGGGTCTTGACCAGCCGCCGTCTTGTCGCGCCGAGCGGGCTGACCGTTCTCCACCATGCAGTAGCAGCTCGGGGAGATCACGATCCAAGGACACCAGATCCATCTTCCAATCAATCTTTCACAAATTCGTAAAGACCGGCAAGCGGTTTGGCTTCGTGCCCAACAGCAAGGTACGTCGACCTCCCTTGGCGTGCCAGCCCGTCCAAATGCCGCGTTCACGTCCACTAATACGCGTTCCCAAACCTAGGAGGAACAAGACAGAAATGGTAAGGGGGTCTTCTTCCCGCTTCACCCTCCAGCATCTGCGCGTCTTGCAGGACGCCCGACCGTGACTGCATATGCTAACGTAACCCGCAGTCCTTCAGCATCAAATCATTGCCGAACTCTTCGACGGCAGACTCCACTTGGCCCCGGTCGTCAAGCCCAGAGCGGCCCTCGACGTTGGTACCGGGCCAGGATTATGGGCCTTGGTGGGTGTTCCCCTCTTCATTGCTCCCCCTCCCCTCCCCATCCTTATTCACGCCTGAATGATGCAGATATCACGGGACGGGTCGGCTAACCTCTGAGGCAGGAATACGGCAAGTTCTTTTCAGGCGTTTGGCGCGGTTGATGCTAATCCTCCTCGCCATCGTTTTTAGCCAAGAACAATCCAAACTGCGCCGTCATTGGTATCGATATCGAAAAAGTCCGCCCGCCGTACACAGTTCCCAACTGCCAGTTCAAGTTGATGGACGTCACGGCCGGCTGGACGATCGACAAGCATTTCGACTACATCCATGTCCGCATGCTCGGCGATATCGTGGACAAGGAGAAGCTCATCCAGTCCATCTACGACCACCTGAACCCCGGGGGCTGGGTCGAGTTCAGCGAGTGGATCGCCATCCTTCACTCCCCGAACCATTCCCTAGACGGCAGCGCTACCCAGAAATGGAACTCCCTCCTCGATCAGGGTCTCCGGAATATGGGGCGCGATATCGGATACGTCCGTCACTATCCGCCGCTGTTGGAGAAGGCCGGCTTTGAGAGACTGAAACTGACCAAGCATGCCGCACCCACGAACGCGTGCTATCCGGGCAAAAAGTGCCAGAAGTTCGGCGCCATGATGGCGAACAACTGGAACGCCATCATCGAGCCCCTCACCGTCCCTATCTTCACCATCGGCCTCGACTGGCCAGAGAGCGAGGTCCATGTGCTGTTGAAGAAGGTCCGCAAAGAGATTCCAGACCCCCAATACCATTCATTCATGACATTGTAAGTTGCACCTCACCTACTGCCCGCCACTCTTCCCCTCTTCCCCCCTTCCCCTCTGCCATCCCGCCGCCTCTGTGTCTTGGGGCCAAACGGCTCATTCCTACCTCTAGGTTGACCGTGTACTGCCGAAAGCCACGCCACGGCGCTTCGTCGTCCGCCTCGCTGGCAAGCTCATCACGATCGGCGCAAGCCTCGGCATCACAAGCGTCTTTCTCCAATTTCAGTTCACAGAGTTAGAGAAAAGCGTCTGATATGCTTCTTCTTTTTTTCATATTCTCTGATTGGAAGGCAAATTAATTATATACCCCACCCAAGCGTTTGCATAGAGAGCCGGCAATCGCCATGTTAAGATTCATGTCCAGAAGCAGAAAGCTTCCGAGAAGCAGAGTCTTAGCCCCGTTGCGGAGAATAAACATGATTTGATGAGTTCTGTACTGTTCGAGTTGTGACGAGCTCATTGACAAGCCGCAGCGGTGAGCCTAGGAGTACGGCTGGTCACATACACCTTTTGGGAGAGCCCCAGCCTTGTTGTCTACGCCGGACTCCGCTGCCAGAATGTTCACGAGGGCCTGACAATATAACAGACTCATATAAGTGCAGAAGCGCAGCCAAGTAATGCGGGCGGATACATGAGCCCATCCCGAACGTACCATCCTGCAGTCACGCAACCGCAAATCCGTAAATACGCGGCTTGAAGCTATCCTGGGCTCGATGGCGGTGCTAGCAGGCTACGAGGTTGCATGCAATGCACGCGTGCATGAAGATTCAGCCCTTGGCCAACCTTGGCCAACCTGCACACATGGGGTCACTAGTGAGGCATTTAACCATACGGCGAAAGCCAACAGCCGGCGCCACCAAGTTCAACCTCTCTACAGGAGCCATGCCCCAGACCAGTTGGTCCGGGGGACAAGAGCAGACATAAACTAGTGTACATGACGACTATGCATGTGCCCAAAGTAGAAATGATGCCCGGATCCTAGCCCCCACCTAAATGCACAAGAGAGGATCCTTGCTTGGCTCAAGGCACCCGACGGAAGTTGTTTCTACGGAATGGCAACGCAGCAGCAATACTCTCTTATCCTCCTTGACTTCACCAAGCTCCTATTGGCTGCATACGAAAAGAACTTCTGTTAGTGCTGAAAACAAGTTGTCCCACCTAGATAGGAAAGTTGCGGGTTTGGTTCGGATCATGTTAGTGACACACGGCCACTCGATTGGGTATCCCGCCGCCGACAGAGCAAAAACGGCCACTCTCCGCCGTACGATCCAGACCCTGCTTCTTCCCGTAGCGTCCATCTCGTTAGCAAAGTCTGGGCCGGAATAACCTCATCACCTACGCTCTACATCCCCGTCCTAGCCCACAATGGCTGACCTCGGGGCCGACCCCAATGCCGCATACGGCGCAGTCTACTCGCCGTCCTTCCTCAGTCTGTTCTACGACAAGTATGTCTTGGGCTTCAACATGAAGTACATCTGGAAGTGCTCGACAGATGACGTCCTCCTCCCCTTCTTCGCCGAGAACTTCTCCCGCAACCACCTCGACTGCGGCGTCGCCACGGGCTGGTTCCCTGCTGCGGCGCTGGCGAGGCCGTTCCGCGCGAACAGCAAGCAGCGCCTCGGGCTGCTGGACCTGACGGCGCCCCCTCTCAAGGCCGCGACGGCCCGCATCCTGTCAGTGGCCACGAACACGGAGATCCTCTGCGTCGAGGCCGACGTCACGGAGCCGCCGCCGAAGCAGCTGCTGGGCGAGCGCTTCGATTCCATATCCATGTTCAACCTCTTCCACTGCATGCCCGGCGGCAAGGCGAAGCTGCGCGCCATCGGCTCCTACAAGGAGCTTCTGAGCGAGGACGGCGTCCTGACGGGCTGCACCGTGCTGGGCCCCAACGAGTCGACCGGCTGGCTCACCAAGCTCCAGCTCCGGTGGTATAACAGGTGGTGGGGGGTCTTTAACAACTGGGACGACAATAAGGAGGACATTCAAGACGTCCTCGAGCACGAGTTCGAGGAGGTGGAGACTTGGGTCATTGGCCAGACTATGCTTTTCCGCGCCAAAAAGCCAAGGAAACCCTTGCTGGACGTTTGAGTGTTGTGGTCCCAACGGAAGGAAACTAATCAACTAGCATGACCAACGACGTTATGACCATCACGTGTAATAAAACGAAATCATTCCAATTGATGTCGTAGTGAGTTGAACACTACGATACAAACTGCCCCTGGTTGTGTGGCCTCTCATGTGTTTTGACGTGTCCCCCCCCTGAATCGGCGATGTTGGATCGTGATCAACTTTGGAAAGTCACTTCAACATTGGCGTGTCATGCAAACAACAGCTACTATGCATAGTCCAAGGGTCACAGATGCTATGTTGCTTTGGCATCAGAAGTTGGGGTATCCCGTGGTACTGGCGGGCGGAAAGATTCAGTGGGCCGACGCGGGACTCTCGACTGGGTTCATGCCGACATCGCGAAGGAGAAAATAGGAGCGGAACAGATTGCTTCGGCAATACTCGCGGCAATATAGCAGATACCAACGGGCCGAGGAAACCGTCTATGTTTCCGTCCTGTCTCGGCTTATTGCATTGAAGCTAGTGAAAGCATAATATTCCGAGTTAGAGCATACATCAGGGCGTGCAGGAATAGGGATGAGAAAGGTGTAACTCTATGCAAGTAGATGTGAGAAAAGAGATCTCCGTTATATAGTTAAGCTGTGCGAGCAATGAGTGAGATGTCACTTTGTCGTTCAGATGCGGCCAGATTACCCGCCGCCCTAAGGTCGCGCAAGCGGGATGAGCAGGGTGATCCAGGAATATCTTTGCAGGGTTCAAGGTGCCGTTTAGCGAAACTTGTTTCAATTTTGCTATTCATTATTAGTGCCTGCTTCCCTCTGGGGGAGTGCATAGTGTATTTGAAGTTGTGTTGATTTATAGTACATTCCTAGTACTCTTGACCCTTGCTCTTGGCACACTGCCTGCCAGTTTCCTATCCCATTAAACCATCTATATTCTCAAGACAGCGCCTAGTATATGTTGCTTATAAGACTGGAATACTAGAATTTTTAAGTACTTGATTTCTATCCTTACAACGAGAATTCCACTTATAGAAAACTCCAAAAGCAAACTGCTCTCAACATGAGGATTTTATACGACCTCTACGTATTCTAATCCGACTTTTCGCTTTTGACAACTCCAAAAACTTCCATCCATTTTCGACTCCTTGTGGGTGTCCCGCTCCGTTGCCTTTTGCCACGGCGACATATTCTATAGTCTTGAGGGCGGTACGGAGGAGCCTGTCAAGACCTTGCAGAGAATGCCAGAGCGCCAGAAGCACCATCACCCAGCCAATAGTATCAGTGCAGCATAATGCATCTCAGATCACATGATTGTCAACCTGCTCCTAAAAGGGCCCCTAAGAATCAATCTCATACGGCTGTAGCACTGCTATGCTGTAGACATATCTAGTAAGAGTCTAATAAGAGTGTATTCTTAAGCCCTAAGGCTGGGACACTCTACTCTTGGTCTTGACATTCTGCGCAAGGTCTTTTGAAGGGCACCTCTGTACATACAGCGAAAACAATACACCCTTGCTTTTGGATTCTCACTTACTAAAAGAACTATTCAAAATTCACGTGACTAAAAGTGCCTATTAACTACTCAAAGTTGCGTGACGGCAGGAGGGGTTATTTACTAGTAAATGAACAGGCCGGCCGGCCGCCAAAGTGAAAGTCGCTATTAGCAGAAGCTCTACACGTACACAATACCAGGTCATAGAGCTATATATTTTTAGAAGATAGAGCAAGAGTAGTTTCATTAGAAGGCGCACTTACTAACTGCAGGGAACCTAACCAGAAAATAGAAATATAAGATTAGATTAATAATTAAGTAGTCCTATAGCGGCTTTTTATTATAAAGGTAAGCTTAACAACTAGATCTTCAAAGATACTCCCCCCCCCCCCCCCCCGCTTTTCTATATATAACAGCCTGAGTTAAGTAACAGAAACCGTCTGCTGTTGTCAGTCAGTTAATATCTCACCGTCCACACTGTCGCAGTACGCCTCGCTAACGAAACAAGATCTCGTCCTATCTCCAGACGGTCTCAGGACGTACGGGATCTGAGAGCCAAGCAGCACCTCGACTACGTCGCCCGGGCGTGCGCCGCCTGGGGCCATGCCCACGTACCCTTTGATAGTGGGCAATATGGTGCACTACCATTACAATCGCAGAGATAGGGCTCTTGGGTCCTCCATTCGGCCCCGACGGCTCTGGCTCTCTCGGCTGCTGCTGTTCTTTCGCGAAGGGCCTCGATGACCAAGTTGGACTTCGCGGCTGAGAAGAGTGCCGGCAGGTCTGGCGATATAGACCGCTCTCTCATCGATGGGCTGGGTGTGGAGGGCAGAGATCAGACTGTTAAGATTGACGGTAGTAATGGTGAGGCTGAGGATGATAGTGAGGGCTGTGAGGGTGATGGAGACGGCCGCTTACAGCCTGGCAGATGGCGAAAAGGGGCATTATAGCGAAACATCGCGGATTTTGAGGGAAATCAGGCACCGCACTTCTGGCAGGGCTCCAGCCGGCGGCTTGGCTGTTACTGTCGCTTAGGTGCCTTAATTAACAGCAGCTCTACAGTGACATGTAAGAAGTCTGGGCTCACCACTCAATGTGCCATCTTCAATAGGTGAGCCCAGACTTCTTACATTTCACTGTACTATGTAGCAGCGGTACACTTAACGAAATAGTGAGTAAAAAGAAGAAGAAGGGTAATGAAAGTGAGGTTATTGGTGAGGGGGTGGGCACCCCTGTTGACTGATGGATGTATGAAACCATGGCGCGGAGTTTGCGGACTAGAAGTTCTCCGCATCGGTGTTGCCCAAAAGCCCGGCTTGCAGATCGCGAATCACCTTCAAAAGACTGATGCGCAGATACCTTTCAGCGACATTTCACGTTGAGAAGTCCATGCTCGTTCAAGGACGGATTACAGGGTTTCCTCATTTACATTTTGAATATCCCCAAAGAACCGCTGCTTACCAGCTATACTCTCAACCATCATGCCTGCTCTTGCAAACGAACTTATTTCACGTCTAACGCCTGCTTCGAGCGTCCACTTGCTATTAGTGGCGGTGAGTCTAGTACGCCATGACTAACAACAATCCGATTGCTAACGAAAGGGTAATAGTTTGTACTCTATCGTATCGGTGTCGTCATTTGGCGACTCTTCTTCCACCCTCTTGCCGGCTTCCCAGGGCCCAAGCTCTACGCGGCTTCTTACTTACCATTCACCTTTCAGAATTATGTTATGGGAACGCTCGTGAAAGAGTCGCTAAATTTGCACAAGAAGTACGGCCCAATTGTCCGTGTTTCCCCTACCCGCCTCGCTATCGACGGCTCTATAGCCTGGCCGGAAATCTTCACTAGACGCCCTCACCAGGCTGAGTTCGAAAAGACGGTCGAATTTTACGGGCTGTCTGATAGGATCGGTATCTTTCCGACCTACCGCGAAGACCACCGACGGCAACGACGGATAATGGCCCATGCCTTCTCCGAAGCCGCCTTGACAGAGCAGGAATCCTACGTGAAATCCTACGTTGACCTGCTGATGTTGAGACTCGGCGAGCAGGCGCAACAAGGCAAGATCTCCGACATAGCCAAGTGGTACAATTGCTTTACGTTCGATGTTATCGGCGAGCTAGCGTTTGCTGATCCTTTCTACTCTCTGGAGAAGAGCGACTATCACCCATGGATTGCCATGATTTTCTTCTCAATCAAAGCCAACAGCAGGATTATGTTTCTGTTTCAATACTCCTTCCTACGCCCGTTTCTTCTACTAGTGGGCAGCAAGACGATGCGGATGAAGGACGAGTCCGAAAATCTCGCCCGCGAGAAGACTGACAAGAGGTTGGCCCTCAGAGACGACAACCGCAAGGACTTTATGTCCTATATCCTCCGGAATAACAAGGAGGATGGGAACGGGATGTCCCACGAAGAAATCCACGCCAACTCTCGGGCTTTCATCGTTGCGGGCAGTGAGACCACGGCCACCGCGCTCTCAGGCTTAACGTTCCACCTGACGCGTAACCCTGATGTGTACAGAAATCTCGTGCAGGAGATACGAGAGGCGTTCGCTTCCGAGGAGGAGATTACGACGAAGTCCACGAAGAGGCTAACCTACCTCCACGCCTGCCTCGAGGAGACGTTGCGCATCTACCCGCCAGCTGCCGAGACGCCCCCAAGGGTCTCTCCCGGCGATGTCATTGACGGGAAGTTTATTCCCAAAGGAGTGAGTAAACCATCCCTTCAGAGGCACGCTCATGAAGAGGCATACTGACAGTCTAGACCTACATATCCGTATACCAGTGGGCGACGCACCACAACCCACTTAACTTCGCCGACCCGGACGCCTTCAGGCCCCAGCGCTTCCTCCCCGTGGCTCACCCGTTGTACGAGTCCAGATATTCTACGGACAACAAAGCGGCCTTTAGGCCATTCTCGACTGGGCCCCGGGACTGCATTGGAAAGAACCTTGCCTACGCGGAGATGCAAGTAGTCGCGGCCAGGCTGCTATGGAGCTTTGATATTGAGCTGCAGGAGGGCCAAGAGGATTGGGTCTCGTCCCAGGCCACCTTTACTGTCTATCACAAGGGTCCGTTGATGGTAAAGCTAAAGCCTCGGGCTAAGTAAGGGAGGATGTGTTTCTCGAAACATAGGGAATGAGTATAGCTACATATAGTGTAGTGTCTTACGTTTTTTCTCTTGTCACCCTCTCTTGGTTCTTGGAAGCTCTTGTGGCATGTGGCATAGAATAGGGTTAGTATTCGAAGCTCCTGATTATCATTTAAGGTCTAAAGGTTAGCCCTATAGATTTCTTCGGGTCACCATTTGTAACCAGAGAGCCTACACCCACCACGGCCTATTCACCACTAAATAATATATAAGGCAAGTAACCTACATACAACCCACGCCCTATTCTACCTACGTAAGATTAAAGCTATTATAACTACTACTACTACTACTACTACAGGTAATTTTAGCCCTACTAGACCCTAGGAGCGTAGGTAGCACAGCCTTTATAGAAACAAAAGGACTAGCGTTAAACAGACAAATAGCTCTATAGAACATGAGAACTATAGTATAGGTTATATAATAAGAAGGAGGACTAACAGATAATAAGTGCTTCCAGTAGAGAGACTAATTAGTTAAGAGTGCTCTATAGTAAAGGACTAATAAATAGCTATTACTCCCCTATACAATACCGCAATCGTAGGAACGAATTTCAATTGGTCTCGTCTCCACTGGCAAACTCCCCGTTCTTGAGCTTGTTACTCAGAGCCTTGTTCTCCCTAATGAATTCTGCAAGGACCTTGCGCTTCTCCAAAAGAAGATCAGCAACCAGGCGGCCAAAGACAACCCCTCCAGCGGTGTTCAAGTGGGTGGCATCGCCCGAAGCGAGGTCGTACTTGTGTCCATTCTCGTTGCCGATGGCGTTGATGTAGTTGGTGCTGGCAGTGTTGAGGTCGAGATATGTGGTGCCCGCGGCTCCAGCGGCAGCAATAGCTCCAAGTCGCTCGGTCTCAAGATTTTGAATCACCTTACCGCCGCTGAAAGTGCGGCGAGTTAGAGACGTAATTAGAACCTTGGGAAGCAGTCAGTATCCATTCTTTTCGATTCGACACAGTTGTGGAATTGACTCACAGGGGTTCCAACCGCAGCTGTAACTTCGGTTGCCAAGGTCTGAAGATTGGCCTGGAACTGCTCCGAGGAGATATTCGCTGCGGCCTTTTGGTCATTATGCCCGAACTGAATCGTGACGATCGGGTTAAAGGCTCCTTTGTTCGCATTGACCTCTGCAATCACTGTATCCCAGATACCTTGGGCTCTGAAAGAAACTGTTGTTGCGCCACTCTTGCCATAATTCTTCCCGTCGGCAGGCGACTCAACGAAAGTCAAAAATCCATCACCCCAGCCACCGTTAACAGCCACCGTTGAGTCACCGGTGAGGAGAAAGTAGGGGGGCTTCGTTTGACGAGTCTCCTGTGGACTGGCCTGGCTCAGGGGAATTGCGGAGGCGGGTGTAACTGCCGTTGCCAGGATGCTCGCAATGCTCTGAAGTCTCATATTGTCGACTTGGTTTCAGCGCGGATATTATGGGACCGCTAGGCAAATCATCACAATATTCATCAGTTCAGTGGAAACGAGACGGTGCCTACTAAAATTTGACGAGATCTGTTACACGGAGATGGATTGAGTATCAAGCAATGTTTACATCTGTCACAGATCCTCGTTTTGCCATATCACATCTCGGCGTGGACTATACCGAAAGAAGCGCTTACGGCAACAGTAGAGCGAATGCCGCGATGCTCCTATACCAATTCCACCAATGACTCTCGCATCTCTATGGTTACGTCCGTGCTACCCCAAAGAGATTGTAAGGTTTCATTCCGGTGCGGCACATATGCTACGGATAAGAGATCTTCCCTCGGCCGATGTTACCTGCGAGTTGATGCGATCTCGGGAAACAGGAAAACAGGCAAGTCAACTTGCGGGGGAGGAGTCCATGCTTGTCAATTGAAATTTTCCGTGGGATCGATCATCCGTCTGAAATACCCATGTGACACGATGAACTCGTGGCTTTTCATAAGAGACATTTCCTGCCTATTGGATGTGCCTTGATCTCATGAATCTCTCTTTGCAGGGCTTTTTTTTATAAAAAAAAAAACCAGCATGTCTGGTTCAGTTTCCCACGTCAATTGGGATTACCGCATACTCTCACGTTTGAAGCCAAACCAGGTGCCTGTTTCCAGCCAGAGCTCACGCACCTTGAGGACCAAGTAAAGAACCACAGAGAGTGCGGGTTCACATCAACGTGCTCAAATGAATGTCGAATCGCACTGGAGGTTGAGAAAACGTAGAAGGCAAAACGAAACCATCGCCTTTACTGGAATAATTTGCCTAATGACACTCAGATGAGTGTTTGGTCTTGTTTTGTCAATTTCAAGCCACCAATAACTATGTCATTAAACGCAAGGGCAAATGCCATTGCGAAAGTGAGGCGTAAAGTCTGGATGGCTCGGTCGGTTTTTGTGTATGGGATTGGTGGGATGTATGGGATGTAAGACTAATGGAGAGGGAAGAGTCCAGAGCTTAGCTTCCGCCTTGTGTATAGCTGACTGCGGCCAATAAGGTTAATGGAGAGTGAAACTACCAGTACCTAGTTAAAAGTGAAGTCTGACTCGGCAGTTGCTCTGCGTTATCAGGTGTTCTGTACTGTATGAAGTGTATGAAGAGATTGAAGAGATCGATATGTGGCACAGGTGGAAGTCAACGTCGTAAACTTGGTATCCCTCGGTGAGACTCAACTGATTGTCTGGGAGGACAGCAGCATCTAGTGAAAAGAATGTAAAGTATTTGTCTCATCAAAAACTGTGTACAGACTATGCCAGATAGAAATCTCTACATGAAGTAATCTGTACTTGTGATGAGCCACATCTGTGGCAGTCACAACTTGTACCAGCCACATGAAGCTAGTCCCAGCTTCACGACATTATCTTACCTGCAGGCTGCCAAATCAAGTAACCCGATGACGAGTTGATGCACGGTTTGCTTTTGTGCTAGGTTTATCGTGACCCAAAAGCCGAGGTGGTTCATTGATAGTTTTCATGTGAAAGCCATGCAATACATGGTTCATAGCTTTTGCTTCGGCTCACTTTCTTTCATACGCTTAGGCCCACGCAGCAGTCACGGCCACCCGTCAAAGATCTTCTCGTTGGTTAGCAATGGCAACGGAATTCTTCTTATTTTCTGAGCTTCCACTTGAAATACGTATCCACATCTGGAAGTTTACGAGAGAGCCTCGGATCCTCAAGGTGGATGCCCGAGTTGAACTCAACAAACATCGCCGTCACCCGCTGGACTATACGCTATTCCACTGTACCTCACCCAACCCCGTCCCCGCCGTACTACAAACATGCCACGAGTCGCGAAACCTTGGATTGTACGAGAGATCGTTCACAGGTGGCCTCACACCGCGATACATATGGGTCAATTTCCAGCTTGATTCAATTCAAGCCACATACTGGGTCCTCAGGTTGTTGAAAATCGAAAAACAAAGAATTTGCCACCTTGGTATCGAGTTTGAGAACGTGGAGGCTTTGTTACGTCGCTACCGAGAAGCCGTTGTAGGACTTCGGGTCGTGAAGACAATGGAGCTTTTTATGCAGGAGCCTCCGCCCGAATGTGCTCATCTTATCGAGTGGACCCGAGACACAATGCGACAGATATCTGAAGAGGAGAGCTCCCAGTTTCCCCGTATCACCTTGGTTGACAGGGCTACGGGAAACACGATGAGCTAGGGGAGAACTACGCCATAGGGCTAGATGTGGAGGTACCAAGAGAAGCTTACCGTATAGGACCATGATTCAGTCAGGTCCTAGTCCTCGTGGTAGTTAGTCACATGGCCGAACAGGTAAAAGGATCATTTTTCGGGTATGATGACCGGAGGGGTTTTCCGAAAGATCCTTTGCCATCGCTGGCACAGGAAGTCAGGAGAATTGATTTACCTTAGAATCAAATAATTAGAAACTCAGAGATTAGAAAGAATAAAAGGAACAGAGAGATTTCCTTCAATCAGACATACAATTTTCAACGCTTAATTCAACCCAGGTCTTTATTTTTCTCGAATTACACAACCTGTCCTTCAATTAATGTTCAGTTAAACGTGATGACACAAGAACCATGAAAGCCATATCTCACCTCCTCTCCTGAAGCATGTGCTGATAATAGTGAGAACCTCTGATCAGTGGCTTTTTAAGTCTCGAGACGAGGCATCTCATGTTGCGTTAGCCGAGGTGGTCCGTAGTACGCTGCGCACCCCTATCCCTTTGAGTGCCAGGTGACCCCATTTCTGCCAAGGGCGGGGTAGAGCCAATGCATTTACAGCATTAAGTCCGATAAGCCAATAGTTTCGTAGTACCTCTATTTATATGGCGTTTTGCCTATGCCATAAGTACTAGCAATCTCTATATTTACACAAAGGTACATTATAATCTAAGTAGCCCTACTAGGTCTTCTGTCGCTGTGCTCACCTATTACTAGATGCCTTACCTAGAGGTTGCCTCTTTAAGCTACTGTAATAAGAGCAAGGTAAGTTATACCCTTATAAGCCCTAGCAATAGTCTATAATTAGTATAGACGTATCTTATAGAGGACATTGTGATTTTAATAATAATGTTGGTGATAATGTTGAAATTGGTGGTAGTTGCTAACAAAATAACATTCTATAACAATGTATTGTCATGTATGTCCGAAAATGGGGGGTAAAAGTGGGTGGGGGTCCACCAAGGGGTTAGTGGGGTCACCTGGCACTCAAAGGGATACCAGTTTTAATAGCCACAATTCAAGAACAGGCGACCGATTGGACAAGATTCACAAGCTTTGGTAATGTCTTTCAGTAACGCACAGAACATGGCTTTATTCAGGGGCAAGGGTTTTGCTTTTTTCCTTGGTTTTGTACCCTTCGATTTTGCGTTTGGGGTCCGTCTTTCAATACAATACCGCTTTTTTTCCCCCAGCTTCTATCTTCTTCAAGTGTATGACATGTCCCCCTGGATCTATCTATCCACAAGAGACTAACAGTCGCAGACCTACTCAGTGATGATGATCTTCGTCAACTGCTTCCGGTGGAAAAGGCTCTTCAGCCCCTTCGAGAGTGGGGTCCCATGATGGGTTGGCACCAGCGTCACGCCAACGCACAGATCTTGGGCCATGCTTATTCCAGTCCAGAATCGCATCAAAGTCCCTGCATGTATGCATAGAAGACCAGTTGGGTAGGGCATCGCGCCGCAGAGGGTTGTCGAGGGGGTCCACGAAGAGAGCCGGGGTAACATCTGCCTGGCATTGCAGGTTCATCCTCAGCATGTCTATGCAGTGATCTGCGTTGGAGGCAGGCAGAGTTAGTAGATGTGAAAGGTATGCTTCCGGTCAAGAATCGTGGAAACTTTTGCCAGAAAAGACTTTGCTCCTACCAAAGTGGGAATGTATGTTTTCATCAGGGACGCCCTCGTCCAAGAATTTGTAATGATCGTAGTTATAGAATAGTCCCATTCTCAAAGAGTTCTGCTGTGATATTAGCTGCCATAGAAATTTGAATTTTCAGAGAGATTGTCTAACCAAACAATGAAGCAAATGGAAAACCTCCAGCATAGCCAAGTACCCGCCGCCTTGTTCTTCGGGGATTTTATGGAATGGCATCTCAGGTGAGTCAGTCATATTGAGTAACTTGACTTCTTCTTTAGTGACCCGAATGCCTCCCGCCCCTAGCTCGATCTCGTGCCATGCAATGTCGATTTCGTTTGAATGTGTTCCAGGAGGGCCGCGCCATTTGTTTGTCTGCCTGAACTCGGCATTGTAATGAACTGGTGCTTTGTACTTGATGGCCTCAAAAGCGGGCGCTATGGGTCGTTAAGGGATGCCATATGCTAGAGATGTATTACATTCATACTCACATATTGTCGAAAACTCCCGTGTACACAGCTCTGCGATCTCATCCTTTGAAGGTGTAGCATTGATGGCAAAAAAGAGAGCAACAAGCGTGATTACGTTGGTGAATCCTAGCGCAACAGTTGATCGCGAGAATCGGCGGTTGAGGCTCCTTGCCGATTGAGAGTTGATCTCTCCTCCCTTTCCTTCTGATTGAGGGAGGCTTTCATAGTCTTGCCGCAATTTCAACCACATCGTGCCACTACAGCGCTCAGTATATTTCCTGGTGAACGTCCTAGACGCTGCTTGCTCTTCGATAAGCGATATGATCAAAATGAAATGATGACAGTGTGCCCCAAGTTAAGGTCATTTTGAAATCCAACAAGCTCGCCCCGAATAAACTACATAGCTGACTGGGGTCGCGAGTTGTCAGTTGGCCCTCTTATCAGATTGTAGAGTATTGTAGAGTCTCTTGCCCGGTTTCCATGCCATTGCGCTATCTTCCAGGATCCTTCAGGATTCGAGTTGCTTGTTGCGGTCTAGTTTTCGCGTGCGGGGCCCGATACAAAAGTTCTCATGATGATGCATCTGGAACGCCACCTTAAGACGTGGCAGATACGACTGGCCACTAATGAGGGCCAAATCTTTGCCTATCTGGACTGAGGTACATAAGTCTGTGGAATTCCGAGACAGAAAGGAGCGCAACCCTGCCATCGTAGGATCGGAGTCCCTGTCAGTGGCAAACGTGCAGGCAAATGATTCAGTCCAAATGTATCTAGTTGGCTACTCTAAGTCTAGACAGCCCGTAACGGCATCTAAGCAAAGACGACCTTCCGTTCTTGGTCTAATAGATGCGAAGCGTGGCAATTATCTCACACAAAGGTCCGAAACTAGCTGGCCCAGCTTGTCTTCAAGTCAGGGAAGTGCGATAAGGCGCCATCGTTGCGACTGAATGCCGTGCAAGAGCGGAGTAATGGCCTATAACCAAGACAACGATTCAATCCCAGGGTTAAATAAGGTTATAAGAGGGGCCTGAATCTTGCACCGGATATCTTTGTCAACTACCGTTGTCCATCCCTCACATTTCTGCAGTCAACAAGCAAAGACGAAGCCATGCAGATCTCCACCGTCACCCTTCTTGCTCTGCAGGCCATCGGCATCATCGCCGCCCCTGTCGCTGCTCCTGCGGCCGACTATGCCGACGTCGCCAAGGCCACCATTATAATCAAGTCTGCTGGTACTTACAAGCGCGACGAGGAGAAGAGAGATGTAGAGTATACCGATGCGGCAAAAGCCAACATCGTCATCAAGTCCGCCGGAACCTACAAGCGTGGCGAAGAGGTCAGTATATGACAAAGCTCACGACTTAGACAAAGTGACCACGAACTGACGGAAAAATGCAGTACGCTGAAATTTCAAAGGATTCCATTAAGATCAAGTCCGTCACCACATACTAAAGTCAACGGGTGGTCGGTCCTCACAGTTTTCCTCGCCTACCGGTCTGCTAGTTCTTGTATAAGGCTATGCTCCAGATGGATATATGGTGCTCATGTTGGACTGCTCAGTGTCGAGGCGTCGATAAACGGGATCTCGGAATTTAAACCATTCACGACATAGGTCTGACTTGTTCTTCTGAAAGCTTCCAAACTCAGCAGATTCCAAACCTCTGTGAAAAGTGTCTTACCTAAAGCAGTAGTAGTATAATCCCCCAGCTACGATACTCAATAAGGCCTTTATAGGCCTATTCTATTATATTACTTTAGTCTATTTCACCTCTGAAAGACTAAGTACCTTCCACCTTTATCTAAAGCGCCTTATACTACTCTGAAGTATACTTTCCAATAGCTTCTTTCAAAAACTATTATTCAAGCTATATTAAAGAAGGTTAATATAGTTATTAAAATATTTTAATGCTTAGATGTCAAAATTCATTATTCTAGTAGCTAGTAACCGCTATATGTGATGACAAAAGCGGATCCGTAATTGCCACTGCGCAATTACGGCTTATATCACAACACACCCCCCCAGGTTTACAACATATCTGTCAGAAGGCTAGTAATATAGAACACTCTTCTTAATACTTTCTAATTAGGTACATCTCGCCAAAGTATAGGTAGTGTTTTCAACTGCCCCAAACAGTGCTCAAACCTAGGCCCTCAGGATTATGGGGGTCTCTGATATAGCCTATGCGCATGCCATTAAGGCACACAGAGGTCCAGGGTAGAGCGGGCTCATAACTGTGATAACAAAAGCGGATCCATAATTGCCACTGCGCAATTACGGCTTATATCACGACACTATATAAGAGTGATTTCCTCATATACTAATCCCCCCTTCTTAATGAAATCTCTATCTAAAAGTGCTCTACAAATGCCAACTCGCTTAAAAGCCTTGTCTATGCCTCTCTTCCCTAGATCCAGTATATGTTTTTCAAGACTACTCGCACTAATACAAACAAGCAACGCATAACACCTTTGGCTTATGTCTCTTTTTATATCCATCACACACCCGCCAAGATGGCCAAACTCCTCATTCCCAACAACCTCTAGGCTCCCAACGTCAACCCCTGGATTTGGGTTCGAGTCGATGGGGGGGTGATAGGCCTCCTCGGCAAATAGCCCCCGCACCTTCAGCGCCCCGACCGGTTGCGGTTCAGCAAATGAATCTTCGCCCCTTTGCATAACAATTTCAACCTTGTCGAGTACATTGTCAGATACGCCCCGCACGCTCCTGAAGATGACCTCGCCGTCGACCGAGGCCCAACTTCCAGCTTGGGGCGCGCAACTGACTGTTCACAGACGGCGCCTCGACCAGCGTGCTGCATACGTCGTTGGGGGTGTAGCCCCAGTGCCTACGCCCGTTGACGTGGTTGTATTTAGCGCCCCATATCAGACCATGAGCGATATCCTCGCGCCACAACCCGGCGACGTAGGTCGGTAGGTTGTCGCTATCCAGCAGCCCCAGAGACTTAACCACAGTGGCTATGCCGGCCAGGACGGGCAGCTTGTCGGTGCCAAACGACAGCTTGCGCGTTGTATACTCCTCTACTAGCTGGTACCACAGGTCCCACCGGCTTCCCCTTCTTGGCTGCTCACGGATCAGCCTCCGCAGATAGAGGAGGAGCCCTGCCACATAGTTAATAGAGTGTCCATGAAACACGTCGTTAGACTCGCTTGTGAGGACTTTCTTGCATTCCCATAACATTTGCTCGCGGCTAGAGTGCATCACCCGCGGCGATAGTAGCCGCTCCTGCATGCAACAGGCCCGGCTATTTAGCGGGCAGCCTTGGAAGTAGTCGTATATATTACGAAACTCCTTTTTAACAGCGTAGTCCTCGTTCAGAGTTGCAGTAGGTGACCTGCCGCCTTCAGGGTGTATGAAGCCAGCGTTACTTGAGGCGGCATCTAGGGCTGGGGGTGTAACGGTAGCGCCTGCGTATACTGACGCCATGTTTCCAGCCTCAGTAAATCAGTCAGATTGAGAGTCCTGGATGGTACATAAGCTATCAATCCAGAGGTAGCGTATACCTAGCGCTCGTGTGACAGCTATAGCGTCTTGGAAGTTGCGAGGCAAACCCTCAACCGGTAATTCAACTAAGCGTGCCCTCAAGTTTGCGAGGATAGTGCTTGAAGGGATGGTGCCGCCCCAGCAGTGGCTGAGGGCGACATAATCTGCCTGCTCTCCAGGTGCTGCGACGTATAAGCGCGGTTGTACTACGGACTGAGGTGGTCCGAAGTCAATGACACGGGTGGGTAGAGCGCTTTGAGCAAGGGACGCTGCGTGAGGACGCTGGTCTTCAATGCTGCCCTCTCCAGCCAACGAAGTGCCGCCGCGACAACATTTGTGCGATCCGTCGATTTGACACATCGCTATCCAATCTCTATATCTCTGAGCAATGTATTCTGGCGTCAAGTGGCGTGGAGCGACAATGATGTCCTCGTAAGTGAGGAGGGGTTTCTCCTGATGGCGTCCAGGTACAAAAAGTTCCGCAATCGGCCGATGCGGAAGCTGGGATCGTTTGTTTCCCGTGATGATGATTCGGAGAACCTGGCCTTGAAATAACCCTTGCGGTGCCAGTAGCACGGGAGCAGACCCAACCAGCCAATGCGCAAGTCGGGACCAATGCTCACAAGCTCATCGTGGAGTACATGGCAAAGCTCGCAGGACCGGGCACTAGAGACGAGTGTGTCAAAAGAGAGCTGATGTTTGAAGGCTACACGGTCGATACCAAGATGACGGATGGTTGTCGTGAACAGGGAGCGTCTCTCGTCAGCTGTCCAGCCTTTCTCTGGGTGCCCCTTGTTGGCCCAAAAGACAGACAGCTCCTTGATAAAATTACGACATAGCTGACAGAGGTTGCTGCCACTCGGCTCGAAAGGGTCCTCGGGAAGGTTCATAGCTTAAGTGCACACTGTATCTTTATGTTTGGAGTGGGAGAACCTTATTCCTTTTAAAAAGGAGGGTTTAAACTGCCTGTCAGCCTGAAGTGGTGTGGAGTTTATTGTTGATAAGAGGATGATGATTCGCCACAAAATTCTGGACGTTTTGCTGGGCCGCATATTAAAGCCTCGGCTGGCCTGATTTGTTTGCTGATAGCGTGGCAGACTCTCGCTGGTTTGCCCTGGAGACATGCGTCGCCGGCAGTTGGCCAGACATCACAAGGTCAACAGATATAACTGTCTGAAAAGTAACTATCATAACAGTCTACGGAGGTAGGGCTGACTCGGATTGATACACACATCTGTTGCATCAACTTCTCAGCGCAGTCATGGAAGTGGGAAAACTGCAGTTTTCGGCTTGGTTTTCCCAAACATCGTTTGAGGTGTAAGTCATGTTTTCGGAGCGTCATAATGAATGAAACAACAAGAATTTACAGTTGATCAATTTTAACTTTTGCAACACATTCGGATAGGCGACTGACGCTTGTCATGTCGCAAAGAACTGAAGTTGCCAAACTTGGAAGCCTCGGCACGATGCTGTCAGACTGCTTGATTCGTACGTTGATAGGTAAGAGCATTTGTAATGTTAGGTGTTTCTTGAGGTTATCAAGCCTCGGTGTCACTGGAGTCTTTGATGAGATATGTTTACAGATTGAGACGATGCATTTGTTTGTTTTCCTCCCAAACGAATGATTTATTTGTTTTTTTCTGGTCTTTTTTTGAGACGCTGTTTAGCCAAGCTAAACAAGGAATAATCATGATTCACGCCGCCGATCCACGTTGTGGCGTAGGCCGTAAGCGCCCTAGAATGCTTTGTAACATCTAAGCCTGCCATCGATGCTCAGGCTGTCGAAGTGCCTTTTGCACGGCATGAAAACGCAAGCTTCCCAGCCGTGGCTCGTGCCAAGGCGCAGATCGTACAGGATGGCGATTCGGGTTTCACCGCGATGCTATTCAAGGCCAGTTCCATTACAAACTGCCAGTCGGAAGCTGTCTCCCCCAACAGTTATTTGTATTACAAACTCAGCTTGCTTGTAGTACAAGCGAATGTTGTCTTGAATCTTGCTTGCACTGCTTCAAAGACTTGATCATTCCAACACATTCGCCTTCACTGCGTTATTTATTTCGTAATGACAGTCACTAGACAAAACAGGTTTGGCAGACGTTTCCTGTCATTGCTGACCTTGGCACCCTAACTCCAAAGGAGTTTGGCGCACAAAGTAAGTGTCTTTTTTTTCCCTTTCTTTTTCTCTTTTCTCCCCCCCCCCTTTTCCATAGCCCTGGGTCGTCTCGGCTCAGCACAGAATATGATTCAGGTTTGTGTGACTTAACAACGTGGTTACGCTGACTAGGCTCTGCTGCAAGCCATGACTGACAGCCAACAAGGCTACTGTATCCTCTCGCAATTTTAGGACAAAGCTAAGAAATCTACTAGCTATATACAGCTAGTAGATCTCGTATAACAGCTAGTAGTTACTAGCTACACTAGTCCTAGCATAGAAGACAGTTACTATTTTTACCCTCTATTACTTACTAGCTAGCCTACTATTAGTAGAAATATAACTATTAAGTCAACCTACCCACTTTTTGGCACCCCCTACATTTCGGCATGCCAAAAATGAAGCCATTACAACTAACACCACTTTATTTAATTAACTATCAATAACCTCTTGATGCTACGATAATATAGCTTTTGGCCTCACTAGGTAATTTAGATGCGCTGGATTTATCTATATTACTTTTAACTTCACTAGCCTCCTGCTGCAATTACTGTACCTCTTTGATTATTGTAAACTTTGTGTTAGGATCTATATGAACAGCCTTCTGTTTCCTAGGTATACTGTTAGTAACTTGGGCTTCTAGAAGGCTGATTTTTTACTAGGCAGTAGCTAGTATATAGGACTGTTCTTAGAAGCCTTTTTTGACCTTTCTAAATAGTTGGCGTTGTGTGGCGATGCTTTGTTCTAGCTGGCTAAAGAGCTATAGTTGGTCCCTAAGGTCCTTTACCTTCTTTAGCGTAGACCACTTTACTGCAGATAAGGCTAATGCCTAGCCCTCTATATTATAGGCATCCTAGGCTATATAGGTATCTCTAGCAGCTGCTTTAAGTGGTATTAATAGTGTTATTATTAATAATATTGCCTTTTAAACTAGTAGCCTATTTATAAGTAGCTTTATAGCACTAATAGGCTATAACCTAGTGTATTTCTAGCTACTCTTAATATTACTAATAGTTAGACTAGCTAGGTAAGCCTTTTGATAGTAGAAAAGGAAGTTCCTTTTGCCTATAACAGTAAAGTTAATCTACTAACTAAGATATCTAAGCTCCTTCTAATATACTGCCTTAATAGGGCTAAAGACTAACTAGTTAAGTAGCTAGAGGACATAAGAGGTATATAGCAGTAAAAATAAGAGATAGACGTTATTAGTATAGTATAACTATATAAAATTTATTATTATATAGCTCCTATGCCTATCTAGGATAAGAAGTCTAGCCTAGTTAGGCTAAAAGGGCTTAGTCTAAGGAAGGAAGACTCTCTATAGCTATTTAACAGTAGTAATATTAGTAGTCTATTTATTCTCTGTTGCTGTAAACTCCTATCTATTATATAGGCCTAGATTTAGAGGGAACTACTGCTGCTAGACTGTTTTGCCCTTATATATAACCAAGGGATAAATAGTAATGCCCTTAGTAGATATATACTTAATAATAGATACCTAGGCTTATGATCTAGGCTGTTTTTTCCTTACTGCCTTTGTTAAAGCCTTGCCTAGCATTAGCCTATTATTGCCTTTGCCCTTAAGGATACTAGTCTTATCTATATTATATCTGTTAGCTAGTTTAATGGCTTAGATGCAAGGTATAGCGAGATATTTGAACTAGTCCCTAATAACCTTAGTAGATGCCCTATTAATACGCCTTAAATTAATGGATTAACTTCTCTGGACCTTAACAGATAGGTTCCTTTAAATAAAGCCATCTACCTACCTTTTGCCTAGAGGTTAGGTATCCCCTATAGCTTAGAGGATACAATAGGTAAAGTCCTTTAGTTATTAATAGGTTAGTGGGTGCCTAAGGTCTGCCTAGGTAGTCACCTAACTGGCTAGGCTAGCCTCCTGGCTAGTTAAAAGCCTCTAGAGGTCTTTAAATACTGCTTTCCTTAGTTAGGTACCTCTTAGTTGATACTAGAGGGTTGTTTGTGGGATACTGTAGATAGAAGCTGCCTAGATAACACTATGGCTGTTTTTAACAGCGTTAATTGCTTGATTAATCTTATCTTTAGTATACTGAACTATTGATATATAAAGAAGGTATCCTGAAAAAATAAAGTGATTTAATAAAGGTTAAAAAAAGTGGTAGTAGTTTGAAGTTATAGATATAGCTGTTAATAGGGTGGCTAGGCAGCATTTTTGGCATGCCGAAATGTGGGGGGTGCCGAAAAGTGGGTGGGTTGACTTATATAAGAAAATAGATAATTATATATAGATCCTTACTTTTACTAGTAAACTATATTATTTATAGTAGCTATAATACTTTTTACTATTAATAGGCTTCTTAGCTTTATTTTAATTTTCTAAGAGAATATAGTATAAGTAAATTAAAAATTACTATACTATAGATACTTATTAAATCTAGATAAAGCTAATATATAAGAAAATAGATAATTATATATAGATCCTTACTTTTACTAGTAAACTATATTATTTATAGTAGCTATAATACTTTTTACTATTAATAGGCTTCTTAGCTTTATTTTAATTTTCTAAGAGAATATAGTATAAGTAAATTAAAAATTACTATACTATAGATACTTATTAAATCTAGATAAAGCTAAGAAGTCTACTAGTTAATAGTAAAAAGTATTATAAGTACTATAAAAAGTATAGTATACTAGTAGAAACAAGGATCTATATATATCTATTTTCTTATATAATAATTATATTCTTACTAACAGTAGGCTAACTAGTAGGCAACAGAGAGTAAAAATAATAACTACCTTCTATCTTAGGACTAGTGTATCCAGTACTTACTAGCTGTTATAGGACATCTGCTAGCTTTCTTTGACTAGTAGGTTTCTTAGCTTTGTCTAGATTTCACGAGTGTTTATGGTACTTGTCTTTGCTGTAAAACTGGTTCCCTATCCATGTTCCTGCATTTGCTTTCAGTCACGGGCTCAGGTTGGCATTGTCTCCCCGGCTCTGGTTGGCCCTCCGCATTCTTTGGCATCGGTAACCGTTCCGGTTGAGGCAAACGACCATCCAAAGATGATGGCCAACGAGACACTCGGAGTGGAACTTCCATTTGCAGACTGCGGCAAATTTTACAGCTTTCTTTTTTTCCTATGGCAAATGGCTTTCCGGGATCCTCGTTGACAATGGCAGCCAAGCATGGCGGTTGATTGGACAGGATACGCGATCAGGATGCGAGCGCTGTCAGCCGCTTGGCGATATATTTAAGAGAGGGTTGCTCACGCGAGATGGTAAACCTCACAGCTCACTTCAGCATCCTCATCTCGGTTCTTCAACTCACCATCGTCATCATGCTGCCACTTATTCTTGCGACTTTTGCCGGCCTGGCTGCGGCCCAATCTACGCCGTGGCCCAAGTTCGGCAACTGGACGGAAGCCGTCAACGGCTATGACTACATCCTCTCAGGGCCCGCAACCCTGGGCAAGAAGACCGATTTTGAACTGGAACGCTGCCAGTATGTCTGGAAGGACCTCAACAAACGCACGAACGCGACCGATAACTACTTACCGGCACCGTACCCGGCTGAGCGCTGCATGGACCTGCTCTATGAGCGCAAGTCCGCCATCGGCGACGGGGGCTTTCTCGACATCTTCGCCAAGGACATAGAGGAGGCCAAGCGGTTCTGGTACGACGTCAACGACAACTCGACGCTCGACGACCCGGCCACATGGAAGGCCGTCGAATGCCGCGCCCTCGTCCACCTCCCCAACGTCACAGCCTGGGCCTTCTCGGCGTGGTCCGCCTCGCCCTTCGCCGATGCCGCCAACAACCGCGCAAACGCGGAGCACTACTTCAAGCACTCGGACCACACCGGCACTCTAGGCATGTCGCACATCCTCGAGGGCTGGGGCGGCATCATCACGAACTTCACCATCCCCAACTACAGCCCCCAGACCTGCGCCCAGCGGCCTATGGTCCGCCCGCTGCCCGAGTTCGCCATCAAGGCCTGCGGCGACAAGAATCTGGTCGACGAGCAAAGTACGACCTTTGGTGTCCTCAACATTGCTGCCCGGGATGTCCTCGGGTGCGACGGCAAGAAGAATGTCGACATCTACGCGTCGATTTGGTACGGGAGCGGCATCTCGGAGGAGCATCTCGAGGCGGAGCGCCAGCACGTCATCATCGAGATTATCAACATGAGCCAAAAGGCCCAGGAGGACATTGAGAGCGGCAGATTTGCGGTTCCTACGCCCCCGACCTCTTGAGGTCCCTGGACAAGGAACATTCTTCTTTGACAGTAATACTACATTCAGCCAACCTAACATATGGTTATGGTTGTTTTATTCTCATGTTTGAAAACTATTTTTCACACCTGTATTGGACTTTATTCTCAGGCAACTATTCTGAACATGCCAGTACCAATCAATTGTAGAACAGTCGCGCAATACTCGTTCATGTTAGCCGACAACCGCAGCTTCATACGCGGTATTATTCAGCTCCGGTGCTACAACAGTAACCTACCTACATCCAAGTGGCGGGTGCCACTGGACTATGTGGTCAGCTACCATATTTACAAGAGCTGACCACCTATGCGTTTATCTAGACTAGGATAATCATCCAGGTCAACCATCCAACTTCAGCCTATTTTCTCTCCCTGCGCCAATATCACAGCAACGAAACCCACATGGAAAAGCCTTCACCTCTTCCTGATTGACGTATAAACAATCAAAGATCGGCATACTGGGTCTTCGTAGATGCTAGCCGCAACTTCACCGCATTCCTTCGTACCAGGGCGGCGCCTGTGCGGAGTGTGTATTTCAGTCTCATGGCGCCCGTTGTACTTATCATGGCGAGGGTCCCGGATCGTCCGATGAGGATAACGACGATAGCGACAGCGATGGTCCTACCAACTATCGCAAGCCATCGTACGAGGATGCAACCGGAGTACGCAAACTTGCTGCACAGGAAACCATTTTTTTTACTAGGTTATAAAGAGCGTATAAACGTTTTACGCCTACCTATTACTTTGCCTATACAAAGGAAAACACACACCCTCAAACTTGATCCTATTCAAGGATCAATGGCTTCTCGCTAGAGCCAAGGAAAGAACTACCCTCGCCAACACCTTTTCCTAGACGTTTTCCTGGTGTGCAAGGGTTACGACCCTTGGACACCAATGGCTTCTGATAACGGCTAGGACCACCACCGCCACCATTGTTGTCACCGTTGTCTCCATCGTCGCCCGAAGAAATATCCCCTTGGCCATGATGGCCGCATCGTGCGCCGTGACTCATCCATACACACTCACCACAGGCACCACCCTGATAGTCATTAAGACGTCGGCACTGGGTGAATCGGTGAAGATCCGAATTGAAGCGTACGTTGAGCGAATTGAGAAAGCCAATTGAACAGCAGAGCAGTGAAACAAGGCAAGCAATAAACAAGGAGCTGAACGATTGACACAGGACAAAAGATAGGTATACGTGTAGATAGTCTATTCAGGTTGACTCCCCCAGTGGGAGGCATTGGACGATGAGATATATACTCCATGGGCACGTGTCTATTCATGTGCCTGTGGGGTCATCCATCGTCCCTGTTGTCTATCTACAGTATACAGTGCTTGTCCTGTGACAAGAGGAGGAAGTACTAAGTTAAACACCGCTGAGAAGAGCATTCCGACCCGCGCCAAGTAAGGAATCAGCACAATGCCATGAGGAGAGTCCCGAAAGAGAGCATTGATGAAGTACGCCGCAAAAAAGACGCTGAAAAGCGTCTTATCAGACGATACCGACACTCATCAAGCCAATTAGGATCAGAGGTCGAGATTGTAGACGTTCACAAGACCCCAACACAAGATTCCTTCACACAAACGCCTCTATTCGACCCTAAAACTAGCAATCACGAAAGATAGCATTCACAGATCCCTTTGCGGGATATTTAATCTCCAATTCTGTACTTCTTGGGGTTACTGTTCTAGTTGGAATCTTGGACAGGCATCATCTGCCCTATCCGCCCTAGCAATTCCAACTATAAGCACTCCACCGACTGGAGGCTGCTTTCCACGACAGTGGCGACGAGATGCTCCGAAAGCAGAACGCCAACTGGGTCAGGGCCTTCTACGCCCAACGCCAGGGCAACTCCGCCGCGCAACAGCGATCGTCGCTCACGTCGGACGCGTACTTTCGCCAAGAGATCACCACGCCTATAGACACTGTCCTCGCCAAGTTCAAGAAGGATAAGCTGTACACAGGTGATATCCCCAGCAGAGCCGCGCTAATGAGCTCTACATTCCTGCACTAGCCTAGTTAGTCTAACTTAAAAGTAATAGGCATATTGCTGTACAAGCAACAGATGCTTATCCGTCTCGGCTCAGGACTATACTTGTTGGCATATGGGTGATGCGGCCGGAGGAGGTGTGTCACGTGACACACCGCCTACCGGCAGTATCCCTCACCCTTGCCCACGCGCAAGGGTGGTGCCGCACTTGCGCTCCCACTTCACCTTGCAACGAGTTAACTATCAAACAACAACAACCACTAATTGACCACTCTTTCCCACTCTTCGTGATATTGCGAACTCGGGATATCCCATCGGTTAACCAGTGAAAAACCAACAATACTCATCACCAAGCTCACTTGGATTGATAAAAAAAATTCTACGTGACGGCAATCGGAGTTCGCGGCGTCAAAGGAAGCAGATACATGCCGTATGTGGGCTTGGGTTGGATCCCTGGTCATCTGGTTACGCCTGACACTGTTCACGCTGCCAAGAAGGACATCAAGCATATCGCGAATGCTGACATCCTCATTTTCCTTCTTAACTACGATGAGCAACATTGGGCTTTGCTCCTGGTTAACCAAATCGACGGCAGAATCTACTACGCGGATTCCAACTGGACTCCTGACTGCGACGCCCTATTCGCAGACGCAATCAAGTCTCTTTGGCAATGGTACTACCACGTGGGTGCGCCATTGGATCCTCCAGGTATCATTGGGTCGAGTGCATATGTGGTCAATACGACTCAACAAGAGGACGGATTCACTTGCGGTCTCTGGGTAGCTGAATGGACCCGGACCGTCCTCCATCTGGGAGTCTTGTCTCCAAGCTCACTTGGATTGATAAAAAAAACTATACGTGGCGGCAAAGGTATCGTCATCAACCCATTCATCGCCGGCATCAAGGAAGAATCAGACACCGCTCTAGTCTGTCTCGAACTCCCACAAGGGAGCACGTTCAAGGGGCTACAAATAAAGACACTAGGAACATGGGGAAATGTGATCCATAACGATTATGACGTGACAAATATAAAAGATTATTCGTTGTTCACGTCATCTATAGAATTTAGAAACAAGCCAAATTCGCCGGCTCACCGCGCCGACGACACTTTCAAAGACACCCAAGCGCCTGTAGACCCCTCGATGGCTTTAGAGCGGACTCAAAGAACCCCCTCACTGCGCGAAACATCATTCTGACGTCCTACTACACTACACCTGGGTTATGGTACCGCCTATTCTACACGCATGAGCTTGATTACTGAATTCAGTTGCGCTGAGTTTGACTGCACTGGATTCTCCCCTGTGGCTCTATAACTTAACTACCCTACTTCCGCACCACCGCCACTTCTACACTACCTAAAATTCTATATTTCTCCTGCTTTATTAACACTACTACCGTTTTCAAACTATTATAACAATTACTATATATTACTAAGCAACACTAATTGGTAAGAAGACTTTCTCTAACCTATTATAAAGTAATATACTAAAGATAAGCTCTAATAGTCACTTTAAGATAAAAACTGGATGTAGGCAAGTTTGAAAAAAGAACTATAAGAGGTACTTTTAATTTGTGATAGTAGCTATGTACTCTAGAGGTAAGCTTGCCTAGGCGCACTTTGCCTGAGCAGTGACGGCCTAGTATTAAGTACAACAACAACAATAAAGCACTCGTTTGTTCCTTCAAGCCTGCCTTGACGGGCTTCAGACAGCAAGCCCCACGGCTGCTGAAGCAGCGCCCGCGTCGCCCGCCCTTTCGGCGAGACTGTGGGCCCCGATCGCAAAGTCGGGCTCGTACTCAGGGACGTCGCGCGTGTCGAGCGTACCGTTCCAACAGTACCGCTGGAAGCAGTTGGCGCATGCCGTAGGCACAGTCTGGCGGGCGCGGTCCATGCTGCGCGAAAGGACAGCGCAAGCGACGCAAACAGGCCACTCTGCGTCGAGGGTAGCGTTTCCCTGGGTAGCTGCATCATAGCCATTCTGGATGATGGTGTCGCGCCGGCTAAGGTTGTATTTGAGGTCGAAAGTAGACACATTAGACTGGGTGCTATAGGGCGCATTGGGGATGTAGACGATAAGGGGTGGCGGTAGCTGCTGGTCGCTACTAAGGGTGAAATTAGAGGCATTACAGCCGAAGAAGGTCGGCCGGCGGTTAAGGCCGAGGTTGATAAAGGTGTTGGCGTCAGGGACAGGTGGGAAAAGGGCGCCATTAGCAATAGGCTTAGCAGCGCGGTTGTAGGTAGCGCGGTTATAGGTGGCGCGGAGGGCGCTACCATTAGGCCAGTGGAAGGTAGTATCAGCTGAAGAATCAACAGCAAAGATAACATCAACAGCGCGGTTTGGCTGGATTAGTGGTTGAAGTGGGATATTCTGATGGTCCTCGCCGCCATCAACAAGGGTCAGCTGGGACGAGTTGGCGGTAGGGTTGGTGCTTGGGTTCCAGCCGAAGAAGGGGTTCGGCACATACTGCGCAATATCGTCGTTATCCTTGTCAATTCGCTTAAGGATATCTGTAAGAGCGCTCTTGGCGAAGCCGGGAATACTCTCGGATTTTGATATAGAGTTGCGAAGAATAAGCTGATTGAATAGGGAGGATGAGGTGCCCATAACAAAGCCGGCCTGGTCAAAGCCACGAACGCAAGAGCCGCCAGCAGTTATACTGCCATTATAAAAGTTAGAGGCAAGGTAGGAGAGGGGTGCAAAGCCAAAGGCTGTGTTATCCCAAGTACCAAGCTCAAAAGGGTTAAACTCATATACAGTAGCGTTAAGCGAGATAAGACGCTCACCAGGGGCGCGGCCATCAGCAACTAGTATGGGGAATGGCTGGGCGCCAGCCTGGAAGTCAGGCGATTCAGCAATAGAGGAAAAGGTGTAAGCTGGGCCCCCATCAACATCATTGATAAGCTGGTATGAGAGGGCGCGGCCCCAGTAGTCTGTAATAGACACTTCAAACCCCTTGTCCTTACTGTACACCTGGCTGATGATGTCCTTCCAGTACTTGGCTGTGTTGATGATAGAAAGACCGGGATCCTTAGGTCCAGTGAAGATAGAGTGTTCAAACTGCCAGACAGTAGAGCTCTGCTGTAGGTCGACCACAGAGGAGAAGTTGTTGAAGAAGAGGGAGCCCACAAGCCAGCCGCCTCCAGAGAGACCAGCTAGGTAGGTAGCTGACTGGAGCAAACCGCCAATACCGCCAGCAGACGTAGAGCTAGGCGTGCGGCTGTCAGCAGCCGCTAGAAAGCCAGCACCATTCATAAGAGCGCGATACCCACCCCCAGATATAGCGATGGCGATGTTGGGTAGCTGGGACGGCCTGAGGCCATCAATATAGGCGCCAGCATCAAAGTCAGGGATGTTGGCGCGGGTGAGAAAGTCGCGTAATGGTTGGACTATAGCACTCCGCCGGCTCGTGAGCCATGCCGTCTCATTAGGCGACAGGGCTGATGCGGAGCGGATGGTGGGACCGACTGCCGGGCATTCGACAACAGCTGGGGCGTAGCCTCCCGAGGGTGAGTTCGGGAGAGCCCGGGAGTCTAGAGCGTTCAAGCGGGCCGACATCGGCCTCACGGGACCGGCTGCCCACACCGGGGCGAAGATGTCAGCTATTACTAGCAAGAATAGGGGCAACATATTGGTATGAAGCTCCCCTTTGGAGACTTAGTCCAACAACGAGAGGCAACCCCCCAAAAAGAAAAAAGAAAAAGAAAAAGTGGGGAGAGGACGGCAGTATATGTTGTAACACTAGTATTAGAAATGTGACCGGGGCGATGGAGGGTATTATAAACATATAGATGAGGCTGAGCCCTCAATAGAATAAACGAATAGTCGGTAGAAGCGGCAGTGAAGAGTGGAGGATGTCACTAGCAATAATAATAACAATAAGAGTATTATTAACAATAGACTCTAGCGATTTTTGGGCAGTGTCTAGCGGCTGTGCGGCGAACTCGACGTGACTCGACCAAAAATTCAACTGGGACAAGGGATCTTCGGCTTCCTCCTCGGATCCGCCACGCTAGAAAAAAGCAGTTCCACGCGGGTGCCTGGCTAGGTTATGGCGTCGAGTTTTGGGTAGCCAGGTTTCAGCATGGAAGCCATGGGACAAATTTGGGCTTAAGAGAGTGCTCCCTATGTGATGTTCTGCATGATCAAATAAACAGTAATTGGGATTTGGGAGCTTAGTGAGCCCGCCCTCTAGTGGAAGATGGTCGGAATTATAAGATTGGTGGTGGAATGCAGGGGTAACAGGTCGTGTCAGATCTTTAACCGTAAAGAAGACTAAGGCCTCAAATATTATCAGCGAATAAGAGGGAGCTCAAGGCATACACAAGGGGACGCCGAAACTATGGCTTCGGGGCGAATGGGAGCGTCCGGTTCCCGCGGATTGCTAGTCATGTTGTGAGGTCGGGGATCTCAAGGGTCTTTGTGAACGCGTACAACCGTAGGCTACTAAGCCACATATTCAAGGTATAGTCACATGTAGAAAGCCTGGGCCCAACCCGCCTTTACACTATCAACCGTCTTATAGAGCCAATACCGCCGCGCTTACGAGCTGTACGGCGGGCCCGGGGATGGTATACACGATGCTGATAGGCAAATAATTAGGTTTCAATTGACTACACTCTTGCCATATATATTATCAAGTTTGTGGTTCTAATCGTAGTAAAAGTGATGGGGTAGATGTGTGGGCTGGAGGGAAATAAGTGGGTGGGCCCAGACTTTTTGCACGTCACGGTACCTCAAGATTGAACAGGTACCTATACAACAATATATGTGCTGGTGTGTCCAAACGAGGGAATAGACACCACGGCAATAGGCGGCCGCTTTTTAATCCCTTTTGGGGGCTATCTGAAAGCCATGCCGAGGCCTAGTCGTGAGCTGGCGTCAGGTACGCCACTCAAAGGCAAAGGCGAGACAGCAAAAGTAACTACGATCCATGAAATGATCTGAAACTGTCTGGTTGAGGCAGAGAGATGGCCAGAATAACACTCCTCTGATATCTGGAAGCAGGGGGAGCAAAAACAGTGAGAGAGCAAGAAACACCGGGGGGCCGGAGAACGCCATCAAGTCAAGTGCCGCATTGCCGAGCCAGCGGGCTACAATGTCGGGTGAGGCGGTTTAGGAGACAAGGGGAGCCTGTCGCGACATCAGCCTCTGCCTGTGCCAACACTGCGTCTGTGCATACATGTGCTTGTGTTCAAGCTGCTGTCACTGTCTTCTCGGATTGAAACTACCCAAGGGCAGCGGCAGCGAGACACGTTAATAACTAATACTGGTGCTAAAATGGCGCCCAGGAGCGATCGGCGGCAACAGAATAGGCCATGACTAAGTATAACTTCTAAATGGCATAGCCTGTAGACAGGGCTTATCAATGGGTGTGCTTCTTATATGGAGAAATTAGTAGACAGCAGTCTAGCCTGTACGCACGGGTTAACAGAAACTAGAGGCTGTTGTTAAAGTGCAGGTAGCTAAGATAGCGCTGCCTATAAGCTAGATAGACTTGTCTGTCTAAAGTTACACCAGCCCTCATACTGCCTTACTCATAGCCTCCCAGATTCAGCGCGTGGCCCATTTAGCTGCCTGCCTCCAGCCTGCTATCATCCTGCCATCCACACTTTAATAACTAAATCTTCCTTGGATACAGTAGTATTACAAGTGATAATTAGTTTCTACATAAGGCAGACATAATACTCGCTTGAGCCGTTTATCGAAAATTCGTCCTGTTAATGTGGGATAAATAGTTTCCTTAGGTGAGAATCACTGCAGCGCAGTGTCCTAAGAACAGAGGCCCTGGTTGACTCTGGAGATCTCTTAGTAATCACACAGCCAGGCCTGCATGCGCTGGCTTTACCGTTATTTATTGCAACGAATGCAGCTTGGCCGCCAGATTGTTAGTGCTTTATGCGCACGGACGCAATGTGGACTAGTCTCGGACATTACCGACCGGCCGGAATAACCGTATGCACAGCTGCCTTAGGCGCTTTCTAGGTATCTCAGCTGTCAACGGATACTAGATAGTAATATTTGGGTTACGGGTAAATTGCCAGTGCACTTTTGGTATCTTGCCAGTGGGTTAAACCTAGTTAGGAAACACATTATGTCAGCACCAGCCAAAAATCGCCCACAACAACATTTGACTTATCTAACCAATGAGAGGGCCACAGCGTTGGATCAGCCCGGCGTCGGATTAACCCAGCGTCAGATTAGCCCGGCGTCGGATTAACCCAGCGTTAGATTAACCTAGCGCCAGCCTAAATTAATCCTGCCTATACTATTTATACTGCCTAGGCAGTAGCTACAGTAGTAGTTGTAGCACTAATTACTGGCGAAGTTGTTGCTGCTGCTAGGCTAACTAAAAGGGCTGCTTGTTGTTGCTGCTGTTGCATTGTAGGCGTCTGTTGGCAATAGTGGATTTGCGGCAAAAAGGGCATGGGCTGTGGACTGCAGTAGTGGCGGTGGTGGCAGTGCCTACCTAACTAGGTTTAACCCACTGGCAAAATACCAAAAGTGCACTGGCAATTTACCTGTAACCAATATTTGTATTACTTACATTTATAGATTTAGATTAGCTCTTTATGCATCCCTGTTACAGACCTCTCTACTATACTACAATTATCAAGACTTAGTTAGGAAGAGGAACAAAGATAATTATATATAGGTTCTAGTGTTCACAATACACTTGAACTCTATTTTACATCTACAACTCTATTCTACAACCTTAATCTACATCTACAATTCTATTCTACAACTCTAATCTACATCTACAACTCTATTCTACATCTACAACTCTAAAGCACTCTCGACTACCTTGAAACACTCTCACAATGAAGTTTTCTGTACTTGCAGCTATTCTCTTTTCAGCTGCTAGCGTTAGTGCTTCTGAATGCTGGTATGTTTATCAATAACGTTCTTCAATCAAGCTTATCTAACAGTTTAGGTGTTACAACTACCAACACCTAAGCAAACCCCCTTATCACGCAACTCCGTCTAACGATCATGCTACAACCCAAGCTTGTAGCCACTGGAGGCGGGGGACACACGACAGAGGTAGTTATAACACCTGCGACCTAGGGAGAACAGTGGGCACAGGGCAGTGGAAAGAAGTAAGTGAACTAATTAGCAGCGCCATATGGTCACAACTAACGATTGCTGTAGACTTGCAAACGCTATGGGGCATATGGAGGAAACTGCCATTGAATTATTGGTTTTTATAATCATATTGTTAGAGGCCCTGGGGGGGCAAAGCTCAGCAACTGAGGTTATGTGTGGCAGCGTGTCGGCAAGTTAGCGTAGAATGTGGTAATGTAATGTATCGTCATGAATATTTTGATAAATCTGACTTGACACACACCACTCGCAGTATGCATCTGCTACTTATGAAAGACTATGCTGCATTCCTAGATTATCCAGTGAGGCCTTTACTTAATCGCTCATGAGCAGTGTCGGCAGCAACTACGAAGCCTCTTCTAGAAGGCTAATGGTGTCGCCAGCATATGTATCTAGCCTATTTTCGTCTTGGGGCAGAGTTGCAGAAAAGACCATTAACTGGGTATGGGGTAGATTAGAGAGGTAGTGTGCACTTGAGTCTAACTATGAGAAGATGCATTATCGTTAGACATTACACCCCATCAGTTTTGCCTTGGGTATCGAGAGAGGGACGCTCTGCTCCGACCACTTCAGGATGGTTGATTATCTTTGTGTCAGTCGCAGTAGCTGTGTTTGGGAAGAGCAAGTCATGCTCTGGCGCCTGTGCCGACATGGGCTTAGGGATCGAGTTGGCAGACTTGACAGTTTCCGGATCCGCCACCGGCGCCAGGGATTCGAAGAACGCCGTCCCGTCCGAACCAAGCAGGCCTTTCAGGATGGTGTTGACCAGCTCCACTATCTGGCTGTTGACTGGATCCGTGTTGAACAGCGCGGCGAGATGGTAGCTGTCTTCCACCAAAGACAGGATGCCAGCCAGCCAGGGAAAGGCCTTCTCGATCGACTCGAAAATATCGCTAGACAGGGACCATTCTCCGATCGAGATCGCGAGGGACTCGACCACCGCCGACAAGTGCGGCGGCGACGACAGGTCCACCACCACCCGAGCCAGCATAGAGACCTCTGTGAGTGCGAGCTCGCCCACGGAGGTGAAGCTGCCGTCAAACAGGGACACGGACCCGGAGGCCATGAGAGACGTGTTCAGGATGGCTGTGACGGTGACCTTGTTACTACCCAGCGCATCGGCCGTGACGCGAGGTACGCCGGCGCTGGAACCTGGGACAGAGACAGCAACAGCTGCAAGAGCGAGAATTGAGGCGTACACGCACTTCATCTCGGGTATCTCGAGCTTCGTGAGCGTTACGGAGCTCTTGTTCAGGACGGGTGGCAGCGGCACGGTGATCGGGTGAGCCACGAGCGTCTGGGGGACTAACTTGGCTGCCGAAATCAGGTAGCGGTTGAGGTAGTCGACCGAGCTGCCATCACAGGCGAAGAACCAGAGGCGGAAGTCCACGCCGTTGTTCATTGAGTTGATGGGCGCCAGCAAGCCTCCGATCTTGCCGTCAGTTGCGGACCACGTGGCGTCCGTGACGTACAATTCCCTGCCGAGATCGACCTTCACAGTCTCGTCACTGAACGCGAGGGTGAAGCTCGACTGCAAGACAGATATGTCTGACGTGTTGATGTGCTGCAGCTTGCTCGTCTGGTAGGCCGGGACGGTCTGAACGTCTGGTAGGTCTTTCTCCATTGCCACAGACGCCGTTTTGCGCACCTCGAGCGGCGTGCCCAGCTCGTTCGTGAAGGTCACATGAGCGTCAGTGAGTCCCATGATGACGGTATTGTTGAAATTGTGAACAGGAACTTGAATTTGTTTTGAATGACATGGGAATACAAGCTAGGACTGCGGGTAGGGAAGGTGTGTGTGCCCGGGATAACTGGAAGGAAACCCCCGCTGTTCTTCTCGCGGCGAAATCGTCTCTTTATACCCGTAGCCAGGATCAAGGCCATATTTCAGATTAAGAGATGCGTCATTGGTCATGAGCCTTTCGAAACAATCTATACACTTCGCATGTACCCTTATTTACTGGTACATACCAAGCCCCTAGGGTTATGTAGACAGGCTTCTAACGCAGCTAACAGTCTAGGGATGAGATGGGGAGTGGCAGATATGGGCAGAAGCACATAGTAGCGGGACAAGCCAGATGTTCACGCTGTCGTGAGCCTGCATTCCCCGGGTCTCAAGATCAGTAAGAAGCATGCATACTCATTATTTTGCCAGCCTGTCTTGTCAATCAAAGAGCAGGCGGAACGGGACGAATGGAGCATAGTTGTCCTACGCCAGGTCCAATCCCAAGGCAATTCAGGGCTGGCTAATAGCTGCCACGAGATATATAAGTGTTAGTTACTGCCCACGTAACTGACAGTATCGTTTTGTTACGTGACAGTTATAAGCCCAGCTCTGCCGACCTTGCGCCAGAACAGTCAGACTTCAAAATGCGGCAGTAGCTTAATATTCCAAACACTGTAAGTTTGATTCTTATAATTGTCTAAGGGCGACAAGGACTCCTAGTTAAAAATCCTAAAAGTCTAGGGAATACACAGTCTATACTACCTATGACTAGCGAGATGTACCTAACTAGGTTTCCTACTGTAAAAGAGTGTCAAATCTGACTTGTTAGGTCAAATCTGGAGTGTGTGTCACGAGATATATATTAAGTGCTAGCTGCTGCCTACGTAACTAACGGTATTGTTCTGTTACGTGGCAATAGCGTTAAGTGCGTTTTGTGATTCGTATATTATCAATTTCTGGGGGGCAACAGCCTTTGAAAATCTCAACCAAATCATAACCGCATAGACTGCTCAGCTCAATCTACCGGCTTTTCCTTCACAATGAGGAACTCCTGGTAGTTGCTGTCGTCCGGGTCCTCGAGGGTCTCTCGAACAATGACGCTGGCTTTTCCAGCCACGGTTGCCAGATTGTGAGGGAATAAGTGGGGATTCCCTTAATAAGTGTATGTGTGGTGCAATGCTGGCACGAAGTGCCAACATTGGTTGATCTTTTGGGCATTTGCCTGAATGGTCTATGGACGGGCTTAGTACACCACCTAAGTTCCCTGACACAGATATCCAGAAACAATCACACTTATAGCGTATCCCGGTGCCAGGCGAATGAGCCCTTGCTCGGCCTTGTCCGTGCCGCCAGTCTTACCAGTCACTCGCACTTCCCATGCCGCGCCCCCCGAGTCGCGCGGATCGAATTGCAGCAAGGCCTCCAAGCCCGGGTCGTGGCCAAAGAAGATGTTGCCAGGGTTGTTGCGCGAAATGTCGGTGGCATCAACGAGCTCAAATTTGGCATCCGAGAACAGAGCGTCCGGGGCGATTGTGGCCGTAGCTGCACCCGCGAGGAATCTAAACGACATGGCCCGCGGCTTCATGATGGAAGACGTGGGATTGGCGGCCTCGAGGACCAGAGTCTTCGTAGCACCTCCCAGCCCAACACCTGTCGGGATGGTGTAGACGAGGAAAGGACCGGGGTGTTCGTCCCAGGTGGCGATCAAGGACCGACCGACACCTTCGATGAGGCTCTCGATCGGGGTGAGTGCTGGCTCTGGTGATTCCTCCCGCATCTCGAAGATGGACATGAATATCATGATAACGACACCGATCTCGACCAACACGGCTCCGACAATCGGGAGAGTTACAACCATGGTGGACTCTGCGGCGACGAACCCAGCCCATATGATGGCTTCCGCAACCAGTTCGCTGGCGAAAATGCTGGCTGCGGTCACGCTGATCGAGATGATGGTGAGCGCCTTGCCGGCGGTGGTCAACTGGCTCCAATCGTCCCTGAGGCTAATGGTCATGCCGACGACGGCGATGATGCTCAGGATGATGGTGATGCCAGGGAAGACTTGACCTGGCGCGTTGAAGCCCCTGTAGATGTCCTTGAGAGATGCTGGTAACCCCTGGTCTTCACCGACCGGAATCACTCCCCACACACCTGCCACAGTTCCTCTGGGAACGTCTACGGACTTTGGTAGCGGGTAGCGACGAAACTTACGGAAGATGCCAGTCTCGAGCCACTTCTAATCCTTGAGCGCCGCCTTCTTGCCGATGAACATCACAAAACGCGTGGCCTCGCCCAATGCTTGCTGGTCGAGGATCTCGCCCAGGGCCGCGTCCAATAACGGGTTCGCCTTGAAGAGCTTGTAGCCGTTCCAGACATCCCAGGTCTTCTCGCTCACGTCGACGCAAAATTGGATGGTGCCGGCGATGAGGACGGTCGCGGGCAGGGTCTCGGACGACCAATCACTGAACCCCTCTGTGGCATCGTAGAGATACCTTGCCACGATGCACAGTGACCAGATTCCCTTCATGGCAGCCAACCTGCGAGAGCCCTCCGGCTCAAGGATGCCCATCACTTTGTCAAACTCAGTGGACACCCACGACCAGGTCGTCTCTCTCCCAAAGAACTGGGTAAAGTGCCTTTGCTTTGGATACTACGGAGCCCGAATGGCTGATGATGTTGACAGGTTGTGTGCGATGGAACAAGCTATCCTGTCAAAGGGTACGACGACTTGTTCAAGGCCATTGGGAACGCTAGTGGAGGCGAGAACGGAAGGCTTAAGATTCCGGACCTTCAAGGCCGCTTCATCAGAGGTGCGTGAGTTGCCGGCCGACTTGTTCTAGCAGCCATATCATATCACACTGGGGTGCCCCGGCTGATTTGTCCCATGAGCCAAGGTGACAACCCGTTGGGCTCGTCCTTGGTTGCAGGGTCCGCGCACGACTCTACGCGCCTCTCTTCGCCGCCATCGGTACGACCTGCGGCTACGAGGACGACCAGTCCTTCTTCGTGTCCAATTTTTCCGGCCAATACCCGCGCGGCGCCGGCATTAACAACCGCAGGGAGGACGGGGACCCGGACCGCAACAGTCGGCACTCACGCAACCTCAACGGCACCAGGAAGGGGGCTGAGTCCTACCAGGGCTATGCCACGGGCATTCCCAAGAGCACACCCCACCTGGAGATTGATTAATCCCGGCCCGTGGCGACAGACCAGTCTAGCTGGCCCTTGGCTCACCAATGACACGGCCGGAAATCCAGGCCCGGCATCTTTCTCCCTGACCGGCCTTGATGACCACGAAACGGCACCGGCCTCTGGGGTGGTCAAGTAACTCATACGTGCTTTCTAGGCGGTGCCGCAGTTGGGGTACTACAGATTGACTAATCCCCTTGTTGTTGTTGTCGCAAGGATATTTGCAGCTTATGTGTTATGTGCATAGCAGGGCACTTATGTAAGATCGTGTTATTCGGCTTCCCCCAGGTGCTTTTTACCCTAGATAGTGGCTTTATGTAATCGGAGTAGCATACGACTCGTTCATTGAGACTCATATGTATGACTATGCAGCTATTAGAGCTGCTAGTTACCTAGGTAGTTAGTTGCAGCTCAAAGGGCATCAAAAAGACAACACTCCGTATGATGCGCCCATAACACACGCTTTTGGATTCTATTCTATGTAGACGGCTTCTGGATACGCCCCCACTATTCATACCCTTTAGTCACATGCTCTGCGAGCATCATACGCGCAACTTCATATCAATTGCACAACAAGATGATTGTATCTCTAAGCCCTCGGACTCCTAAGGATCAAGGTCTAGAATCTCGGCCGCAGCACAAATGAACCCAACGTTGCCTGGAGTATTGTGTTTTGTTATTGTCTAGAATTCGCGAGTATGTCCCTTTTCGGACCGATCACGTTGCACATATTATGAGCTCCGCCCTAAGAACTACAAACGCGGTTGACACGGGCACTTTCAAAACCCCCCCACAGATGGAATGGAAGACCACGCGCACTAGAACCAGCAACAAGAAAATCAACAGAATTCATGGAAAGATTGCAAAAGCCAGACAGTGATAGGGATTCGCTGACTCTCGCCGACCCAACTAATACCCAAGAGTGTCTTTTGAGAAACAGATAGTACTTGTGAATCTTGCTGGAGGGTATTTACCAGATTATAAAAGTGTACGAGTCATACGATCAGTCACGTGACATTCTATATACCGCCCCTCCTATCCCAACAATCGGCAATGACAGTGGCATTGATGATGGTTGCTCTGTTGGCCTTCGTTGTCAACTGGCTTCTGGAGGACAGAAGATCGTGCAACTCCATTCCGTCGCCCAGTGCGTGCCGACACCATCATGCTGTGTTCATACTCCTACGTGGACAGGTAATACGATGTTCGATCCTTGGGCCCCCCGCCGCCCACTTCCCCTTCTCACATGTGCGGAGATGAGCGACGGGAACAAGCCAGGGGAGGGGGGACCCGGAATATAAACTCTGCGGTTTCGTGGGCTGTCGCCTCAGCCACCGAACCAGAAGAACTGGCGAAAGTCGGCCCTTTCGGAGCCGCTCGTGTCCGCCTGTCCGTCCGTTCCACGGTGCCGCGGCCCGTGATGGACGCGCATTGCATTAGTGTAGATGGACAAGCCTAGGCAGGGTTTTCGTAGGGCTTCGTTTGGTGATGGGTACCCCGCGGCCTCGGAATCTTTCGTCGCGCCGCGACAGCCCATCGTGGCTGTATTCCTCCAAGCGTGTATAAAGGTTTCATAATTGATTCGCCCGTCATGCCTTCGCCTACCGCAGCACCACCGGCTACACTATCGGCTGCCGCTAGTGCAGTTGTAGGATCAACAGCCTTGTTACCTAATTATAAGACTAGCGACCAAGTTTGATATATTGCTGCTGGAGCCAAGGTTTGGTGCCGCGCCGCCGTTAAGTGGCGCGACTCACCTCCTGGAGACGTCATAGGCCAATGGCGTGGCATTTGTCGTTTGGATCGGCATCGTCCAACGCAAACTTTGTTCGCTCGTGAACACCACGAAAGGGAAGGGGGGAGGGAGGCCTCGAGCAGAACACACAGCAGGCCCGTCGACCAGACGGATAGCCTTCGTCGGCGTGTCGCCGTACTGCCTGTGACTGCAAGGGGAGATTGCAACGCGAGGATGCTGCCATGCAAATGCAATGCAACGCTTTCCGGTCCTCGAGGGTAGGGTTTCAGGCTTGCTGGCCTTTGGGCACGCGCGCCCAAACCACTCCTTGCGCGAACCCGGGATTCAGGCCAGGCTGATAGAAGAGAGTTTTTTTTTTCCCCCAGAAGAGAGAAAGGAGACAACTGGCGAGCGGAAGCGAACCGCCAACGCTGCCCGCGCGCCAACGACGTGGGAAACCCGCAGGGAAAGATGGAGAGTCTATTGACAGTCGGCGAACACGCAACATCACGCCACCGGCAGAAAGTCAAAAGAGAAATGGAGGGGGGAAAAGAGCGGCCAACCAGTCTCTGCTGCCGCGCTGCGCGACGAAACCGGTCAGCTCTTCAAGGTTCCGCGTAACTCTCGCTCAGGCGCTCCGTCCAATCACGCGCGGTTCTCGGCAGCCTCGAAAGGCGAGCCGGGACGGGGGGTTGCGTGGCCGTTGATGCTTTTCTCTCTCTCTCTCTCTCTCTCTCTCTCTCTCTCTCTCTCTCTCTCTCTCTCTCTCTCTCTCTCTCTCTCTCTCTCTCTCTCTCTCTCCGCGCGCCAACGCAAACCCAAATCCACTCTACCTGGTGTGACATGGATGTTGACGTTTGCCGAGTTCGATCGCCCGCAGCAAGTCCAAAATGACAAGCGCGTTCCGGGCGGCCAGAATGCAAGCGATCACTGGTCCCGTGGAAGGCTACCAACAGATTTTGCCCATCTAAGAATAGCGGATGGGGAGAGAGAGGGGGAAGGAGAAAAGAGTGAAGGGCTAGAATGCAGTGTGCTTCGTACGTCTGATCGTTCGGCCAGGGGAGGAGGAGGAGGAGGAGGAGGAGGAGAAGGAGGAGGAGGGGAGGGGAAGGGGTCAATACCTAATGCGCAAACATGACATGGCGGCGCTGTTTTCGGGCCTGCACGAATGACCATCACAATATGGGTGGGAGACCAATCCAGAGCCCAATACTACTAGACCTGCCTTCAGACCAAGCATTCGGGTTCGGCATCCCGGGCATCCCATTCTCTCCCCTTATTCGTTTGCTGGGAATCCCTGCCGTCGTCGGCCGCCAGAGCCCCAACGCCGAGTCATTCGACCGTGGCCGCCGGCCCATCAGACCCAGAAAAGCAATTACTTTGCTACGTCAACTCCGGGGCTGTGATGAACTCTGTTCTGGTGTCGGGTAGGGACCGGGGAGGGAGGCGAACGAACCCTGTAAGGCGCGGACCTCCTCTACCCCCGTGCGACATGCCGGGTTATTTAAGATGGTCGTGCAGTCGCAAAGATCGTAGCAAGAGGTTCGTTCTAGTTCGTTAGCCTCGAGCTGAACATAATTCCAACTTCACCACATTCGTTACAGGTTTTCCTTCAGCAGGAAAAACAAACGCCCCGCAAACCCAAATGTCGTTCTTTAAACTGTCGCTCGCGACCTTGCTGGCCGCCGGCAGCGCTTCCGCCGCGCCCGCCGCCGAGCTGTGCCCGCCGAACGGCATGGTGGCCTCGAGCTACTTCGCCGGCTTCCACGCCAACCGCGGGTTCCCCGTGTCCAGCATCCCGTGGGAGAAGTACACCGACGTCAAGTACGCCTTCGCCGAGACGAACCCCGACGGCACCCTCAACCTGTCCAAGTCCGCCCCCGACCAGATCCCCGCATTCGTCGCGGGCGCTCATGCGCACGTAAGTTCTTATGTTACACACACTTCAGATAGTGCCTCTTTGTGTTACACGACGAATTGCTGACTCTTTCCCCCGCAGAACGTCAAGGCCCTCATCTCCATGGGTGGCTGGACCGGAAGTCGCTTCTTCAGCTCCGCCATTGCAACGCCCGAGAACCGCACCGCCTTCGTCAAGAACGCCTTGGACCTTGTCCAGCAGTACAACCTGGACGGTAAGTTTCTGACGGGGGCAGTATTAGACCCGATGGAGAGTGAGAGAGAGAAACTGACAAAAGACATCAGGTCTCGACTTTGACTGGGAGTACCCCAACCGCCAGGGTCTTGGCTGCAACGTCATCAACCCCGACGACACGGCCAACTTCGCCCTCTTCCTCCAGGAGCTGAGGCAGAAGCAGCCCAAGCAGCTGTACCTGACGGCGGCGACCAGCCTGTTCCCGTGGAACGACGCCGCCGGTAACGCCAGCACCAACGGCGCGCTCGCGCCCTTCGCCCAGTCGCTCGACTACCTCATGGTCATGGGCTATGACATCTACGGCGCCTGGGCTCCCACCGGCGGCCCCAACGCCCCCCTCGCCTTCGCCTGCGACTCGCGCAACAACCAGGGCGGCATCACGGAGGGCGTCAACAAGTGGGTCGCCGCCGGCATCCCCACCGAGAAGATCGTCCTCGCCGTCCCCGCCTACGGCCACGGCTTCTCCGTCAACTCGACCAGCGCCTTCACCGCGCCCGGCGTCCTCAACGCCTTCCCGCCCCAGAACAGCAGCAACCGCTTCCAGGGCAGCAGCTGGGACGACGACCCACCGGTCGACGAGTGCGGCAACGCCCAGCCCCATAGCGGCACTTACACCTTCTGGAGCATGATCAACGAGGCCAAGTTCCTCGACGCCTCCGGCAACCCCAGCCCGGGCATCGCCTCCGGATTCGACAACTGCAGCCAGACGGTATGTTATTGAAACCCCCCTTGTTGGAAGCGACTGGTGCATGGTTCCGGACGATGAAGGCTAATGAGTTTTGTGAATGACAGCCCTTCCTTTACGACCAGGCCCGCCAGATCTGGGTCTCGTACGACAACGTCCAGTCCCTGGGCGCCAAGGGCCAGTACATCAAGTCGAACAAGCTGGCCGGTTTCGCCATGTACGAGACTGGCGGCGACTTCAACAACATCCTCCTGGATGCCATCCGCTCTGGTGTGGGCTTGTAAGGGACGTCGGGCTCGGGAGGGTCGATAGGTTAGATGAAATGTCTCGGCGATAGCTTTAATGCGACATTTTCCCCAAAGGATACGATACCGTGCTTTCTGTGATCGTCCGTTGGGTCGTGTATGAGACGACTTACATTCATTCGTGACACCATCGGCTCGAGATGTGATTGCGTGGCGGCGTAGGCCAACAACCTGAAGGGCTCTTCCTGGCGTGCGTAGAAGTTTCATTCTATCTGCCCTACGGGCAACGAAGGTCGTGTTGAAGCATACAGCTATGAGATGCTACGACTCTAGAGCCAATTGTGGCTGTCCTTTTCGCTGTATACTGAAAGCCAGTTTCACCCGTTGGTGAAAGGAAGTCCGGGAACTGCTTTGATGGACAGCAGGCAGACTAGTCAGTTTAAACGGCATTCATGCCATCCTTACAGAACAATGAACACAACCAGCCTTGTGAGTCTTTGAGTTGCTAGTCAACCTCTAGTCAACTTGCTCAATGCTAGTTGTCTCTCTCAGAAACATCAACTATCAATCTGGAAGAAGTGGGACGGGTGGACTCAGTTCCCTCTCCTCGTCGATCAAAGCCAAACTTCTCTCCCTCCCTCTTCAGCAACCCAGATTCTTCCACCTCTCTCTCTTCACCATTTTCAACTAGAAACAAGTGTTGTCATCATTTTGCCTCAACAACAACAACAATGTTCGAAGCAGCTCGGATCGTTCAAAGAGATACATGGTCAACGGGGGCTTAAGCAGCTCCCGTTGCCCCCGTCGATCGAGTTGGTCCCGTCGGCATCGTTGCCCAACAATGAGCTCTGGTTCCAACCCGTTCCAAACCACCGCCCTACCTCTTCCGCCATGTTTGAACACCACCTTTGAACAACAACACGCTGTATCACGTACTGAAGCCCAGCAGTCGGTGAGACTTTTCTCACTGCCTCATCTTGGCAACCGCCTTGCAGTCTCGAGACCACAAAGCTCAACGCAGTCCACTCAACATTCACGTCGCCTCATCACGTCTCAGACACACTCAAAGCGCGAGTTCGATCGGAACGGTTCCTCTCTCCTCTGGCTCCTTCCACATCAAGAGAGAACGGTCTTTCCTCGATCCCCATTATTCAAAATATCAATCGTCTGCTCGAAACAAGTTCAAATCTTGCAAACCTCACAACAACCCAACTTCCAACCCGGCTGCCCACCAAAAAATCAAGCAAGCAAACAAAAACAACCAACTGCATTCACCCAAGCTCTACACAATCAAGCCTGCAATCTCTTCTCACAGTAAGCATGCGTCACCACCTCCAAGAAGTCTCACCCCGCTGACCTCCCCTTCGTAGGCCATGCCTGCCAAAGCCGCCCTCCCAGTCCCCGGCATCGCCGCCACCGAGGCCGAGATCAAGCTCGCCTTCGCCGTCCTCAAGTTCATGCGCCGCCCCAACACCACCGCCGTCTACGACGGGATCGCCGTCGAGGCCGGCTCCGCCAGCGGCGACAGCGTGCGTCACGGCGTCCGCAAGGCCGCCGACAAGCACGGCTGGTTCTCCCAGGCCCCCGCCGAGGATCCGGCCTCCGGCCCCGCCACTCCGCGCCCCAAGAAAGCCGCCACTCCCCGCAAGAAGAAGATCGCCGAGGTCGACGAGGAGGATGAAGCTGGAACCGCCGCCGCCGGACAGCGAGATGAGGAGGGCACTCCGAAGACGAAGCGCGCCCGCAAGGCAAAGAGCAAGGACAAGGCCGTCGCCGCCGCCGTCGTCACGGAGGAGGAGACCTCTGGGGGCGAGAAAGAGAACAAGGACGGTGCCGCTGCTGCTCCTACTCCTGTGTCTGAGGAGGAGTGAAATGATGAATAGTGGTCCAATGCGGGAGGTTGCTACATGGATGTCCGGCTTGACAGCGGACGGGAAAAGACTGCTCTGGTTCTGGAGGGTTCGTTTGACGGCACCTAGGCTGCGACGGGACATGGACGTTTTTGGCGGTAACTACGGTTTCCGCTTATCTGCTTTGCTTGTCGTGACGGTTACGAGACGGGGCGGTAATCGTCGCATGAGGCACTTGAAACTCTTACGAAATTATGGTTTTGCTCAAATGGAAAAAAAGCCCTTGCGTCTACTTGTCGTCCGTCGCATCATGAATATTGAATAACCTAGACGACTGATCTCTCACCTCCCAGTGGCAAGCAGCCCTGCACCTGGGCCCTGGCCCACGTTGGCAGCGGCAGAGAAGAGATCTCTCTTTATCCGCCTTAAATCCCTTCGGAAAAGTCCGCAGGGCTGGAAGCATCGCTGCTCGGCCTTCGGCATTGAAGAATGACCAGCCTGATACAAACAAGCCGACAATATACGTCTCGAAACAGGATGGGTAATTGGCCGCTAAGCAACGAGGCCACGTGCGCGTTGGATGGAAGATGATTATTGTTCATAATTCATTAGCTTGTGCTACCTGAGCCCCATGCTCGTGTTCACGTCCAGCCCAGACCTGCCGGCAACTGGTGTATTTCCCGCCCCTATGCAGTTTCCTGTTTCCAGTATGTCTTCCATACGATGCCCGGTTCCGAATGCCTTTCTCAGTAGCGAGGGTTCTCGCCGTACTGGTTGTGGTCTGGGTTGCCGCCGTAGTTCTGCCCCCCTCCGTAATTCTGGTTTCCGCTGTAGCTCTGGCTCTGGCCCTGTCCGTAGCCCTGTTGCTGCTCCGAGTGGTACTGCTGGTATGACTGAGGCGGCCAGTTCTCGCTGGGCCGGTACTCTTGGTGAGACTGGTACTGCTGATGCTGATCCGGCCGGTATTCCTGGTGCGGCGGAGGGTTGTACGCCGGCTGATGCGACCCTTGGCCCCCGTACTGGTCATGCTGCTGCGGCGGCGGGGGGGCGTAGTTGCCGCCCTGGGGAGGTCCGGATGGGTGGCCGCCCGCGCCGCCGAGCTGCGACCCCGCCGTCGGCGCGCCGACGCTGACGTTCTCGTTGCCAATGTCGTCGGGAACGTGGATCTTGACCTTGGGGAGGTACTTTTGCACCTTTTGCTCGACCATGTTCTGCACAAAGACCCAGCTCTCGCGCTCGAATCGGCGGTGGCCGCCGTTGACGACGCCGAGGATGCTCTCGCGCAGCGTCTCCTGCACCTTGCGGACCAGGCCGCGGATCTTGTTGACCAGCTTGACCTTGATGTCGTCGCCGAAGCCGCGGTCGGCGTGGCCGCCAGCGTCGCGATCGAGCTGCGCGTCGAACGGGTTCCCGCCGAGGATCTTCTCGAGAGGCCGCTGGAAGGCGTCGGGCAACAGCTCAAAGAGCTGCTTCTCGATGCCGCCGAGGATCTTTCGGAACTCAAGGCGCACGTCGCGGTGCACCTTGGCGAGGCCGGTGCTCAGCTTGTCGCTGATGACCCTCGAGAAGCCGCTGCCGCCGCCCTCGCCCTCGCCCTCACGGTCGCCGACGCCGCGGGAACCGGCCTCCTGGGAGCTCTTCTTGTTGCCGAACAGGCCGCCGAGACCCTTGACCAGGTCCTTGACGTGGTCCTCGATCTCGCCCTTGACGCCGTCGCCAAGGTCGCGCGTGCTCGTGTTGCCGCGCAGCCAACGCTTGATGTGGTCCAGGGCGATTCGGGTGAACTGCTCAGCGATTGGCGCGTGCTGCTCCCTCAGCTTCAGGCCGACCTTCTCCTTAATCTCGGGGCTTATGGCGCGGGCCTTCTCCTCCGGGTTCCGCGCGGCATCTTTGACCGTGTTGCTCAGGACGCCGAGCAGGCCGTCGAGCTCGAAGCGCTGTCCCCCGGGACCTTTATTCTTGTCCAAGTGGTCTTGCACGACGTTGATGGCGGAGGAGAGGAAGCCCTTGGCACTGGAGAAGGAGTCACTGTGACTGACGCCGCGCGACTGGGTCTCAGGACCGCCGGCGCCGGCGCCTTCGGTGAGGTTGAAGATGTCCCGCAGGTCGTCGCCGGCCTCGTCGGTGATGACGCTGAAGCTGCGGGTGAGCTTGCCAATCTCATCGGCAAAGGGGAGGGACTGGACTCCGTAGGCATCTGGGGGCGCGTCGTTGAGACCTCGCGAGCCGTCGCCGGAGGACTTGTCTTTGTTGAATAGGGAGCGGAAAGCGTCGATGACTTGGTCTTCGAGACTGTCGATGGTCCTCGTCTGGAACGTGTCGATCTCGGCGGCGATGCGGGGTTGGATCTGGGGGGCGAGGGAGTCGACGTACTCGTCGACCTTTGTCATCAAGACATCGGGGAGGCCGCGAGAGTTGGACATTGTAGCTATAGGCCGTTCGAGAAGGAAGAGGATCGAAATCGGATCGGGGGATGGAGAACACACACCGTTGAACGATGGATTGGCGATAGTGCTGCACTAGCTCGAGTACCTTCCTTGGGTCAGGGTCCCTTGGTGGGGAGAGCTTGGAGATGAGTTGAGCTGAGCTGTGTCACGTGGGGGTTGAAACTGCCCAGTCAGATGACGTCATGGAGTACGTACATATGAGGGGCAGTCCGGCTCCCCGCATGGTACGTACACTTTCTCAGCGATGAAATCTCACTCATCTGCGTTCCTCATCTCATCGGCCACTCAGGGAGACTGAGTCCAGTGCCATTGGATGCGATCCTGAGGAGACCTAGGCTGGGGCCAATACCGTCTTGGCATATCGAACGGAAAGTGTTGTCTCTTATTTCCTCAGCGACGCTAAGATGAGCTTCTTGTAGCCCTCGACCGCGAGCTCCAGGTCCGAGACAGTGATCCTTTCATCCGCCGAGTGGGCGACGAGGATGCTCCCGGGTCCGTACAGGTACCGCTTGTGCGTGCCGTTCAGATGAGGAACATCAGTGTAGTAGTTGACGACAGTGGTGTTGAAACCTTTCGCCATGTCAGTGAGAGACTCTCTGGGATACGCCGAAGGGGGGGGGGGACATGTGGCTCACCTTCGACGTCGTAATCCAAGCTCACAGGTAATCCTTGGACTGTGAACACCAGTTCCACATACTCCGGCGTCACTTCGGACACGGCCTCGCTGAGAATGTCCTTGATCCCCTCCAAGTCCTCCGTCGCTGCTCGAATGCTAGCCCTCCCCGCCGCGCTCTCCGCGATGACGTTGGAAGCGACGCCGCCCTCGACAACGCCAATGTTCAGCGTGGTGTCCCCAAACTCCTCCGTCGAGGGCAGCGGCGTGTTCAGGATCTTCTTAAGAGCGCGGACGAGGAGGTCGATGGCGCTTCTCCCGTACTCGGGGTACCCGGAGTGGCCGGCCACGCCGACGGCCGTCATGTTGAACGCCAGAACGCCCTTGTGCGCCCGCACGAGCTTGTTCTCCGTCGGCTCGCCAAAGATGACGGCGTCCCAAGCGAGGCCCAGCCCATTCGCCGCCACCATGCCATCGCCCCCGGACTCCTCGCCGACGACGAAGAGGAGCGCGACGTCGCCCTCGCCGACCTCGCCGCTGGCGAGCAGGGCCTCGACCGCCGTTATCTGCGCTGCGGCGCTGCCCTTGGCGTCGGACGTGCCGCGGCCCCGGATCTCGTCGCCGGCGCGCGAGTACGGCACGTACGGCGGCACCGTGTCGATGTGCGAGGTGACAAGGACACGCGCAGAGCGGCTGCTACCCGGGTACGCGTAGACGTTCTGCCGGGTGCCCTCGACGGTCTGCAGCTCGACAGTGAAGTTGGCCTCGAGGTAGGACTTGAGGGCCTGCGTCCCAAGGCCTTCGGCCTCGGTCGTCGAGTCGGCCTCGACGAGGGTCTTGTGTAACGCGAGGAGCGCCTCGGTGTAGGATGCAGCCCACGCCGACACACCAAGGAGCGCGGCCGCGAGTGTTATTTTGCTGAGCATCTTCATTATGAGAGATTCTTCAAGTATTTAGGGAAACACCGACCTCTGTACCGAAATGTGATTGTTCAACGATGATAGGAGCTACGGGCTGAATGAGGGGTAACGCTGCGCTAAGATGACGACGGTCGGGATTATGCACGACGTCGGACAAGGCTTCGGCTACATCCTTGTTGATCGGTACTGAACACGGAGTTTAGGAAGCAAAAGAAACCAACTAGCCGCCGGGTATGATATGGATTGCTGAGCCCGGGAGCGTCAGACCTGATGCCACGCCGCCGGGTGGAGGAGACGAAGGAATGTTGCGCCACATGACAAAAGCCATATGCAACGTACTGCAGCCACAACGGCTAACGTTGGGGCATTTCGTGGAGCGCGCTAGTTATTATCAATCATTTCCCGAAGACGGCTTATAAATGCATTCTGGGCTCAACGACGAACTAAGTCCGAAACTTAACCTGGCGATGCCCTCAAACCCAGCAAATGCTAAGGCCGAACCGCCAGCAGTTGTCTAGGCGGAAACTGACAATAGGGCTTTGGGTTTTGGCTATGGTGTCTGAGCTTTGGACTTGCGATGAGATGATGGAACTATGATATGATGAAACGATGAGACTATGAGAGACTATGAGACAATGAGATGATGAGATGGTGACCGCCAAACACCGAAATCCCGGGATTTCTAAGCAATATGGGCCCATTTGAGTGGTTCCCGTCCCCGTCCCAGATTTCTATGCACTTCCAATTACTAATTCGGGCGCAACTCATATATCAACTCCAAGCCACCCTATCCATCACCAAGGACCAAATCTCGAAATCCAACATTGTCGAGGACTCTTTGTACTTTGTTCAAGCTTCACCGACCATTTCCAACTCATACCCTCGAAGCACGGAGAAAAAAGTCACCAAACAGCCACCAGCAAAAGTCCCAACCATGACCGGCACCATGAGAGCCCTCGTCTCCCAAGGCGACAAGACCGCCAAGGTCCAAGAGGCAAGCTAGAAGTCTCATGTCCTCCGTCTTCCCGTTCACCGTTACTGACCTCGAATCCTCCAGGTCCCGAAGCCGCAGCCCGGTCCCGGCGAGATCCTCATCAAGGTCTCCGTCGTGGCCCAGAACCCGACCGACTGGAAGTCCACCGCCGCCGCCCCGGCTGGCCGCATCGTCGGCTGCGACTTCGCCGGCACAGTCGCGGACCCCAACGGCGCGCCCTTCCGCGAGGGCCAGCGCGTCGCCGGCTGGGTCCACGGCCTGTGGGAGAACCCCCCGCGCGGCGCCTTCGCCGAGTACCTCGTCACCGAGAGCACGCTCGTCTTCCCCGTCCCCGACGCCCTCACCGACGCCGAGGCCGCCGTCATCTCCCTGGCCTTCGCCACCGCCGTCCAGGCCCTGTTCCAGCGCCTCCGCCTCCCCGAGCCCAAGCCCGACGGGACCCCCGCCGTCGCCGCCGCCACCGCCGACGAGCGCATCCCCCTGCTCATCAACGGGGCCACCAGCAGCGTGGGCATGTACGCGGTCCAGCTCGCCAAGATGGCCGGCCTCCGCGTCATCGCGACCGGCAGCAAGAAGAATCACGCGCTGCTCAAGCGCCTCGGCGCCGACGTCACCATCGACTACCGCGACGCGAACTGGGTCGAGCTGCTAAGGGCCGCGGCGGGCAACAACCTCCGCCACGCGTTCGACACTATCAGCGAGGTCGAGACCACAAAGGCCGTCGTCCGGGCCGTCTCGCCCGGCGGCCACGTCGTGTGCATCCTGCCGCGCAAGGCCGACGAGGTCGGCGCCCCCGAGGGCGTCCGGGTAGAGAGCACGCTCGCGTACACCGTCTTCGGCCGCCACGTCAAGTACGGCTCTTACGACAACACGGACGGGCCGAGGCCCGAGGACAAGGCGTTCTGGGAGAAGTACCTCACGCTCCTGCCCAAGTGGCTGGAGGAGGGCAAGATCAAGCCAAACCCGCAGAGGGAGCTCGGCGGGCTGGAGGACACCCCGAAGGGCTTCGAGCTGCAGGCCAAGGGCGGCGTGAGTGCCGAGAAACTGGTCTACAGGATTTCCCAGTGATTGTTTGTCCCTTGGGCCGGATGTATGCAAGGTGAATCTGACGTCAACTAGCTCGGTCAGTCACGCCTGTAAAGTGGCATCAGTGTGTTGATTATTAGCAAAGGTAATGAGCGAGAGAATGCAACAACCTCACAGGGCAACAAGTCCCATTCATAGTGTCTAGAGGTTAGCTATGCAACGTGGAAGCCCCATGAAACAGATACTTGAGTAAATACTCAATTGAACACTCAGGTGAATATCCCCGACGACGACAAAGAAAGTGTTGGATGCCGGTGATGGATGACCGCCTTTGGCCCGTTGTCCACGTTCTCAATATCCTTGAGTGTGTTGTATGTTGCTGAGCTCCTCATCCAAACCTTCTAGTCCCTCTTGTCCTTCTTGTCCACCTGAGGATTCCAGCCAACAGTTCCGACTGTGGTATGGGATTCAACGAAGGTCCAGCTCCCTCCTCGTCTTTGTCTTCCTGCTCAACAGCCTCTCTGGAGAGCGTGATGGTTCCACATACATCGCCAGAGACCTTCGTCTTCCCTCCCGAGAGCTCGTCTGAGGTAGTGGCGGAGTTGTCCGAGGAATAGCCCTTTTAAGGCTGTTCTTTCTTGGGCCTTCTCTCCTCGAAAAAGTCGACAAAAACAGTGTATTTCGGGTTGTCCACCAAACCACCAAACGTTATCATCATCCATTGGTAGAGTAAAGGCGTGTGTTCGTGATGGTCTGGTGGGCCCCGCCACTCCAGAGGGACCCAACCTCTGAAACGCTCCAATATTTTATGCCCGAATCTGGGGATTGTGTGGTGTTTGGTGGGGAAGTGCTTCCAGAACTCGGCAGGAGATGTCCGCTGCTGGTCGATGATTGCACGTCCGTAGTCCACCAGAACGGCCCGGGGTTTGTTGTGGTTTCTGGGCATCGTGATAATGACGTTCTTCGGAAGGACCCCGCAATGATCGAGACCAGCAAATTCTTGGGTGATGATACCGTCCATAAGCTGAGCCATGATCTGCATGCGTTGACCTTGTTTGGTGGTGAAGCTTGCGGAGTATTTGGTCTTTTCATAGAGCCGGACCCTCCCCTCGACAGGGCCCCAAGGGTAGAACAGATCTTGCAGACAGACACCGTTGACGTACTCGACTGCAAGGACAGCGATTTTGCGAGATCTGCCTCTGAATTCCTGATTGACAGTCGAAACCCTGGCTATTCATCTTCCCTAGAACTGCGGGACGATAGGGGAGTATCCGGTGCTTGTGAATCTTCCAGACCCAAAGGGAGAGTCCAGATGCTTCAGCCGTTTCTTCAAATCTGAGTGATAATTGGAGGTGTGCCCCCGTAAGTGTAAACGCGTATATGGACATGCAGTCAGAAGAGTGCACACCGGATTCTCGTGACATTGCCTTCTCAACTGTCCAGAGGGAAGCCAGACTCTGTTTATTTAGCCAGTAGTGGCATGTCTTACGTTTTTCGAGTGCCGAAACAGTCAGTATGAGTGAACGGTACATAATGACCAAGCTGGTACGGTGTGCCAGTGGTAGCCAGTCATATACATCTTTAAGTATCCCACTTGGAAATAAGACCGGCGCATAACAATACAACCAAAATAACAGGAATGTAAAAGACAGGGCTTGAGCCCGGGAATTCTGCTGCCTTGATGCTACTGCGGATAGAACAGTCGTTTCTTCCCTCTGACTGGGCTTCCTGCCCAATCCGAAAAGGTAGGAAGGGGTGGGAGGGCCAGCAAAGGTCTGTCTTCTACCCAATCTCGCCAGCTGGATTTTGTTCTTCCTTCCCGCGTACCCTCCCTCACTATTTCTCTCCCTCTCTCTCTCTCTCGATTTTCGTGGCATTCGCCAAAAGCCCACCAAGTTTCACCATCCAGTTCAATATCCAGCGTCCGGTAAGCCTACTCTACTCCAACACATAATAACACAGTCACTGATACGCCTGCAGATTGATAACATCGTCCATCCTCTCCCTCTTCAACGGCACCCACCAACCAGCGTCGTTCACGCCGAACCGTGCCTCGCGGCGCCAGAAACGAAATTGGAAGCTGCGACAGCGGCGTTCCTAGGAAAAGCCAGCACGCAAGTACTTCCCAATCTTCTCTCAACATGATATCATTTTAAGGTAACTAATGTCTAGCTCGGAAATCAAATATCCGAGCTTCAGATAGAGCTAGAATTGCTCTGGGCTATCCGCCCCCCCCCCAATATCATCCAAGAGGAGCAGGAGGGTCAGGAGCAGCGCGTATGTCTTCCCCCAATATATTCACAAGACGCTTTTACTAATGCAGAGTTTTCTTGTCTAGGCTCGCACCGGGCTGGCCCGAGGAGGACGGGGAAGGAAAGAGATTTCCGGGGCGGCCGCCCTCGGAGAGACGGCCGAGGAGCCCGGCGAGAACGTCGGGGGGCGGCGGCGGTCAGGACTCCACCGGTGGGGCCGGGATGTGTCGGTGCACCATGGATTCGGTGATATAGCGTACTTCTCTACGCCATCTTTGTGAACTATACAACGTCCGAGAATTCGATTCACATCGCGCACCAAGGATAAAAGCGCAAGGAAGCCCGTGTCCACGAGAAACCCATCAAAAGAGGAGAGGGAGCCGGCCTCGCAGCCGGGCCTTCCCATCCCCAGGACATGCTATACATCCCGAACCAGACAGCCACCGTAGACAAAAAAAGGAAAGACAGTGGTTCATCCCCCTCGAGTAACCTCCCCTCCGCCTGTCACACCGGCGACCTAGTCAGCACCTCAAGAACTCGGCAGACACGGAGAGCTTCGACGTTCCCGGAGGAGCCGGCCATCAAACACAAGTGCGGGGGGTCCGTCGACACCATTCCCCTCCCCCCCCCACCAGTCTCTAGTCCGCCTTAGCAGCTTTGACTGGCTTGGGTCCTTGACGCAACGCAACCAGCCTTTCCCCCATCATCGTCTTTGATTGGTCGCCGTTGTTGACTGACAGGCGCGGGGACCGCCGACGGCAAACATCATTGTGCATCAAGGTTGTCACACTTCCCCCTGCCTACCATGCTAGCCATTTCCCACCCCAAAGGCACATGCAAGACTTGCTGCCAGCAACGCAGCATAATCACAGGCAACTCCCGGGCCTGAGCGACGAGGACCCAGATATGTCCAGCCAAGCAAGGATGATGGTTATGAGTGAGCATGTGCGTCGTTATTCCTGTTGACTTTGCGCCTACGAACAAAAACATGTATGCCGCCCGAACCACCCCCCCCCCCCCCCCCCCCCCCCCCCAGGCGACGGTCTCGCAACCACCGCTTCCGAATGTTTGAGCATCGACCCGGCCATTTCCCAGCCAATGAAAGAGAACAAGTCGTACCAAGCTCGGTTATCAAGCCCGCGTATCCGCCGACATCTCCCTTCAGTCCTCGGCGCGGCCTGGCAGGCACAGGCCGGCATCGCCCGTATTTATCATCCACTTCGAGGCGATCCATTACCGTGCAACCCTGAAATCCGTCATCGGAGAGAATGGATGGGGTATCGCAATGATCGTGAGCAAGCGTTGCTGGACCCAAAAGCAGCAAAAAGAAATTCTAGTTGCGTGAAACAGCCGTAAGTAAGAGGACCCGAACCCTTGTGTCGCTTTTCAGCGAGGCATGATCGACCCAGGAGACGCGGACAACCAAGTCGGATATCAAAAGGAAATGAAGCACATCGACAGGAAAGCAATCAGTCGTCAAGATTGAGCTGAGCGGAGACGTGCGCGTATTGAAAGAAAACAACCGGACACGAGAGTGAAAGCAACGCTATGTAACAACGCCAACGGAGAAATGCAGTCGCCCACCGGCCTGGTCCAAAAGGGATATCATGATAAGAAAGGAGCCGTACGTCATGCGGAGAGGAGCTCTGCTGACATGGGATAGAGTAGGAAAAGGTCATCAGTCGTGGTATAGAGTATGTATGTGTCCTTGTTTTGAGAAGGCGGCGAGAGATCATGACAGTTCGTCATGTGTAAATGTTCAGTAGGCCGTAGCAGTAGTTCCTTCACTTGTAGCGACGGCTACAAGCGCCTCAAGACGTCTGAGAGGGTCCGGATTCCCTGGTTGTTGTTGTTGCTGCTGCTGCTGCTGTTGGTGCTGATGAGGGGGTTCTTGCGGCTCAGGTTGCCTGGCTGGAAACCCAGAAAAAGCAGTCATGTTGGGGTGGACCATGCGGTTAACATGCGGCCCGCGAGGGTCGTTGTTTGGCGCTTGGGGTCGGGGTCCGTGTATGCTGCTGCCGGTAGGCCCGTGATACCAGCCGTGTCGCTTGTTCTCCCTAGAGGCAATAGAGGGAGCGGACATTGTGTGTTGATGGCTGCGAGTAAAGGCACCCGGGTTGGAATAAGACGGCGGGTCAACCTCGAACCTGACGGTCGGTGGGTTCATCCGGACTTGCTCGGCCTGCGCCTGTACAGCCTGGTTCACCTCGTTCGCCCACGCACCGGCACTGTCGCGAGGCGGCGTCTTGTTGGACGTGATATCCAGCCTCGTCAAGCCTCGGTGCAGCCCCATATCCCACTGAGAAACGTTCCGCCGGTCTTCCGTCATGGCATCGGTGCCAGGCAAAAGTGTTCTCGGACGTGCGGCTTCGGAATCAACCATCATCGGCGACGGGATCCTTCTCGGAGGCGAGACCTGCCTAGACGGCAGGGGGTCGAACGATTCGATTCCGGGGAGTCGCAGGGTTTGTTGCGGGTTGGGGGCGTTGACGATAGGAGGCGCCGGATTCGGGTGGATCTGGCCAGGTGTGAGAACATTGCTCAGATTGCTGGTATTGGTGTTAAAGTTCCTCGTATCGGGGTGCCACGTCCGTCGGCGCCACGCCTCGTCAGCAGCGGACGATGCAGAGTCCCGTCTGCCGGAGGGCCACCCGGAAGTCGGGGTGGTGGGCGATGCCAAATGGCTGCTGGAAGCGGGAGAGAAGGCGCCCATGTTGGAGGAGTTGGCGGGGGGGCCTGCACCAAAGACGAGCCTATTGACGGGTGCGCCGTGGGGAGACTGGAAGGGGTTTACACCCGACGGCACGCTAAGCCGTCTCCCTGGTGTCCTCGAGCCAGACGAGTACATGCTGTGGGACCGAGAATGCGAAGTGGTGGGAGAAGCAATAGCGGAACCCCATCTTGATGGGCTGCTCTGGCCGGGCGAGAACGTTGCCGACGTCGGCGTGCTGTAGTCGGTCGGCGAGACTGGGCGATAGCCATATGTCCCGTCAGCAGCGCTACGATAAGACTCGAGGGACAGTCGAGACCGGGGGTCGGCCATGACCAGAGGTGGAGGGCGTCGTCGGATGTCGTCCCGGGGCACAAATGCAGATCCGATGGAGCCGACGCTGGCGATGCTTGATGTCGACAACGACTTTGAGTGGCCTCGGACCGGGCCTGGACCGCTGCCGGCCGTCGAGGCGCGGGCCCTTCCACCTTGTTGGCGCACGCGCTCGGTCCGCATCTGCCTCTGGAACCTCGCACCAGTTGCGGCTAGTGAGTCTATGGGTATGTCCTCATTGACGTGCACGGTCTGTGCGTGCTGTCGCAGGTTGTCAAGACGGGAGAAGCGGCGGGAACAATGACATTGGAAGGGTCTCTCGCCAGTGTGTTTCCTGAGACGGTTAGCACCCACCCCATCCATGCCTCGCCGGAGTCCTTACCGGATGTGTCTGGCCAAGTGTTCGCTTCTGGTGAAGCTCAAGTTGCACGGAGGGTAGTCGGTGCAGTAGAAGCGCTGCGACTTCTTCTTCTTGTTGGATCTGGTTCCGTCGGCATTCACGCTGTCCTCGTCAGATGCGCCATCATCTTCACCGTCCGATTCGTCCATGTCAACATCCTCAGAGTCCCTCGATCTTCTAGAGTGTTGCGAGTTGGCTCTCGTCGGGGTCTTGGTCTTCTCGGCGCTTTCGGGAACCTGGACAGCCTGAGGAAAGGGGGAGCTGGGGAGCGGCTTTTGGGACGCTAGACCGGTGCTGTTGCTACCGTTGCCGAACGTTGCCTTGGTGGGCGTCTTTGCATCGTCCGCCAAGGGTGGTTGCGGCGTCTGGGGATGCTGGGGATGAGGGGCGGTGCGTGGCCTGGGTGTCGTCGGTGACGTCGTCATCTTGTCGTCAAACTTAACCTCGGCAGGCAGCGGCGAATTCACTGGCCTGAATGTGGCAGCCATGATAGGCTTGCTAGCAGCGGAATGCAGAGTGGGCGACGTGTCGAAAAAGATGTCCTGTTCGGGTCCTTTGGTCTCTGGTATCCAAGTGCGGGCGGACGTAAGCTGGCTAGGTTGCGTCGATCACCACAGCACAGAGAGGTGCGGGGAGGGCGCCGTGCAAAGTTGCCGTTAAACCCCCCGATTAAACAGGAGGTAAGAGGAGGGAGCGCGAAGGGGAGAGCGGGGCGGGGAGTAGAGGAGAAGAGGAGTGAGTGGTAGGAGGAGGAGGAGGAGGAGGAGGAGGAGGAGGAGAAGAAGAAGAAGAGGCGTCGGTGTCTGTATCAAGTCATTCGAAAAATCGTTATCAGCCTGAGAAGAGTTCGTTTCGGCGTCTTGCTCCTAGTGTTGCGCAGTGTGGTCGATGATGGGAGATGGGCTTGCTGCGAGGAGCGACAGAGGTGTTGCGAGGCAAGGGTGTGTGTACGTGTGTGTATATGTGCGTGTGCAAAAGAGGTGAAAGTGAGAGTCGCAGAAAGGTGATGGAAGTGCGGCGGGAGACGATGATCAATCGCGGGCCTGGGAGTGGGGTGTTTCTGCTTGAACAAGGTGCAAGGCCAGTTTGGTAGGCGGTAGCGTGGTGGTAGTAGGTGTGCGTACGGAGCCAGGTGGAGGACGAAGAGAAGAGAGACAAGTTGGTAAGGCGAGGGGCAGGCGGCTCTAGAAAAAGACCTTTGCCAGGGGGAGTGTGGCGATGAATGGTCGATGATGAAAGACGTGCCCTGGTCTGACCTGCTGGCTGCAGTAAAGTGGTCCCCCAGTGGTTCCTCGCTGACTTTTCTTCCCTTTTCCCCCTGCCTCTGGCTTTTACGCCTGCTTGCGTTCGTTCAAGCCTAGTGGGAGGTAGTAGTGTCGAGACCTGGGCCGGAGTTTGCCCAAGGTACCTTGCCTGGAACAGCTAACCTACGCGGTAGTGGTACCGGTACCAGCCTCCCTTTGGAGGGGTGTGTGTGTACCGTGGTGCGCTGCGCTGTGCTGTGCTGTGCTGTGCTGTGGTGCGCGTCTTTGGATGGGGGGGAACCGGGCGCACCAAGTCGGCGAAATCTGGCGTGGGAGCGTCTGTGCAGCTATCGCAGAGCCAGCGTAGTCCGGTCCAATACCAATCGAGACCCAAGTTGATGGGTTTCCGAGCTCTTGGGAGAGCCCCCTTTCTGGCGCAGGCGAAGCTGATGAATGAATGGCTTGCGTTTCTGCTCAACGAAATCGTAGGTTGCTGCTGGCCTGTACACTATTAGAGCGAACGTATTGCCAACGCTGACCGAATATCAGCTGGAGACCAGACGAAGAACAAGGCGCGCAATGCAGGCAGGATTATTACTCTTATCGTTGATATGTGCCCGCAACGATGCGCATGTGCCACTTTGATTTTTGGTTCGCGAGATCACGATGGGAAGGAAAGGCGATGCAGCAGTCCGAGAGCTCCCGGAGGGAAGAAGAGAGATGGAAGTGTTCGCGAGGGCGAAAGGCGGGGAGGGATTCGTAAGTAGTTGGTGATGGCGGGTGATGGGCGTCCAAATCGAACGAAAGCGCAGGCAGTGCGAGCAAAGTTGGTGGGCACAAGACACAAGGACAGGCCAGGTTCAGGGACAAGGGCCAGAAGCCAGGGCCAGGGTCAGGAGCAGGACCTGGCGGTGGTAGCGGTCTCGGTGGAGTCGATTGGCGGGAGGTACAAGGGGTACAGCGGTACACCATCCGAATCAGATGGCTTGATGGTAGGATCCCAGTCAGCCGGGCGGCTGGAAGGGGGTTTTCTTGCGCTAGGACGGCGGCGTGGACAGAGAGGCTGGCAACAAGCGGCGGGAAGAGAGACCAGTCGGGACGGTGGGAAATGGCGGTGCTGCTCCGTCTGCGATCGGGGGGAAAGCTAGACGAACGACGGTTTTGCGCGCGAGAATGTGAAAACGGAGGACAGCGTCGGGAGTGGCGTATTGCAGTCTAGTGTATTGGTAATGCGCTCGGTAGAAGGGTAGATACGAGAAGCGACGGGATGGTCGGTCGGTCTGTCTGCCTGCGAAGGGAGGAGGGAACATGGAGGTGAGCCCAGGAGGCGTAGCGTAGTGTGCGGATAGTGTATTCGTAGTGTACTTCGTGACGAGGGAGCGGTGGTTGGTTGGCGGAGCTGATGTGACCGGGGGGGCCCAGGGTTAGACGCAAGGTACCGATTATGGCTGGCTAACTGGCTGGGAAGCCTGTCGACAGTCCGTGGGTTCAAGGTGTAATCCTGCCAGGAACAAAGGACGAAAAGGCCTTGGCACGGCGGTAGATTGGCAGGAAAGGCTGGGTTGGTGGATGTCTTTTGACGGGTTGAGGATGACGGGGTCAAAGTCAAGAAGAAGAAGAAGAAGAAGAAGAAGAAGAAGAAGAAGAAGAAAATAAATAAAAAAGACGCCAGAGAGCGGGAACAGGCCAGTCTGTGGGCGACAGTCAAGGCCCGAGGTGTGAGGCTTTGCGATGGCTGTTGTAGCCACTGAGCGGTGGGTTTTGCCGTGCAATCCGCGCAAGGTTGTGGGTTCCCGTAGGTCGCAGGTAAGGTACAATAGCGTACTATGTACGGAGTAGTCACGTTTGTAAACGTTTTACTTTGTACGGAGTGGTACCCCATACCAAGGCAGCGCGGCACTGCTGTGCGACTGCGTACGTGTGAAGTACGTGGTATACAGAGACGCACGTTATGTGGTTGTAGAGAGGGAGGGAGGGGTGCCAGCCAAAGAGTCAAGAGGTTCGGGTCGTCGCCTCGCCTCGTGCTGCGGCCCCAAGAAGAGTGTTCCTTGTCGTCGTCGTTGTCGTCGTCGTCGCCGCCGCGAGCTGGGCTGCTTGCTAGGTACCCTACGGCAGGGGTGGGCGGGCGACGTAGTCAACAGCGGGGTGGGTGGATAAGGTTGGACGGATACGGACGGCAAAGGGATAAACGGCTGGACGCATTCGGTGGCACAATATTTTTCTTTGGTTCTTGGTGCTCGATGCTTGATGCTTGATGCCTGGGTGTGTACGGCAGCTTAGCGTAAGCGTGGATGGACACGGTACCCGGTACTTGTTGGTGCGAGCAGAGAGTGTATTGTGTAGAGTGCTGCAGCGGCAGAAGTGTGGAGAGGCGGCGGCGCGGAGGACTGGCCGGTGGAGGCGGATGACGGAGGTTGGAGGTGTCAGGAGACGGGAGACCATGGATACCCGTGTTGGTGGTGAGGGTGCGTGTGTGCGCGCGAGTGGGCGGGATTTAATTTAGCTAGGCAAGGTCGGCATGTGTTGGCTTTTGTTCGGCCAAGGAGGGGGGGATTGAACGAAGGCTCAATCAAGCTTGAGGGAGGCAGGCGGAAGAAGATACAGATTGATTACTCTCTGTAAAGTGTCGACGCGTAAGGATGAGAATGAGAGTGAGGGTGAAGGTGAGGGGCATCACCGGCGGCGCCGGCGGCGATAAGGAACAGACTCGGCTTCGGACATGTGTGTCGTGCGTGTGTATCCGTATCTACCCAAGGTATCTTGCAAGCTCGGGGACCTGTGCCGGGAGTCGAGGTAATTCGAGTCGGTTCGATTCGAGTCGAGCTGTTATGCACTCACTGGCCGCTGACGACTCGGGGAAGAAGGTGGTCAACCAGCCAGGCACAACGGGCAACGTGACAAGGAAGGAGCATTGCTTGCGAGTGAGTGAGTGAGCGAGTGACATGCAGCCACCACCATTGTGGTGCCCTGTTCTGTCCTATCCTGTCCTGTCCTGTCCTGTTCTGTCCCGTCGTGTCCTATCCTTCCTATCTTGCTTCGTCATGCTACTCCTGCCCATGCATAAGGTACCTGAGTAGCTAATTCTTCAATGTACCTGAGATTAGTAGGTAGGTCGGGTAGCTCTACACTCACTAACTACTTCCTTCTCATTAAGTCAGGTACGGTACGGGCACTTTCCCCATTCCTTCTTACTTCCTTCCGTTGTCTATTCGGGGCAGGCAGGAGGCGTATGCGGTCTGTTTCCTGAACCAAGCGGGGCCCATGGTATGGTATAGTATGGTATGGTATGGTTTGGATGCGGCAAGTGCGATGGCTGTCTGCCGCTTTCCCTCGGTCCTCGCCTCATAAAATGCAAGTGGTCGGAGAAGCAGGCAGGAGGCAGGAGGCAGCAGGCAGAGGCAGAGGCGCCTTGGAGACGATAGACATGAGCATGTCGCATGTACCTTTCCCGCGTACCTGGCGCGAAAAGTGTACGACTACCTATCTACCTAGGTACCTATCTACATGTACGTACCTCGCGTAGTGCGCGACGACTGTGCCCCTCCCCCTCCATTGCCCCGCCCCTCTTCTTTTTCTTTTTTTCTTTTTCTTTTCTGGCGCCGGTGCATCCATTGTGTGCGAGGGGTTGGGTGCGCCTTAACAAGCAGGCGGGCACTTCCCCGCCTTCCCCCCTTTCCGTTCCTTCCCTTCCTTTCTCGCTCCCTTCAGGAATGAATGCCTACCCTACTTACTCCGTACATACATCGTACACTCGAATCTCGGTAGTGATACATTACAGGGTTGATTTAATGTACATCGTACCTTTTCAAGGACGCACAAGGTACCTACGTACGCACGACGGGCACTGCGCAGATAGTAAGACAGGCCAGCCAGCCACTGCTAGCGCCGCCTTAGCCCCAGGTACCTGAGCGCAAAGGGAACGCTGCATGTGGTGGGCCAGGTGTTGGCGCCTGTAAGTTTTCGTGCCTGACATGTCCCCTGAACCTGGCCCCTGGCCCCCCTGGCCCCCCCGCCGGCCGGCCCTGTTCTGTGCCTGTCAACGTCAAAGTCGGCCAGGCTTCAGGGGGGAGAGGACCTTGCCAATCTTCTATTATTATAAACAGAGTCATGGTTGGGAACGGAGCAAGGAAACCTTCCAACATATTATAAACTCCGACCAACGTACAAATGCATTGTACTACGAATCCCATAGCACGTGGACTGCCTACGTAGTACTTGCTTGGTCTGCTTGCTCCGCGGCCCAGGAAGAGGACTGTGCGTGCCGACAGTCAGCGCGACCGGCCAGGGGAGGGGGGGTGCGGGCGGTGACAAACCCCCCCCCGCAATCGAGGCGCCGCCGTGCTTCTTTCTTTTGCAAGCTTAAACGGGGATGAGAGAGTGCGGATTTGACACGAGGCAAAGCCGTACTTGTCGGTAATTGATTGCCCCAGGGCGATGGCGAGTGTAAGACGTTACTTTCCCGCGTAAGTGGTGAGTACAAAATACTCGACTAAGTGCGGATACGTAGTAATCATCTTCTCACTATAGCAGAGATGTGAGGGGGATGGCGGGGACCGACCGGAACCCACTTCGGATAAACGAGCCACGGCACGGCACATGGCCTCATGACACGGACCACGAGCAACGACGGGCATTTTCGCTCCTCTTCGGTAAACGGTTAGCCTTCCGGCTTGAAGCAGGCATTTGCCAGTTCAAGACCTCCGAGTCGACCACTCCACATCGTATAGTGTCTGATGTTTCTGACTGAACACCGAGTCTCTGGTCCCCGCTCTGGTGTTGCGATACGTTCCTGTTGTCTGATACCGAGCACTACCATAACGTAGCTTACCTACCCTACCTACTTTACTTCATCCTGCCGGGCTCGGCAAGGACCTTCGGGGTCGTTGCTACCTTGATTACTTCCCGGCCTTAACAGCTCGCTTTCAGCTCGCCCTTCCTGTCTCCGTTCCTTCCCGCCCCCCCCCCCCCCCCCCTTCCGTGATGCCTGTCGTATCTGTACCCGCGCAGATCCGCACGCTGCACGCGGCAAGAACAAAATAGTAACAGAAACAGGAACAGGTAGGCGCCATCTAAGGGAAGTGGGTCTAAGTCTACTGAGTAGCTTGTCTTGCTGGACGTGGAAAAAGGACTTGGCAAGCGCGAGACAGGGAGGGAAGGAACCAAGACAAAAGAAAATAGAATAAAAATAAAACCATTCACGAAGAGCAGGAAGTCAGAAAGAGAGAGAAAAAAAAGAAAGAAAAAAAAAAGCAGGAACCACACCGCCCACATGACACGATCGATACGCGACAACGTCCCCCCTTCATGCCGCGTTCCTGTCTCGCTCCATGTAGAATGTTGCTTGTCTCTCTCTGATGTGCCGCTGCCGTCTTTTCGCCTCATGCCTGCCGCCATCCATCCATCCTCCCATCCGTCTCATCTAGCTCCGACTTCTGCGCCGTGGCCACTGCAGAACACTTCTCTTCATCCCTTCGTCTCAGACTCGCCAACCGAGCATTCCTCTCGGCCGTTGCCCACGTTTGCTTTCGCGTCTCTCCCGAGTTCCGCCTGCATTCTCTCTTACTTGGGCAAGTCAACCCGCCGCTTCCCACCGTCACCTCGGCACGCCATCGCCCTCGCAAGACAGTTCCTAGGTATCCTGTCTTCAACGACGCCTACCACGTTACCTGCTCTGTGTACACTCCCTGCCTACTACCTACCTACCTAGGCAACTAGCTACCTTGTCTGGCTTCAGGGATACTTCGCCGCGGCCAGGCCCACGCTGATACATCAGCCCACGAACACGCACGCACACACGCACTCGCACCACCCTCTTGTCCTGGTAGCACACCCCTTCCGTCGGACCCTTTTTCTTCAACAGACACCACGCCAATACACAGGGCACCCGCGGAGAGGAGAGAAGATGTAGAGAGAAAGAAAGGGAATGAGAGAGAAAAGGCAGAGAGAAGGCCGTCGAGGTCTTGCCTGACATCCCTCGACCGCAGCGAGACAGTACCATCGACAAACGGGTTACAATCACCTTCCGTCCCCTTCCGTCCGTCCATCTATTTCTACCACAATGCCAGACACTCGCTTTCTCGACCAAGGGCGACCATCCCTTCCTTGGCAATGGTCAAGCTCGCCCTGGCTGGGTCCAGACCCTGTCCAGGTCCAACCCAGTACAAGCACCAACGAAACACACCAAGTCATCACATCATACCTCCATCTCGTTGGCTCGATCGAATCCACCTGCATCCCGTGACAGCCACCAACACCACAAATGATGTGAGAATTTATCTTCCCCCCCCGTGCCTGGATTGCGCCCCGAGGTCCCATCCCTTAGGAGATGCTCTGGAACACGACAATCAATCCAAGACGACTTGTCATTCTCGCACAAGCGATACCGTTACATCTTGCCGGCGCAGACTGCATACACATGCCAAGAAAACGCTGCTGAAAGACCACTGCTGACTTTCTTATGCGTGCCCGCGGCCACCAATGCTTAACCTTACAGCTAGGTAGATCGCATTCGCGACCAGACGGGGCATCCCACCATCGCACTCGGGGGGCTGTTCCATAAACAGCCAACGACACAATGAACCCAGCGTTTCGCTCCTGGTCACTTGCTCAGCGCCGCCACGGTTCGTCTGGAATGGTCATCACAAGCAAGCAAGCACCCTTTCTTTTCGCCCCGCGGTCCACGTCTGGCTTAGTCCACTTCGTCCCAAGCCCGTACCGCTACACCGGAGGGCGGCGGCGACTTTCAGACTCCTCGCGCCCTGTTCGTCGCAACAATGTATTTACTTGTTGGTCAGCAGTTCCACTTATCGGGGGTTAGCAGCAGGGAGCTGGCCGGGTCGGCAACCCGCACGTACAACTGCGAACGCCAGCTGCATATCCCACGACGTCCTCCAGCAATCTTTGTGCCTGCATGCCTGCATTGACAGCGCGTGCCGCATCATGTTCGGGATAAAAACCTGTCGAAAGTGCCCCCGCACTTGGCCGAACGCGGGGAGGCTGGCTGGCAATCTGGCACTTGGCCCTGGCTTTGATCGCCCTGGTCGGTCTTGATTGGGTGGGGGATGGCCGCAGGGACATGACGATAACACTGTCAGATTGGGGCTTGTCGGTCGCTGTCTGAAGGGCAAGGATACATGCTGATCCTCACTGTCGTATCGCAGAATTCCTCAAAGTCTCATAACCCCCCCACCCCCGCCGCTAAAGATTACCAAACCCAAGGTCGTCGCACTCCAGCAATTTAGTGAGAACGGGGGGTTCTTTGCCTATTCATCTTCCCCACGCTATCGTCGCTGCGGATCGCTGTCAAGCCCGTCTGTTCCAGCTCCGCCTCGGCTGATCTGCAGAGGTTACTTGTATGCGATCATCCCCGCGTAATGCGCTCAAAAGACCACTCTTCATCAATGTCAAGTCGCGTTTGCTCGACCAGATGTTGCAGTGTCATCGGCCGCGAACACCTGTCCTTCCCTCGCAAACAGCTAAGCTGTCTGAAGCGTAACAAGGGATCGAAGGGCATCCGCTGCTGTATGCATCGGTCTAACAATTTCCATCCGCCTTCAAAGGTACCATGAGCAGTCACGTCGCACATTGTTCAGAGTTGCCGTTCTGCAATGCAGCGAGGGAAATAACTGTATTACTGGCAAGAAGTATGTGTTGGTTTAGATGAGGCAGTATCTTCATGGCAGGTTGTCTGCCTATAACGCAATGCATCAACAATGGGTATCGTCGTCGGCGACTCTGGACACCTACACACCTGGTCCAGGCCGACCGAGGCCTGGGCCCACTAAGCGACGGATCATATCTTCATTCATCAGAAAACGGAGAATTTAGACTCAAGAGCGGATGAAACAATGCATCGGAGTACCGCCCCTTGCTTCCCATGCCAATCGCGTGCCGAGGGAAATGCCGGTACACAGACCGCCCGGCGACGTGCTCCCCAACCGCTGTGTGCCAGGCGCGCGCAGGCTCATCGGATCGCTCATCATAATTCACCAAGATCCCTTCCAAGCCGGCCATTTATGCGTGCTCGGAGCGCAAGAAAAGGCGTGTAGCACATGGCGGCCACCGAGACCGAGACACGTCTACAGCCCTCGGTAGAAAGCAAGGCTTCTCCTTGTGCCCGCGGCCGCCCATCACTTGTTGGTGGCTAGCCTCATCCCACCAATTCGTCATCCTCCCATAGGGACATGGCGGGGGAACCCTTGACGCCGAAAACGGAAGATGACAGTCGGTCAAGGGACTTTGTATGCTTACTCTACCTACTTTTATCTGCAGACAATCCCTCGAACAGGGAACTACTTGGCTCGTTTCAGAGTAGGCGGAGCAAAAGTCGCCAGGGTGACCAAATAAATGCATGCAAAGCGATGAGGGTCCTTGTTGCCAGACGGGGTGTCATTTGGGGGGGAGGGACACGCGCGGGATACTGCAGCCATATGCAGGTCGCTCAACTCGAGATGTGCCTGGAATTAGCATGGCGATTGCGCTCACGCCGCGGCGAGGTGTTCTGCTTCGCTCAACTCAATACCTCCTGCATGTCCGCTTTGACTACGACCCTGGTCATGCAGCTTGGATTTCTGCTGGTCTCATGGTTGGCTGCTCTCTTGGTTGCTCTGCCTGCTCGCATGAACTATCGTATGCATTGGGCTTCACGGTACGGGGAGTATTGCGCATGAACAGCAGAGTTAAAAAGCAAAGTCTTTGATCAGTAGAGACGCATAGGACAAGGGCAACAGCTGTATGCCGTGGTATCCCAACTGGCGAGGCGGACAGGCTCATGATGGGACCAAGAGCTAGCTCATGGTTCACCGCCAAAGACCATTCGCTATCGGCAATGGTCTGCGGGTACCCTCCGCCACACCAAGACTCGGACTGGCCACTTCTACTCCTAAATTCAAATGGTCCCGATCAACACGCCAAGGTGGTCTCGGACTTGGATCTTGCAGCACGGAATGTGAGACATAATCAACCTAAGATGGCCTCTGTCGCTTTCGGCTGAGTCAACCTTGTGTGGAGTTGTGATCATACCGCATTGTGATTCACATCATCTGCGGCCTGGTTGGGTTGTACGACTATCGCGATAGACGCTGGCAACAGAATGGAATGTTACTTTCAGTTTGGCCTTCGCAAGACAACCCAACAGCCGTACCCGGGACATTCCTTTACCTCTGGGTGTGTGGTCGAATCTACGACGTCAAATGCTAGCTGCACGATGCAAGGAACAGGAACGGAGACGAAAGAGGCTCGCGATGGATGCAAGACTGGCCAATACAGAGCTTTTGCGGGCAGCAGTTCGATTTCCTGGATGTGGAACACACATAAAGACAGGGTTTTACATACTCGCGCTCCAGACACAACAACCTTTGCGCATCCAGACGGGAAATGCCGCCTCACTGCTCGCCGATGGGTGCGGGCGCAGCGCTATCCAATGCGTTCTGGCAGGGCGCCCATCTATTCAACGTCGAATGCTGGACCATGTCTACACGTAGAGGTAGGCGACAGACAACCGAGAAATGGTCGTCGTTCAATAGCCGACTTGACTCTCTTCCGTTGTCGAAGGGCCGGCTGCCCCGCGTCGTCATACAGCAGCAAAAGCCACCAGGATCAACAAGGACTTTGCTTGAAGGACCTGTGTTGTGGCTTTAGGGCGCTAGCGAATGTGCAAGTCTCTCGGAGCGACAAACCACTAACTGACTAGATACTGACAAGCCGACCCCATCCACGGCTATGAACAAGGTACCGATCCAAGGCGGTCCCCCGTCGGGTCGCACAGGTGTCTGCGGCTACGACAAGGACAGACAACGACATTCCCCACGGCCCCAGCTGTTGACAACCTCCAGCCGCCCTGCGCAGATTCAAATAGCTTGCGCTGCAGTATTTGACTTGAGTTGAATATTCAGAGCTGGGCCCATCCCTGGGACTTCATCTTTCCCCCTCACGTCGACGAGCTGCGCCTAAGCCCCGTTTGCGCGAGCTTGTGTCTGTCGCCGCGAGTAGTGCTGGTCTCACCGCTCTTTTGGCAAACTCGGCCTTGGTGTCAACGCGGCCTCCGTCCAAGCGGCGACGACGAAGGATGAAGCCCTTGGCAAGAGAGAGGAGGAGACATCAGTCGCGACTTGGATCAAGCCCGGTTCCCTGTGTCGGCACACTGGTAGCCGCCAACTGGCGGTCCCACACGGGGGTGAGGTTTCTTCGCAGTCATCGCTATTTCGACGGGTCCTCGGGGATTTGGACTGAGAGCACAGCAAGTCGCATGAACGGCGCCATGCAGGCGCACTCATCAGTAGCTGCGAGCTGTCGCCAGTGCGACGCACAGCATGCAGGCGTGCATGAGCTCGCATCCGAAGATAAGCTAGGGCAGCCGTCTGGTCGCCCCAATCCCCATGTTCTTTGCAGCAGTAGCCTCTCTCGACGTCCTCTACTGGCATTTTCGTTGGTCTATTCGTACACTAAAGTCTGCAATATGGAACAAGGCATCCATTTCATTCGGCAACCTGCGGATCTTGTGGGAACACCCCTCCCCCTGTCGTGACCTGCAGCCAGCGCGTTGGGGCCGTTTCGTTTGCGGTGGCTGTCAGTGTTTCGTGTCCAACACACATGTCAATCCAATGATGATGCCATGGGCGGCGCTGGCAACGGTCGCTCGTGTCGCTCGTAAGTGGGCGGGATTCCCTCCTCGCCCCCCCCCCCCCCCCCCCCCACCCACCTCCTGCTGATGCGACATGCAGTCATCTTTCCCTCGCCGACAGACCGGTCCATAGCTAGACATAAACGCCCGGCAGGCCCTAGTCTTGGTGATCTCGTCGCCCGGTCGGGGGCTGCGGCCTAGGTAGAGACCGACGGGCTGACTTACGTGCTGTCTATTCATGCAAGAAACGGCCGACGTCTTGCTAGTCGCCTCTTCAGGCACGCAATAGCTTGCATCGCCAGTGCCCGATCCCGGGTCGCCTCTCTGTACGGCTTGTGCGTTCCTACCCGCCTGGAATCAGGCGCGCGCCGCCGGCGCCGGGCCCTTTCCGGTACCTGGCCGCATCCATCCCCCTTTCCGCAGACCTTGTGACTCGATTTCCCTTTCTCGCCAACAGCACGATATCCGGGCCTGGTAAGCTCTTTCTATCTGTCTGCTGTTATTGGACGAACGACATCTCTTGTTGCTTGGACCGTCCACCCGATGACAGCTCTGCATAGATGGGATGGCGCCCGGCGAGTCATGGGCTCGAGCTTCGCATACGCTGGCTGCTCTGGTTCCTTCACGTGTCGACTTTTGTTCGGGGACCTTCACAATCAGGACACCGCGAGTGGCGGCGGCGAGGGGGCCGTCGGACAGTCATGTGAAGTTCTGGCACTATCTGCAGCCGGTAAACGCTGTTGACCGACGAGCGAATCGTCACAATCTGCCGTGTTCAGACCATCAACGGTCAGCCAGCCTGGGGTAGGTGATAGATCACCTTCTCAACACTCTGGAACGAACGCCGGAAGGGGGGGGGGGATCTTGTGTATCCATATTTCTCGTGGACTCTCCGTCCGGATGAGCCGTGCTCCAAGATGCGGGCTGAGTAGAGCTATGCGTCTCGACGTACACGACGTCTTCGCTTTCGCATCCCGAGTGTCACAACGGCTGTGTGTATCGAATGGTCGGCGCTCGGCTTAGCCACAAGCTCTAGTTGATTCCGGTGGGGTTATAAACTCTGATTGCCTGATGAGCTCGTAAACAGAGGTTGAGCAAAGCATGAGCGACGGTGTGTGACTCACATCTGAGCGATTGAGTGTCATATACATCATCTCTCACGGCACGCGAGGGGGGGGGTGATGTGGTGGACAACGGGCTCGCAAACCAACACTATCACCAGCCCGCAGACGAAATAGCCGCGAATTCGCAGGTCGTCGTCGGCCCGTTCGGACAGTGCTTATGATCCCCCCGTTAGCCCTCTGGCGACAGGCTCACTTATAACACGGCAACGGAGACAGATGCGCGGATGGCCATATCTGACGGGTACTAGTCTTTATTATTACTATACTTGGAATCTCATTTCGCCCCTGTTCTGGTTATAAATATATATATATATATATATATTGTTCATCCCAGATAAGAGGCACCCCGCCTAAGAAAACGCCTTGAATAATTAACAATCCCATAGTCTTTGATGGTCATGGCTCGTAAGTTTGTTTTTACAGAGTCGTGCCCGTGTGTGAAGGGGTCACATGTACAGAAAAAACACAGATCAGATATCCAGCATGCTCTTTACCTGCTGGGGCTGCTGGCCTGTGATGGAGACGGCCGAAAAGGTGCTGTTGCTGCGTTGGCTGGGGTCGTGGGGCGTGTTGAAGCCGTCTGTGCTCCTGCCGCGTCCTCCGGTGACGGGAACGTCGGTGTACGACGGCGGCGGGCCGTCCTGCGTCAGCTCCGAGGTGCGATCGGGCCGGTTCGCACCGGCGACGGGGAAGAGCAGGTCCGCGGCGGCGGCCATGGCCCGCTCGTTCCGGCGGCGGTCGGATTTGCCGCTGTACGAGGCGAAGGTCGAGCCCTGCGCGGCGTCGAAACCCGGCCGCACGGGGACGGGGGCGGCGGCGGCGGTGGCGGTGGTGTTGCCGCGGCTCACGGGGCCCATTTCGATCTCGCGGTCGGCCTGCTCGCGCTGCTCGCGCTCGTCGGCCATGGCGTCGATGTTTTGGCGGACGCCGCGATTGGTGGCGGCGCCGCCGCCGAGCTCGCGCACGTTCATGGCGATACGCTCGCGCATGGACATGCGGCCGACGAGGTGGTCGTCGTTCTTGACACGCCTCCACCAGGCGGGTTTGGGGACGTAGCCCATCTCGCGGTCGATCTGGGTGCCGCGCTCGCGGCGCTGGCGGATGAGCTCCTTGTCCTCGTTGGGGGAGAGGAAGCCGTAGGCGATCTGGATGTAGAGGATGAGCAGGGCGGGGCCGTAGCCGCCGGCGTAGACGGGGGCGAGGGAGGCCTTGGCGTTGAGGACGGAGTAGGCGAAGTTCCAGGAGACGATGCCCTGGTAGGCGACGAGGCAGCCGGCGAGCGGGATGATGAGGAGGAAGCGGAGCGGGACGTAGCGCAGGAAGCCGCGGGCCTTGTTGAGGAGGCCGCGGTTGCGCGGGTAGTAGTGCTTGATGGAGTGGCGGAGGGAGGCGACGATGGTGAGCCAGCAGACAACGAGGCAGAAGGTGGCGGCCTTGAAGCGGCCGTCGGTGGCGTTGGGGGCGGCGCGGGAGGCGGTCTGGTCTGGGGAGCGCTGCTTTTCGATCTCGCCCCAGTTACGGGGGATGATGAGGAAGAAGTTCTGGGGGTGTTGTGTTAGTTTTTTTTTTCTTTTTTTTTTCCTTTTGTTTTTTCCCTCGTGAGATGGGATGTAAGGGGGAAGACTATACCAGCCATAGCCAGAAGTAGAACCACAAAGGGGCCCAGAACTCGATCTTGCTCCTGCGGTCGCCCTCGCGCAAGGAAAAGGGGTCCGGGTCGATGGCCTGGCGCTCGCTCCAGCTGCCCCAGTGGCGAACGGCCTCCCAGACGAGGGCCATTGTGAACTGCTGGAGGAGGTACCAGAAGAAGCTGTTGATGACGATGGGGAGGCCAACGACGTAGAAGCGGTCAACGTCGATGTTGGTGAAGAGGCTGATGAAGGCGGCGACGCAGACGAGGATGGCGTAGTACCACTGCCAGCGGCGGCCGACGGGGTAGAAGCGCTTGGAGGCGGGCAGGTGGGACCTGCCGTGCTTGGTCAGGCAGGCGAGGACGAAGACGAGGGCGAGGCCGTAGACGACGCCGAAGCCGACGCCGACGCCGGCGCGGGGGCCGATGGGGTTGATGGGGTCGTAGCACCAGGTGGAGTTGACGAAGGAGCCGTTGGGGAGGAGGCCGACGGGGGTGTAGGGGGACTCGACGACGTAGCAGTTGGAGCCGTTGGAGAGGGTGCCGTTGGTGTAGAGGGTGTAGTTCCAGAAGGAGAGGACGGTGCGGTTGAAGTGGACGCCGGCGAGGATGGTGTCGGAGGCATTGGCGCCGGGGGGGAAGCCGAGGAGGGCGCGGGCGTGGAGAGCCATGGGGGGCGAGTGAGGTTGAGGTCGATGCGAGAGGCGAGGGTTAGAGAGAGTAAGAAGGTTGGCGGGTTCAAGGTTCGGGGTTCGATGAGGTCAGGCTCTCGGTCTCGGGTCGGCCGGATCGCCCGGGGGGGAGATCGGCGGGATGCGGCGAGCTTTGGGGTTCGACTTGGGTTCGGAACCGGTTCGTGTTTCGTCCAATGGGTATTTCGGCTGGATTGCTCTCGAGGAGAGGCGGATACGACGAAGTCGGGTGCGAACCTAGGACATTGCTGGCGTGGGGGGGGAAAAGCGTCGGCGAGGGGTGGAAATGAGGTGGTTAAGGAAGGGGGGGACGAAGGCGAAAAATAAAGATAATAAAATGAACGGCGAAACTATGGTTATCTGCAATCCGCTTATGGAATGCTCGGAAAGGCGGAGAGTCGGAGACTGCCTTGCTTGCTCGCTTCTTCTCGTTCTTCTTGTGCCGTTCCGTTAGTCTCGCGACTAGTCAGCGCGCCCGGACAGGATTATGGACGCTACGCGCAGATCATTCGATGACAGCGTGGACGGTGGAGAGAGGAGGAGGGAGATCCAGACGGAATGGCCGGGTGTGCTTTGGTTGTGTTGGTCAGCGCGTGGAGAAGCCGAAGCTCCGGAGGGGGGGGGGGGGGGGACCAAAGAGATGAGAAGAGCAAGACGAAGAAGAATCGTTGTCAATCTGGGTGAGCCGAAACCCAGAAGGCGATGCGATTTGATTTCCTCTTGGGTTGTTTAAACAAAAATAAAACAAAACAAAACAAGAAGAGCCGCTTCGAGACCCGAGGGACGGGACGCACGGCGTCATTTCATCGCAACAATTGAGCGTGTGGCTCAGCCGAAACAAAATGCGGGGATTCATCTCACCAGCCACATTCGAGCTCGAGCATGGAGACAGACAAGCCACATCTTCGTCCTGGCTGAGGTAAGCAAGTCAATCCATCCTGCCTTACGTAAGGCAATGTCACGTTCCCTCTCTTCCCCCCCCCCCCCCCCTTGCAGAGAGGTACGTACTGCTTGCTCCCTCCCACACCTCGTGGCCGAGACAGGACAGCTGGAGCTGGAAGCTGGAGCTTCACAGCTAACCTTTGCAAACCAAGCTCATCACCACATATAACACAACAATCGCGCTCCCTCCCCCAGTCAATGGATCACCGCCGCCCGTCATGACGACCAGCAACCAAGAGGACCCCTCCTACATCGACTACGAGGCCTTCCTCGACCCGGCCTTCAACCCCTCCTCCTTCGCAAATACCCTCGTCCTCGCTACAAATAACCCCAGCGACGTGCCCCTCGATCTGTCCACCCCGCTATCCCGCGTGCTCTTCGACACCCAGGAGATCGACTCCCACATCGACTCTCTGACCTCTAAGCAAGCCACCCCCTTGCTCACCTACACCCAGGAGCAGACCGCCTCGAGCAAGCGCATCATATCCGAGCTCGACGCCCAGATCAAAAGCCTCAACGACAGCTACAAGCAGCTCGAGAAGGAGGTCATAGACAAGCATGCCGAGGCCGAGGAGGTCCGCCAGGTCGCCACCCGCCTGTGGGAGACCCTGAAGCTGGGCCGCTCCGTCGGCCGCTGCCTGCAGCTGGGGAGGCAGCTCGAGGTCCAGCACGCCGAGATCGCCGCTTCGAGCCCCAGCGCCGCCGCCGCCGCCGCCGCCAAGAAAGAGGATCACCGCGCCCTCGTGCGCTGCTCCCACACCATACTCTCCCTTCGCGAGATCCTCGACAACGCCGCCCCCGGCGAGGAGGGCCACGGGCTCGCCAGGGTCGACGCCGTCCGCACCCTACGGGACACCGTCGTTGCTCCCATCGAGCGGTCCGCGAGGGAGACGGCCGAAAAGATTATCCGCGATTTTGCCATCCCCGAATCGGCCACCTTTGCGCAGGGCGAGGAGACCAAGGCCCGCACCGTTTCGGGCATGGTCACGCTGTTCCTGCTGTCCCCCACGCCCACCGCCGCCGCCGCCCAGAAGACGGACCGCTGGGCGCCGCAGCTGCTGCTCGCCGCCCTCGAGGGGTACCTGCGCTCGGCGCTGCAGTCGTCCATCGCATCCATGTCGCGCTCCCTCGCCCAGCTGTCGACGCTGGAGCGCACCTTCGCCGAGATATCGGCACGGTGCCAGAACATTGTCGCCCTCGAGCTGGTCCTCGAGTCGACCAAGCTGCCGACCCACCCGCTCGTCGCCGCCCCGCAGAAGCAGACCAACATGCTGCAGCCCCTGCTGGCGCACCTGGAGACGGGCAGTCTGCCGAGCTATTTCTGGCGTACCATGGCCGGCAGCCTGGGTTCGCGGGTGCAGGAGATTGTCACCCGCGGCGGCGCGGTCGCCCGCTCGCTGAAGGCCAGCAAAGTGTACATCGGCGAGGGTGTGCGTGAGTGCGTCGTCAAGGGGTGCCAGATGCCTAGCGCCCTCAAGGGCAAGACCAGGGGAGAGGGAAACTGGGAGAGGGAGGTCGCCGTCATGGTCGGGAGCGTTGTGAACAACATGGGCAGATAAGGCCGCGAACGCCGGACTTTGGGTGGACGGTCCGAACGAGCCAACCACCTTGCTGTGGATATGGAGCATCTACGACTAAGACACAAACGGTATCTGCCTTTGCCGGAACACAGACGTTTCAATTGACGACTCCCATATTGTTTCATTATTTCTTTCGATTACTTTCGGCTCCCACCGGTACCCGGCCGCTGCCAGAGTATAGTACCGATGGCATTCTCGGCCCTGGCTACCGGTGCTGGAGGATATCATCACCGTGGACAGCATTCTGAGCCATTTCGAGCCTTTATGAACCCAAAAACAGGTCTCGCACACACTCGGCATGCCATGTTAACACGGACAGGGCACTAGCCGATTCACGGACTAAGCCCTATGGTCGCATGGACACGGAACGTCGGTCGAGTCATGGTACGCAACGTCTGCGGAGCCCGTTGCATTAACGCTGCGTGCTTCGGGTGCCCCTGCTCATGTTCAACTCTAATGCTCTCGGCAATGGATGCACAGGACAACGGAACCTGGGCGCCGAAAACGTTGTGTCGATTTCTAGCTCCGGGCCGAGGCAGCACTCGCGCTAGCCTTGTGGTCGATGGCCATGAACTCGACTGCCCTATCTCGCCTACGAAAAGCTGGAGTTTCCGGGGTAATTTTCGGCCTGCGTTTGCCAAATGGCCGTTACGCAAACAGCCACGCATAGAAAAGAAAAAGAAAAAATGACGAGCATGACGACGCCAAATTCGAATTAATCTGAGGGGGATCCGAGAAACCGAGAACCCATGCATCTGAGATACCCATCCGAGGTAGCATGGCCCCACGAAACTAAGAGTCCGATGCCAAGAGTTTATGAGTCCGACGCCCAGCGATTCGTCGAGAAGTGCGCAAAAATGGAGTTCTGACGAGTGGAGGCTGATGGGACCCGGATCGCCACGTTGAAATCGTTGGATGGGGATATTTCGTACACTAGCTCGTCCATGCGGACCAAGCCTCCCTCCCCCCCGGTCCGTGGCGCCTACATTTGGCAGGCGTCCCGATATTGTTTGTGGGTGACTGTTCGTGGGTGGTTGTTCTTGAGTGATGGTTTGTGGGTGATATATAACTCAATTCGCCCTCAACAGCTGATAGGAGCCCCTTTCGGGTGGTCGGTCGTCCACCACCTGAGAGCCGGAAAACAGTATCACGATGGCGCTGCTCTCTTCCACGGCGTTTTTGTATGCCCTCTCGGCCCTGGTAGCGTACTATATCATCTCGTCCTACCTCGCCCGTCGGCGCCTAGAACGCTTCGCAAAGGCTCACGGCGCAACCTTGCCCAAATACGTCTCGACGAAACTGCCGTTCGGCATCGATGTAGTCTGGCGCGCCATCTCCACCGCCCGCAACGGCGGCGACATCCTCGACGATTGCATCGGCGCCAGCTACGTCGCCAACGGGACCACCTTCTCCAGACCGGGCTTGTTCGGTCCCACCGAAGTCTACACCATCGACCCGGCCAACATCAAGGCTGTGCTGGCCAATAACTTCAAGGACTTCGACCTGGGCCCGAGGCGTATCAAGCAGTTCAAGCCGTTGCTGGGACACAGCATTTTTACCGCCGACGGCGCCTTCTGGGAGCACTCGCGCGCGCTGTTCCGCCCACAGTTCTCTCGGGACCACATCAACGACCTCGACAAGACCGAGGCCGCCGTCCAGGCCTTGTTCAGGGCTCTGCCACTGGTCGGCCGCTCCGAGAGCGGCGCCGTGACGGTAGACATCATGCCCATGCTCTCCCGCTTCACCCTCGACACGTCCACCGGCTTCCTCTTCGGCGAGAGCATCGACTCGCAGACGGCCGCCGCCACAGGTATGACGTCGACGACGAGCGCTGCGACGGCCATGGCGGTCGACCAGTGCGACAAGGACATGACCTTTGCTGAGGCCTTCCACGAAGCGCAGATGTGGATCTTGACGCGTATACGCCTGCAGGGCATGTACTGGCTCGCGCCGGTCGGCAAAGGTCAGAAGGCGTCGGACTACATCCGGAGGTACACCAACTACTACGTCCGCATGGCCCTCAGGTCGGAGAAGCCCCGCGTGGCGGGAGCGGGCAAGGGGTACAGCCTGCTGGACACGCTAGCGGAGCAGACACAGAACGAGGACGAGCTGCGGGACCAGATACTGGGCCTGCTCATCGCCGGCCGCGACACGACGGCCACGCTCCTTTCGTGGACCCTTCTCCTCCTCGCGCAGCACCCCGCCGTCTTCGAGCGGCTCCGCGCCGAGGTCATCCAGAACTTTGGCGAGTACACGGACGACGGCGGCATCAGCCGCCCGGCCAACATCGACTTCAGCTCGCTCAAGGCGTCCAAGTACCTGCAGTTCGTCCTGCGCGAGACGCTGCGCGTGTACAACGTCGTGCCGCTGAACATGCGCATCGCGACGCGGGACACGGTGCTCCCGCGGGGCGGCGGCGGCGACGGGGAGCAGCCCATCGTGGTGCGCGCGGGGCAGACGGTCAACTACTCGCCGTACCTGCTTCACCGCCGGGACGACATCTGGGAGGCGGCGGCGGAGTTCCGGCCTGAGCGGTGGGAGGGCGTGCTGCTGGACTGGAATTATATCCCGTTCAGCGGCGGGCCGCGGATTTGTCTCGGACGTGAGTTTTTTCCTTTTCTTCTTTCTCCTTACCTTTTCCTCTCCCTCCCCCCTTTCCCCCTCTCTTGTCCTACTTCAGTTCGTAGCTGCGTAAGGCTTTCTGACATTGACTGACCGACATCGTACAGAGCAATTCGCCCTCACCGAGGCCGGGTACCTCATCGTGAGGCTGCTGCAGAGGTTCAAGAGCATGGAGTGGCTGGGACCGGAGGGGAAGCCGAGGAAGGTACTACACTTCACCCTGGCGCCGAGGGATGGCGTGAATATCAAACTGCAGTACGCGTAGTCCATACAGGCTGTTTTTTATCGCTCTAGAGGAGAGGGGGTCGTACGAGATCAATAACCACCTCGTCATCGGGGGGAAGATGGGCAACCAACCGTTGACTCGTCGGCTGGACCAGCCATTGATTTAATAGATCAGACAACAACTTTCAAGTCCATCCGTTCTCTGCGTCGAAGCATTGCGCAAGGCGCCGCAGGACAGTCTTGGCGCGCGGGGCAACGACGTCTGAAGCAAATACCTTTTCCGTTCAAATCTTTCCATCGTGTCGTTGTAGCAGGGCCGCCATCGGAGTCCAGGCTTCGCTTTCTTCCTCCTCGCTTAATGTTTTAGTGATTGTTGTCGAGCCGCTGTTGACTTGATGCTTGACGGCACCGCCAAATATCAAGTATGCGGGCTGGCCAGCGGCTCCATTCCCTGGCACCTTTTGAAAAAAAGAAAAAAAGAATTCAGGAGACGATGCCATACAGGGTCCGGGTATGGTCATTCTCTTTTCGATTCTCGCACCGAGAAATGGAGATCTTCTGCCAGCCTTTCTGCTACATCGACTGACGACTAGCCGCCCTACTTCATGTCTGGCAAGTCGAGCCAGCCGGCATCATATGATGTGGCGAAGGGGTATCCGGTGACCAGATTCCACACGTCAGGATAGGGTTCACATACCTCTTGGGAGCGGCTATGTCCGACGTATCAGCCACCATGGCCCATTCGTGCGCATCCAGCAGACAGCCAGAGTAAGAGCAGCGGCAGTGCTGCCCGTTTACCATCACAGCAGCAAACTGTACACCCATCTCCGGAACCTGAGAAGGGACCGGAGATGAGATACCGGCATGTATTACAAGACCGCCAAAGCACGCCCAAATCTCAACTCCAGACATCTCAGAGAGCAAACCTCACTTACTCGTCTAATAACCCCCCCTCCCCCAGCCATTTCTCTTATTACAGCAATTCAATCTCAAAAAGAAGGTGAAAGAAGACTTCCATCATCTTCTTCAGCCACGACCAAGACAAGAACAATTCAACGCAGCCACTAACACACCGCCATGGCCGGCTTCCTGGACGCCTTCGTGCGAACCACTCGCTGGTCCCTCGCCCACTTTTCCACCGACGCCAGAGCCTTTCTTTTGATCGCCTTCCTCGCCTTCCTAGTGTTGGTCGTCGCGGCATGCGTCTGCTGGGCAGTCATAAAATGCGTGGGGCGTCGCGCCAAGAACCGAGACGAGGAGGCGAACGAGCCTGAAGGAGACGACGACGACGACGACGGCGACGCCGCTGGCGAGAGAGAGAGAAACGACGATCAAAGCTGGGCGAATGAGCCCTCTTGGTCCTGCAACACCAGCGAGCCGCGAATCCCTTGCCGTAGTCAATCCCGCGCATAGGGCTTCAGCTGTACAAACACGTTTTTCTTCTTCTTTTTCTTCCAGATTCGTGCCGGAAACCGCGGACCAAGTTGTCAAATCATTGGGCGTCAACGGGAGAACATGCAGTGACAAGGGCATGGACACGGGAAATACGTTGTGACTAAAGGGAGCAAAAGGGATTAAGGATTGGATAGGTGCTCTGCAGTATTCAGGACCAATAGAAGTGTTATTTAAGTACGGAAAAAGAACTGTTTCTAAATCGGGGAGAGAAGGGAACAGGGTCTACAGAATGGGAGAATAACAAGAGGCAGTTTATTAAACAATGCTAAATGAAGCACGGCTCATGCTGAACACTCTGTTGTTAGAATTGCGTAAGGATTTTGAGCTGCAATTACCCCAGCTTACGAAATCCATGAACCGATGGCCAACTTGACGTCAAGCGATACTCGCGTCCACCTCGGGACTACCAGGTATGAAAGGCTTCCCATTTGGTTTGAATTCTTGGTTTGAATTCTTGGTAGATAAACCGCGAGACCTTTCTTGGGCGTGCGGGTCTAGGCTTGCCAACTTACCAAACGAGCGTACGAGCCCATGTCCTCGGCTCAAGCCATGCGACGACAGTCACGAGACGATGCTCCGCGACGGTTTCCTTTTGGAGGTTATGATGGATTGAGCTTACATCTTATCGAGTAGGCAGTCAGCGGGTCAAGGGTGGATGATACTAATGTAGCCTCGTCCTCCTAGCTAAAGGGTCGTCTGTGTGTAACAGGACCTCTCGGAAGCCCGCGTCTGGAGCGATAATCCCTTGCCATTTTCTTGGACTTTAACCGGATGGGTGCCATTGACAAGAAACAGAGAAGACTCGATGTGTTTGCGGACCACGCCCGGTCACAGAGAAGACAACTGGTGAAGGTGTAGTTAGCATCGAAGTAGGATTAAGTTGTTCGAAATAGTCATTCGCAGCCGCACCCATCGTATATTACTCTGAATCCAGATTCTAAACAGAAAATGCATATACCACTCCAGCTTGGAACTCGACAACCGTTTAGCTTGTAGAGACAAGACGACTCCTGCCATGGTTCTTTTATGTCCCCTTACCAGACTGTAACAATGCTGGCCTCCTCAGAAGCTAATTCGCGTCAAGGCGTCAAATTGCACATGTGCTATTATGCCCATTGCATGTTAGGCAGCCCCGTTTAGAGAGGGTACAGATACAGTGCCCCCCCCCTCCCCACCTGCAGACGTGGAGACAATAATCTATATGTCGCCCACATTAGTTCTTTTCGCGGTGTGCATCCTTGCCAGGTTGCAACAAAGCTGAGCTGCATATTCCGGCGAACACAGGGTCTTTCAACGGGGCATTGGCCCACCGCAACGCGGAAATTAGGCGGCTTGTCTGCCTACCTCTGTACCAAACTGTGTAGGATAGGGTGACTATCGGCTGTGCTGACAGACAATAGTTCCAAGACATGAGGACCCAATCGTCAAGATTTTGGTTCCACTGGAGGAGCAAAAGTCCTGGCCAATGCGTAGACACAGAGAATACACATGGACGGACAGGAAGGCGAAATAAAAGAGGGTATTTGTTGTTGGCAAGAATGATTCCCCCAATGGGATTACGGCATCGTAAAAACCCTTGATCAATCTTCTGTGGGTGACTTGATAAACCACCGTTGTGTCCGCGACTGTAGTCTGTCAGCTTACTTCCCAAGTAAAGTCTAAAGTCATGCTGCAGGTAAATGGGCAATGGTATTGCAGAGAAAGACGAATCACGTTAAGAGAATCGTATACAGATATGCAGAAATTCATATTCGTACGGAGCCTTTCAACTCATAAACATTGACAGAGCTGTTGCCATCGAGAGACAGCCAGAGAACGTTCTAGAAAGTCAAATTGGGTAGTAAAGAAACAGGGTCGCCGTGCGCAGCAATCGCCTTCGAATTGAACTTAAACATATACTATTTTCCTTCTGCTGTGTAGGTCTAATGTGTTCCTGTGCAGCGTGCATATTTCCTATCTGGTAGCCGCCAGGCACCCGTGGGGCGGCCCTGGTCCTATTATGCCTTGTATGACTGCGCCCATTGACACTTTCCATCATCCGCAGACATATGAGCTTTACACAACTTTTCATAACAAATGTTAGTAGTAATACAAGTACGGACTATTTAAGTTATAACTTACTCTTTCCCACTGAGTCTTGTAAGGCGCGTGGTTTGAAAGTTGACACTCATCACCACCATGGACAGAGACCATTGTGGCACCAGTCATTTGCCTACAAATCTCTCTTGTAGCCTGTTCTCTGTAATGGCCCCCGTTCGTGCAACTAGACGTATGTTAGTTTCTGATTATAAGTATGGAGTATATAAACAAAGTTCTTACTAGCATCGGTAATTAGCGCTAACGCCAATAGCAAAAAGAGTAAACATGAGCGTTGAAAGATGCATTGTGCTAGAAGAGTAATGAATTCCTTATAAAGATAAGATAGAAATAGTTGTTTAAATGCTTGATGTTGTGCACTGAATCTGTAATCCATTTGGGACATCCTCTGATTATATAGAAGTTTGTATAAAACGTGCAACACATATCTTAATAATCTTTAGACTCCACTTTTATATTACATTAATAACTTTTATAGACTGTAATAAAAGAATCCACTACTTGTACCATAGAAGAAAAGGTTAAAGAAATTAGTACATTATGCACTTAATTATCTGTACATGTTGAAAAATACTAAAACCTAGTTATTACTTTTTAAGTAAATATAGTTAAGCACTCCACGCTAGGTACTACGCAGCCCTACACCTATCACTATCTATTACCACCACTATCACCACTTAATTCCTCAGGCCTACCGCCCACCAATATATAACTTTTGGCTTCGCTAGAATAAAAAAAGCTTAGTACATCAAAGACTAATAAAGTACAATAGATATAGATAGCGGTTTTTAGCTATTTTAGTAGGAAAGGGTGGCCAAGATGTGGGGGTGGCCCAGATGTGAGTGCTTTCACTTAATGCGTTTCTCTAGGCACTTCCTGATTTGGGCCCTCGGGTACGCCGTCACCGAGACAAAGGCGTCCGATACCGCGACAATCTTCCGGTCGGGGGTGAGGACGTCTACAATGCAGAAAGACTCAGCGAGGCTAGGATACGTGGAACAGGTATAGGCGCCGTTCAGGGATACCAACGTATATCTAGCGAGTTGCTGCTTTACAAAGGCTAGGTATATAGTCTGTGTAACCCTCTGCTCTACGCAGCGCATTGACTTAGTGAAGACTATCTTAGGGCTAGGGAGGACGTTACTGGTTAACTGCTTTATGTTAGCTTTTAGGGACTTGGACACCGTTGGCAGAAGGTTCTGTAGCGTAGGCAGCATAGAGGCTCACTTCCCGATCAGCGCCAAGGACTTAGAGTATTCCTAGATCTACAGGAGGAACTCGACGTCAGGCCTATAGCCAGAAGGCTAGGCGAGCTAGAAAAGGCGCTACAAGATAGTGGCGTTGCTGAGGCTAAGGAAATCCAGGATAGGCTAAACCTTAGGCTAAGCTTTCAAAACCATTAGTCTAAAGTTATAACACAAGCTTATTAAGACACTATCAAGGCTAGTCTATATATCTTAAGTAGATATTAGGGCTCTAAGAGACCTATTAGGATTACAGTTAGTGTATTAGCAAAATGTGTCTTTATTGATATATAACAAGATACCTAAGATACTCCTCAGGTTTATTGGGTACAGGTAGAATGCCAGAGCAATTTGGTCGGCGGCCAGTGGGTTAAGCCTATTTCAGAAGATATTATGTCAGCGCCAGCAAAAACAATATTCCGACTTAACTGACCAATGACAAGGCCAGGATTCAGAAAGTTACATAAAGTTAAAAACTCGTCAGATTTAAGTAATTTAAAGTTAAGACAAAATAGAGGCAACAGCTGTAATTAATTTAAAAATTTACTATATTATATAACCTGTTTAATTAAAGAGTAATACCCTTATTATAATAGTAAGTTTATATATGCTACTAGTACTCTTTAAAGGTTAGATATAAGGGCTTAATCTTAGGCAACGTAGGCGTCTATTAGCGATAGTGGATTTACGGCAAAAAGGGCGGTGGTTGTAGTGGCGGTGGAAGTGGCGGTGGTGGCAGTGCCTTCTAAATAGGGTTAGTCTCTGGCCGCCGACCAAATTGCTCTGGCATTCTACCTGTACCCAGGTTTATTAATAGTTTCTTTAGGCAGAAACCTCGGGGGTTCCAGAGGGGAGAGCATCATAGTAGAGACAGGTAGGGGGGCCAAGGGCAGGCACTGCTTTAAAATAGGTTTAAACAACCTTAGAGGGTTCTAGCTATAATCATTATTATTTAGTAGGGTGACTAGTGATTTCTACAACTGAGACAAGCTTATAGTAATATAGTGAGTGGTTAGGTTAAGTTAAAGCACCTATTAATAGGAATAATATAGGTTAGGTTTAGAAAAAAGTGGTAGCGATAGAATACCAGAGAGATTTGTTCAGCGACAGTAAAACCTATTTCGGATTTTGCTTAACTAACCAATAAGAATACCAGGATTAAGAAAATTATGTAAAGTCAGGTAATATATTTCTTCATGTAGCCTAAAGTAGGCAATTACTAGCTAAGTTGTAAATAAGTTAATTAATTACGTGTATTAGTCTAGCCTTTTGGTTACAGAGTAATACCCTTATTGTAATAGTAAATCTATACGTGTTGCTAGCACTCTTTGAAGGTTAGGTAGGAGGGCTCTATCTTAGGCATCGTAGGCGTCTGTTGGCGATGGTGGATTTGTGGCGAAAAGGGCGTTTTTTGCATGGGTTATGGGCGGCGGTGGCAGTGGTGGCGGTGCTTTCCAAAATAGGCTTAACCACTGGCCGCCGAACAAATCGCTCTGGCATTCTACCGCTGCCCAAAAAAGGCTGTGAAAGAAATGAAATTTAATTATAAACTAATACTATGAAGGGCTAATGTACGTGCGAACTGCATGAAGACACTTGTATCACTTCCTCGATACGGTAGCCTACATGATGCCTTCCGGGCCAGTTTCAAACGGCATGCGATAAAAAACAGTCAATATTCCATCCAAACCTCCAGTACGACGCTAAAAGTCCGCATCATCGAGCCAGGGGTTCAATTCAATGCTGGCTGGTGTCAAATGTGGCTTTTTGCAATGCGACATTTCCAAAGCATGACAATGGATCCTAGTGTCCTCCCTTGATTCGCAACTTTGGCTTATCATTTGTACTTCGAGACCGATGAAATTCCTTAACCCGGTACAGAACACAGTCTTGCATGTGAAATCTATTTCTGACATGCAACATCAGACATCTTGGCCTGTTCAGGATGCAGACCCCCCTTCAAAACTCAGTACGCTAGAACTGTTTGTCACTCACGACAAAGGACTTGGACTCAATGTGCGTCTATGGTCCACTTAAGAGGCTTATGAGAGAAACAAGGAGTTTCTCTTTTTTGACCTTGTGAACCAGCAACCAATCTCGAAAGGAGAGTCAATCACTAGCGTGTTTCTACTTAGAACTATGTATATAGCATTTTTCTGTAAGCGGCCTTTCGCTTGGGGCAAGGACTTGATGCTGTCTGAAGTGTCTTATTATCTTAGCTGCGATAAAGTGGAAGTAACTGTGGCCCTGCTTCTGGACAGCAATGAAGACAACATGGACGATTGGCAGCAATATTCAAGGGAGTCACGAACTCAGGCAATAGCAGCAGAGAGCATGGATGCGGCAACCACTCAAGGAGGAAACCGCCAGTTACTTTCAAGATTATAAAGGAGGGAATATTGCAGAAAGAAGAGCATTTGGTTCTTGACACGACTGTTCAAGGAGACAAGGCTTAAGTGGAAAGTTTTGTGCGGGGTTTGATGCTATCACATTGTCAAACTATTCCATTCTTACCTAAAAAAGTACCCCCTTCTGATTGATGAATGTCACGACGAAACCATTTAAAGAGGGAGTGATTGCATCTTCTTTGTAGACAGCAATTGGATAGACATGACGAACATAGGATGGTAGCAGCTTGCTTAGGCAATTCTTATCTCGCCCCTTTAGTATGATTCAACAATTTGCTTATTTGTTTCATCGAGCGCCATTTCATACTCTCAGCCGTTCGTTCGCATCCACAACACAACCCGCGATGTGATATATGCCGAGAATATGTGTTCAAGATGGTATCCCTTGTTGCCTCTCAGATTGAGAGTGAGCACATCCATTCGAGTTAATCCTTGGTCTGGGGGCTGCTCGAATGTGTTGGCGTAGCCTTGAGAAATAGGGAAGCCCAGGACGACCAAGGGCGTGATCGGCTCCGCCGATATCATTTGACACTTCAAATAAGGACCAATATCACAGACCAAGCACCAGCCGCAAGTACCAAAAAACTCAAATCGTGCTGCACTAGGCCAAAAACAGGAGTGTACATCATGATTTCAGTTCTACATTACAGAACTCTAATAATATCAGAGTAGGCTATATACCGCCCTAGGAAGTAACTTTCTTAGCGTCGATTCTGCTATATACGTTGCTTTCCCTATATAAATTATTTTTAATCTCTAGACTTAGGTTAAAGTTTCTATAAAGGCTAATAACTTACTACTGTTGCCTCTTATAACCTACTATTACTAGCGCTTACCTACTATTAAGTACTATAATAGTAGGTAATAGTAGGTAGGCGCTAGTAACAGTAGGTTATAGGAGGCAACAGTAGGCAGCTACTGCTACAGGGGTCCTAGTAGTACATTTACTCAATTAACCTTTGACCTTGCAGTAAACTCTCGTTAACCCTAGCCCTATGTATTTTCTTATTAGGGTACAGCTGATATCGGACTGTTATGTTACGGTCAGTAATCCGACAGTAGGGTTTCCGCTAGGAATAAGCTGGGGTCGATACTCGGTTAACAGTAGTGTTGGCTTGCTGGTCTGTCGATCACTCGGTGATCAGTCGGGTGGTCAATAGTCGTGAAGGTAGCTCGTATAGCTCTTGTCAATTAACCACTAAGGTTGGATACTGAAAGGTATTCAGAGAATGTATCACAAAGAAGTTGATTGCTGAAGAGCTATGAAAGTCTGTCCTTGAGTGCGTCCAAGTCCATCCTATATACAAGTCCTGATCCTGTTGCTGAGCCTGGGACCGATATCCCAATGTCGGTCCTTCACCGTGGACCGCCCTTGGCGTTGTCGGTCCTTCACCTGGGACCGCTTATCGTTTGTCAGTCCTTCTTATCATCACGTGACTTGCACCATAGTTCTTCCTGACCCGAGGAGTCATCCTGTCCCGACCCATCGTTGGTCCTGTACAAATGCCGTACCGCCCGCTGGTTGTCTAGTGGGGCAACGTCGCCTGTAACTTGTTGGGTCGTAACATGTTATCGGTTTTGCTGATCAGGCCCCAAATTCTGTAACAGCGCACAGACAGAGTATTCGATGTTGTGATCTCCGTACCTCTAAAAAAGAGCCTTTATGACTTTGTGGTTATAAATGTAATAGGACATGGTGTGGAATGCGTATTGTAAAGTAACGATGACAGTCTGGGCTAATGGCTAGCTAGTAGGGCATAATGATGGGCTTCGGTCACTCAGGTATTTATATCTGAATTTATCTCAATCTTTGACCAGCACCTACTTGCTATCTCTTTCTCTGTTCCAACTCCTTGGCCTAAACGGTTGAGCCGAATTCACCCAAACAGGGCAGATTCCGAGGTATGCTGACTGGATCAGGGGGCGGAAGGCCCTATTGAAGCTGCCTGGAGGTTGAAGCAGTAGGATTACATCGAGCTGGCCGCTGACTTGGCCGTCATCGCATGCGCCAAAGACCCAAAATGGGAGGTCGTGAAAATTGAGGAATTACACCGTTGCGTGTTGATATGATGCAGGAAGCAGGGGTTGGTAATTCTAATACCCTACTTCCGCAAAACCCCTACTTGCGCAAACCACCATCACCACCACTATCATCAATTATTTCACTATCTCTACCACCTACCCATATACAACTGCGGGCCTCACTAGGTAATTAAGATGCCCTGGATTCATCCAGACTATCTACATCACCGATATCCGGCCCTTGCGCCTGCTGGATGTCCTATATATTAACAAAAGCCCTGTTAGGAAATATACGGACTTGTCTTCTCTTACGCTGCCGCTGTTCTTCTAACTGGCTCTCTAAATGGCGTAATTTTTGCTCTAGATATGCCACTCTGGAGGCCTGCTCATCATACCCCTTTTGCACCTTTCTAGATAGGTGACGAATAGTATGGGTATCTAACTCATCCTGGCCTAGCTGGCTAAATAGGTGTAATTGGTGCCGCAGATTAGCTGTTCGATGAGGGGTTGACCATGGGGCAACAGATACGGCTTCATCCCACTATTGGCTGTTAGGCTGGCTGGGCTGGCTGGCTGGCTAGGCCTTGGATACCATGGGGTTAGATAGAGGGCGCCTTATTGACATTGGCCATAGTCCAGATGCCCTCCAACCACTCTTGATATTTGGGCTCGTTATAGATGCCTCACAGGCCTTAAAATAACACTCTAAGAATGCCCTTTTGCCAGTTATAGTTGAATCTGTAACCCAGTCATCTAGATGTCCAACCTCTGTGCGATAGGCCTGCTTTAATGGGCTAAAGACAGCCACATCTAGAGGCTGGAGGACGGCAGAGGAGTGCGGCGGCAGATATAATAGATATACCTTGTTCTAGAAGCATCCCCACATAAAGTCTGTAGATAGTATAGACCATGTCGGCATTGTCCAGCACGTCCCTCTTCACTCTGGACGTTAACTACATCATCATCATCATCATCATCATCATCATCATCATCCATGGACCACCAATCGCACCGACAGGCAAAGACTTCATATACTCAGCCCTTGGGGTGAACTCCTCTTTGCATTGCTACCCGGAACTCGCCGATGTTCTCAATGTAGATGGGTCTATGAGATCCGCTTTCGGTTATGGTTCCTGTGACTGACGACGATGACGGCGAGACCAGATGCACCGAGACTTTGGCTCGTTCATTTGAGCCTAGTTTAATGTACGTATTAAAGAAACCAACCATGTCAGACTTGGTGAGGGTCGGTACTTCTTTCTCTTAGTTATGAGAGATACTAAGGACTTACTCTTTCTACCTTAATATTCTTCTGAAGAAAAGATAGTATAAGGGATCTACTTTAATAAATAGATAGAATAAGCTACTAAAGAGTTTATATAACTCTTCATATTCATGCGTCGAATGACACCTGGAATACCAATAACAAAAGCGGCTAAAAAGAAGTAGGTCTTGATAAGTTGTATGGTCATTGGTTTACCATTGGACTTGAGGAATCTTTCTTTGAGATGAGTTTTAGGCCCAGTGGGTTTTTGTTTTGCGGTCGTATTGGCCACATTCGTTGATTAGCCTCTTCGACTTACGAGGATCCGGTGTAAAAGCCAAGGGGCAAGGCACGAGAGGAGGCTCGGCCACACCAAACCAAATAATCAGGCTTTCAATTCATAGCTATCCATCTGGGTGCAAGAGTAGTTCAATTATAGTTGCTACTATGTGAGCTGCAGCGATCGGTTTCTCACATCACGATGTTTAGTATCAAGACTTACACGTGACATATCACATGATTAGAAAAGTATGAAAGGGCATATTTCCGTCGCGGTACGCTCTTGGACTAGCCTGAATCGCGATGCCATCACTATTGTTTCCACAACAATCAGCGAGGCCCCGATCTTTGCCGGTGGCATACTCTTCATTCCCCGGAAATGAGCTCATTCCGGGCGCGATCTCGGTCTGAAGCAGGGTGGTTTCTCGCCGGCCTCGGCTCCTCATTTCCCGACCTGGGAACTGACGAGGGCAACCTCTCAGAGCTCCGGTTCTGTGATACGGACCTGAAGCCGGGATGTAAGGTCTTTCATGTTCCCAAACCGGACAGTTCACAGAGCACTGAGGTGCTCCTGGCACCTGATGTCCTCAACTACGCCGAAATTGAGGGAGACCTGAAAGAGCAAGTCCTTGTCTTTAAGTATAAGGGCAAGTTCCATGCTGTCGATCATGTAAGTAGAGGGTAAACATAAAGGTCTGCTAGCGATGTTGGGTTTTTGTGGCTGACTGAATGATGGCCAGAAATGTCCGCACTCGTCATATCCCCTGTCGCATGGCACTCCATTTGACATTGAGGATTTTGGCATCGTCTTGAGCGCAGGCTTGACATGCCCAAAGCATGGATGGTCGTTTGACCTGTTTTCGGGAATGGCGGACAGAGCTAGGTACAAACTGGGTGTGTGGGAAGTCCAGTTGCGTGAAATTGCAGAGACGAAGATGTCCGTCCCATTGGGAGAATCCCAAGCTGTGACGGAAAGCTTAGACAAAGAAGTATGGGTGAGGAGAAAGCAAAGGATAGGTTAGGAAATCCGATAGACGAAGAAAGCAATGCAAAACAACTGGCTGTGCCATGAATGACATTTACGTCTGTCAAGGGGGATATGACAACAATTATTGCCAGCAAATAATTATGTGATTAACGCTCTGCTTCAGACGAGGTCCAGGCGTAACTGGTGGCACAGTTCCCATTGCCTATCACTCTGAGTTGCCAAGCTCAACGCAATAAATGTCAAGCTCGGATTGACAGGCTGTCTGAAAGAATAGCTACACAGGATACTCTGGGGTTTCGGGCGTCGGCTGTACCGAATTCTAAAGTCAAGGCTCACGGAACTGTATTCAGGCAATGCCGAACTTTGTTTTCAGGCACTACTACTATGAGAAACACCCATATCGAGGAGGCCGCATAACGACCCCCTCCATCTGAGCCCTGCTGGTGGCAATAGGCAAGGGGACAGGCTCCTGAATGCAATGCGCAGTGGAACTTCTCGAATCTAGCGGTAGAATCAAGCGGCAAAATGTTAGCTGCTAAATAGGGCTGAAATGTTCTGATGGTAATGGCCCGGGGAGTAGAACCTTGTACAGGACAAGGATGCTTCAGACGGGACGACGATGCAGCGAATCTCAAGCTTGACGGAACTCGCACTCTCTTGCCATTACTTAACCCTCAACGTTTTGTTGGGGTAAAACTTGCCGGCAGTGAGCTGACGGCCATGCCGGCCCTCTGACACGCTAGCAGCATTGTCGACGATCAGAGTCGATGATACTCCGTCGATTGCTAACTCTCGTCTCGGATACGGTGCCAAGACACGCGTCGACTTTCCGGTAAGTCTATGGAACCCGTTTCGTCCTTCCGTATGTTTCGATCGGGTGTCTGAGAACAGAGGGACGGGCCATTTCCTGGGGAAGTTTTAACGAGCCTAATTTTGGTTATGACCTGGGTGGTACGATGCTCGTTTCAGACCAACTGCAGTTCCACCCCCCACGCCGGAAACATGCTGGCGGACGGGAACGAGGCAAATATTGCGTCAATAATTGCTTTTTCCGCATGCATCATCCGTTTCCATGGCTCTTTCTCCTCGTTCTCGTGCCTGGCAGGCATTGAGTTGCCGGCCAATAGCCTCCTCGTGCAACGGGATCATGTACGCCGCCATCTGGGTTGGTCATCGTATCTCGTGATATTATTGCAAAGTATGTATAGATATATAAAGTACAGATTTTTATGACGACGACCTGCTCGCTGGGTATTCAAAAGAAAGGAAAGTGTTCTGATAGGTCAGACGAGCGACAGGCGTTACCTGTCGTCTCTTATTTTGATTGGGACGCGCCAAGAGCTATGGGTCGGACGGCCCATCATCCGATCGTCTGTCGGATGCATCGAGGGTCTATCCCGGTTCCAACGAGAAAGTCGCCGTGTCGTCTCGGTAATGACCGTGTGCTCTGCGCGTTTACCCGTGCCCCGTTATTTTCCAATATTACCTCCCGGCCGGCACAGAGGACGCTAATACCCTCTGGCGTACCCCATCTCTGGGGAGAAACGCCCATCCGGCCCCCTCTCCGCTCTCGGCAGACCACCGGGCTGTGGTTGATAAGAGGCGCCCGAACTGTAGGGACCAGGCGGCGGCTGATAGGAGGGACCCGAGTTATAGGGCTGGTATCCGATGTTGATGGACTCTCGGTAAGAGCCCTGGTCGTAGCCCGAGACGGGGTACGGTGCCGCTGTGGAACCTGGCCGACGTGGTGGTGGTGATCCGCTAAGCCTCAAGGGCGCGGGCATGGCAACCTCGTGGATGGACTTCTCGTCGTAAAAGCTCTCGGTATTGGCGTCGCGTGTGATGGCGTAGCCGGTGTAGCTGCTGTTGAAGTTGGAGACAGGTGGTGCCGGAAACACCGGGATAGTGGCCACCGTGTCCGCCGTGGGCGGCCGGCTGGGCCGCGCGGGCATCCTGTTCCTGTCCGCAGTGTACTGCGCCATCATCTGTTCCTCCATCTCCCTCGTCGTGCGGTTCGCGATCTGAGTCTGCCTGTAGGACGCGACGATGGCCTTCTCCCATTCGCGCGTGCTGCGCGCGGGTTGGCCGTCGGTGGCAGCGGCTGCCGGCCCGCTCTGGAAGAAGGCGTTGCCGCCGCCTCCGGGGTTCTGGCTCATGTTCGTAGCGACGGCGTTCACCTTCTTGTTCCTCTTCTGGCGCTTAAGGAAAAAGATTACGGCTCCGATGATGAGCGCGATTACAGCTGCAAGTCAAATCAGACGGCTGGGCCTTCAGAGGAGGAGGGGAGAAGGCTTACCAATGACGCCGAAGGCGATCCCGATGGCGAAACTGCGGTCCGGACCCGCCGACGCTGGAGCCGGTGTGGCGGAGATCGGCGTGTTCGTCGCCTCCGTTTGTGAGTTGGGCGGCATAAGGCTAGATTGAGGGGTTCCGGACGCGGCATTCCCGACGGCGGGGGGAGGTTGGTTCACTCCGGGGGTTTCGGTGGGCATTGTCATTGTTGGCGGTGCAGAAGGCGACGGAGATGAAGACAAAGAAGCCTGGCTGGCAGGAGGAGCTTGGCTGGCAGGGGGAGCTTGGCTGGCAGGAGGAGCTTGATTGGCGGGAGGAGCTTGACTGGCGGGAGGAGCTTGGCTTGATGGCGTCGCCGCAGGCGGCGGTTGAGCCTGTCGTGTGGACGTTACTCGAGGAGGTTGCGCGGGTGGCGTCGGCTGAGGAGCTCCCGGTACGAGCGTGATGAAGCCTCTTGCGGGAGGAAGGGCATCGCGGTTCGTTTGGCGTGATGAGATCGGGAGGGCCGGCGATCCTGGCTCCGATCCTTCAGCTGCGGGCGGTGGAAGAGTATCCTCTTGTTCCGAGTCGCTTGAGTCTGCTCCTTTGCCAGGTGCTGCGTCGGAATCGCTTTCTGAAGATGCGCTGGACTGTTCGTCGGAATCTGACTCGCTTTCGGCTTCGGCTTTTTCTTCTTCTTTTTCTTCTACATCCTCCTCCTCCTCTTTCTCTCCCTCCTCCTCGTCTTCTTCTTCTTCTTCTTCACCAGCCTCCTGTTCACCGTCTGCTTCCTCACCCTCTTCCTCGGATGATGTTGCTGGTTCTTGTCTGCGGGCCAAGTTGTGGCGTGGTCTACCAGGAAATTTGAGCCCTGCTCTTCTCCTCCGTTGCCTATCATTATGGATGTCAGCACACTCGACCGATGTTTGCCTGCCGTTGTTAGTGTTTACACACCTCAACGTTGACCAAGTTGTGGTGGCCTCCATTGTGACTCTGCTGCTTCCCGTGCTCCACTCTGATAACTTGGGGGTAAACTTCGAAATAAAAAGGGGAATGTCGGCCAGCGAGTGGAAAATGAGCAGCTCAGCTGTGTGTCTAGAAGGAAACGACCAAGAGTGAAGAGAAAAGAAACAAAAGGACGCAAGCGCCCACACGGAAAGAAACGAATTGGATCGCGCGCCGATTTCTCGACGGGAAGCGGAGCAGGAGAAGAAGAGAAGCAGCAGCGTTGCGGTGATGGTAGGCGCTCCATGATAGTTATCAATCATATCGCGTCGTTCGTCTGGCCCAACACAGACAGGTTGTGAGTCGACCCATGTCCAGGGAGGCCTGCCACATCAAACACCCCTCGAGGGTACATGAGCAGGGGTGGTGGCTATTGGAGTGTATGTTTGCTGCGACATGTGCTTGCAGACGACTTGGAACCTTCGCAAACAGGAGAACAGTCTCTTCCTCGTGCGACAAGTGCACACGAAGAGGTATATGGGATGATGCTGGCTCAAGGACATGAGAAAGTATACCGGCACAGTTGCAACCAGCGCGCGCCAGAGTCATGGGCGGCGTCATCCTCCAATGGCCAGCCGTTCACCAACTTCAAGGTACCGGAAAACTCGGCCTGCGTCGGAGCCATGGGGGCCAAAAGAGGTGCAAGGAGGATGAGAGAAGAAAGCCCAGCCCGGCGCACCCATCCGGAGTGTTTCAGACGGACCCCGGCCGCTGTCACTCTGATCGAATCGCAGTGCCGCGCCAAACCCCTCGACTGTGTTTGATGCGTTTCTTGGCTGCTTCGCCCGGAGGAGGCGTCCCCGCCGGTCTGCCGGTCTCTGAAACTTGCCAAATGCGACGTGCAGTCACAAGCCCTCGACTCTGCTCTTGATCAGCGGGTGAGAGGGAGGGTGAGAGGCCTGGGACGAGGCACGACAGCGTCCTGGCTTCCGTCATTTCGCCTCTGAGAGAACTCCACACCGGCGCGTCGAGGCCGGAGATGATTAGTGTGCACTGGAAACGGGGTAAACGGGGGCAAAGACTCGCGTGGGCGGGTTTAGGGGGGACCCCTTGTCGGAGAAGGGAAACATTTTTTCGGTCTCTGTTTAATTGAGGTGCCGACCGATGTCTTATCCTGGTTTCATTTCCGGGCTCGCAATAATCTTGACTCTGGAAATGCTCAGCGGCAGAGGCGAGGTCGATTTTGGTCCGAATAGTTCGGTACCACGCATCAAGACGGCATGAGGGCGCATGAAAGCAACCAAGAGCATGACTACGTGCCTTGGCGGCGTTGGCTGGGCTGGAGATCAACTGCATCATCGTCGCCACTTGCATTGCAAAGCGGCTCGACCAAGGTCAAGTCATGATCATCACAGGGGAATTCATGGCTCGCCCTTTCTTGGGATCCATCCTTGGGAACCGATCACGTCAACTCTTGCCGAAGCAACGATCTGGCCAGCAAATAGATGAGTAGCTGGGCCGTCGACCGACCGAAGCTGCGGCCCTACGAACCTCGTGTTGCTGGGTGGCCTGTCTTGTCTGTGTCGTATCTGGGGTATCCTTTGCTCCATCGCCGCCCACCACGGGGTAGACTGTGAAACTGGAAGCGCAGGGGCGTCTCGCGCCTGTGCAGGAGGGAACATTTGAACAAGAGTCTATTAATATTCTCGGGTTCTTTTCTTTTATCTCCTTGGCCTCCGTCAGCGCGGCTTACCTTATGCGCAGTTTTTGCAACCCGGCTCGACTTGACCTTTCGCCTGCAACGTCCTCCACATGTTCACAACTCATGCTACCCTGGGCTTCACTGCACTTCACTGGACAGAAGACTGTATGAACTCGATGCGCACACACCGTTAACCATTGGCAGTCTATGGCGTGGCCGTGTGTACAGTTTTTTCCGGATTGGAAGGGGGGGCGGGGCATGTGATTTGAGACAAAAAGTTGCTCTCAAGGGACAGATGAACAATCGCTAACGGGCCTCATCTCGTATTGCAGGCTAAGATCGCCGCCATGTCTCGTTGCCGTCTGGAAAGCAAGGCATTCGTTCCCTCTTTGTGGCGTCTGTGCAGTACGGCGTCCGTAAAGCCACATCCGACATGACTCGAGACGTCTGAGAAACTATTTCCTAGCCGTCTCGTCACCCTGTGGATAGATTCCCAAGACCACTCACATTCCACTGTACTTTGCAGAAACTCGAGCTCGTCACGCCTGCTCATTGCACCAAACTGTCTTTCATTCAGGAAGTAATCGCTGAAGTATAGATTGAATAGGCCCGTCTCTGTAAGGAGGCTGGCTTTTCATTCACGACGCCTTCAGCATTTGTCGCCCTTCACGGGGACCGATACATATTTAATGCGGAGAATCTGCGTCTCGGCGCTCATCGTGGCTTTGCCCGGGCGTTGGATACCCTCAAAATACTCCAATGTAGTTTCGAATGCGGTCCATGAGTGACTAAGTTGAAACCAAAGAGATGCGCATCACTCGTAGGAGAAGGAATAATTCGAAACAAAGTAGGTACGGAGCCGGTCCCGGAACGCGCGCCGAGGACTCCGAGCTCATGGATCTCATTATGTCTTGGTAGCCAGCTGGTTTGGAAAAACATTTATCGCCTTGGCCAATTTACAATCCTAGCAGTGAGGTAGCATCTCATGTCTCAAGTTCCAAAAGCGGCAGAAGGTTACACGAGATAAGAAGCTTAATAGCATATTAGAGACAATTTCGGCAGTGGCTGAAGACAAAGGTGGAGGTCGTCATAATAGCCTCCTCAGACACAATCCGTAATAGTGTCTTAAACTTATTCTTGGAAAGCTTCAATTGACTCTTAGTTGGCCCCATGGCAGTGAGGGAGGAAGAGTAGGGGGTGTCAATATCATGATATGTCAGCGGAACACCATGTATTAGCTCAAGAGCTCAACAGCAGCGCGGAGAAACGTTTCCTGGAGATTCGCCAATCATCATCAATTAAAAACCGGATTTTGCAAACCAGACATCGTTTCTATCATGCCGACGTCGACAAGCCCCCGTCCAATGTAGTAGCTCTCGACAGTGTATTGATATCGGAACCAAATCTGCTTTGCTTTCAGATTCCTTGTGCAACCCCCTTTAAGCGTTCATCAGGCAAGACGAAAACCGTGAATAGTACATGCGGGCTCAGATAGGCTATAGTTCTTTCCATCGAATCTTATGTATACGGGTCTAGCATCGATAGTCCAGGTGGCAAACCAGTCTTCTTGGGTTGAACATTAAGAAGGAAAATGCATCAATCCACTTGATCTTCTAGTCGCTAATACTTTTGAGTCTTGCCTCGCGCAAGCGTGGGGGCAAAGAAAGCCCACGAACGTTTACGCCGATAGGTCACCGCGGCAAATACCAGCAGCTCCAAAATCGCAAGATGCGCCCCTCTTGACTCTAACATTAGAGAAGACAATCCAGTGCCCTCAGTTGTGGAAATCAGTCGGTACAACGACCACACTCATCAATATTTCAGTCATATTAGCTGATCCCTTTCCTGAACCACAAGCTCATAGCGACCCGCAACCAATAGCAAAGAGCCGTTTCGCAATCAGGACCCGGCGGCCCTCAGGGTTCTCAAGGGCCCTCTCACCGTTGGCCCTTCTTCCATGTCGCGAGAAACCCTTTTTCCTGATCTAGCGAGGCGTTCCTTGGTGTCCGGGCCCGTCTGGAGCTCACCTTGGCCAATCAAACGGCGGCCGATGGTGATGACAGCCCCGGTCTTCAGCCAGCCAATCCCGTGTTGTATCGCCGGGGGCATCGTCAGAACCCGGATGGCCCGTCGTGCGACATCACCGCCCATGAGATGCTGCAAAGGCTGGGGTATTGCCAGCTTTCCTGAACACCTTGATGGCGTTGTGTTAGACACGAAGGCTGCCTGGTGTAGACATTGTATAAATACGCAATTCCGGCGAGATTGGAGTGACACGATCTTGCCCTTATACTATCAAGCCTCAGTTTGGAAGTGAATTGTTACCCGAGTCGAGAGCAAGATGGGCAGGAAACTTACAGGATCTGTGGTCAAAGTCAAGTCGGGCGGTATCGCTGTCCCGACTACCACGAACCCCAAATCACACGATGAAGCCCCCCAACTTGTCCGCAGTGACTCTGGCGTTGACGTCACAAAGCCTGATCAAACCAAGTCGCTTCCTGTAACCCTCCTTTCTGGGTTCCTGGTAAGTTGACACATTGTGGTTGATATGAAAAGAGTTGTTAGGCTGACTGATGATTCGACATAGGGAAGTGGGAAGACGACACTGTTGCAGCATATACTCAAAAGCGACCACGGTCTTAGGATAGCTGTTATTGTTAACGACATCGGAGCGTAAGATGATCCTCCAATAACCTCGGAGTATGGCCAATGCTAATGTCCGAGTTTCTTCCAGTGTCAACGTGGACGCGTCCCTCATCAAGAAGAGCCACCGACTCACAAAGACGGAGGAGAAGGTCATCGCTCTGCAAAATGGCTGCATCTGCTGCACACTCCGCGGTGATTTGTTGGAGGAGCTGGTCAACCTGTCCGAGCTTCACGAGTTTGACTATGTCATAATCGAGAGCAGTGGTATCAGCGAGCCCGAACAGGTCGCAGAGACCTTCGACGCCAGGCTGGCCGAGCAGATGGCCGCCTTGGGCGAGGGTCCCGATGGTCTCGACGAGGACACGATGAAGTTGCTCAAGAGATTGTGGGTTTCAAGTGTCGACAACACTGTGTTCAAGGGGCCTTGCTAACGGTCTTCTTCTACCAGAGCCGACGCTGGCGGTGTTGACAAGTTCGCCCGCCTCGATACCACTGTCACTGTTATTGACGCCTTCACAATCTTTAACGACTTCCACACAAGCGACCTCCTGTCCTCGCGGCGAGACGACGTCGTACCGGAAGATGAGCGGACGGTTTCGGACCTGATGGTCGACCAGATCGAGTTTGCGGACGTCATTGTCCTGAACAAGGTTGATATGGTAGGCGACGCCACCTCCAACGTGCACAACGTCAACGTACTAACTTGAAGCGGGTCTCGAATGCTGACCGCGCTCGTGTCCTCGACCTTATCAAGAAGCTCAACCCGCGGGCCAAGGTTCTCGAGGCCAATTACAGTAAGATCGACGTGAAGGAGATTGTAAACACCAACAGTTTTGACCTCAAGGTCGCCCAGTCCGGTGTTGGTTGGCTGCAGGACCTTCACGCCATGACAGTGCGCGAGGCGAGTTTGCCCATCTTGCGTTTCCGCTTGGGAAAGCAATTGACTGACTGACAATCCGGTTTTCAGGTTAACGGTCGCAAGGCCATTACTCCCAAGCCCGAGACCGAGGAATACAACGTCCGCAACTTTGTCTACACAAGAACAAGACCTTTTCACCCCCGTCGCCTATGGTCTCTTTTGTACGACAAGTTCATTCTCCAAATGGAGGCACCCGAAGATGATGAGGATGCCATGGACGAGGACGAGGACGAGGCCGACAGCTCCGAAAAGGAGGAGGAAGATTGGGAAGACGACGAAGAAGAGGAAGAGGACGACGATGCCGACGAGGACGATGACATGGAAGAAGATCCCCTCGAGCCCCCAGCGAATGACGTTATCCTCGCCAACAAGACCGCCCACCCCCTCTTCAACCGCCTCTTCCGCTCCAAAGGCGAATTCTTTCTCGCGACGCGGCCGCACCGGGCAGGCGATTGGTCCCAGGCCGGCGCGATGCTGACCATGACCGGTGGCCGCCCCTGGTTCTGCACGCTGCCGCCCGAGGACTACCTCACGGGAGACCCGGAGGTCGACGCGCTCGTCACGCACGACATAAAGAAGGGCGGCGAGTGGGGCGACCGCCGGCAGGAGCTCGTCTTCATCGGCGAGAGCCTTGACATCAAGGGCCTGGAGGCCGCGCTAGATGCCTGTCTGCTCGACGAGGCGGAGTGGGCAAGGTGGCAGAAAGTGATGCGGAACAAGCGGTGGGACGACGAGAAGAAAAGGGACAAGCTGCAGGACATATTTGACGACGGGTTCCCGGACTGGGAGGAGGATGGCGGGGATCACGAGGGCCATGACCACGCGTGAAGAAAGATCCGGCAGTGAAAAGACGTAGACAAAAGGGCCTTAAGCGTCACAGTTCCAAAGATTTCGATGATTAGGACTCGGATCTGTTGGGCATCCATTATGAAATCATGACAAATATCATCAGATTATAGCGTGTTCCACCTCAGATGCATGTACGTTCTCGGCCACCTCGAGTACGGTTACCAGCCTGCCTTGTTCTGCATGATGTGGCATTCTTGCGGATCAATCACAAATCAGAAGATCACATCGAGGGACAGGCACTGGCATTGTTTCAGATGGTCATCCTCAGGGTGGGAAGAGGCATGGAGAAACTGCTCGAATATCTACGGGGGAGTTCGCCTGGGCTAGAGGGCGTAGAAATACGTGCCACACAGGGTGACTTGGCCCGATTTGGGCCGGAATAGTGAGATACCACGGTACCGGCGGAATCTCGCGAAGCTGCATAATGCCATGAAGGCATTGCCACGCATTGGTATGAAAGATATTTTATATTTCAATCAGGACGTCTCTAAAAGGGGGATCGTCCAATATCGAATAGCATTTACATCCAGTGTCTCAAGTCATATATGTACAAGAATAGAGTTAGACTCGCAGGCCTCCAAGTGGTGGTGTGCTCGCCCGGTTTTGACAAAATGCTCCTAAATGTCGTCCACTTCCACTATCATCGCGGCTTCGGGGGAACAAAAACAGGGGGCGTTTAGAAGGTAGCACGGGTGTTGCGGCGGCGCATGGAGCGGGCATGACGGCGGGCGGCAGCGGCCTCGCAGCCCTCATCGTTGGAGGCGTCGGGAGTAGTGCCGTTGGAGGGAGCCGGAGCAACGGGGCTGGTCGGGGTGGTGGCGCCGGCGTCGCCAGTACAGTCGCCGTCCGAGGGCTGGCCGGCGAGGTTGCCGGTGTGGTCGACGCACTTGTTGGGCCAGGTTGCGGGTCCGGCGGGAGTGTAGCTCGTGGGAACAGGGTAGTACAGGTTAATCATAATGCCGGGCTCCTCGCCGGTGTAAGCGCCGGGGAACTTGACGGTGGGCGCAGGGGTGCCGGAGGCGGCGCCGGTGACGGAGATCTGGGCGCAGGAAATGTAGAACTGAGCACCACCCTTGGAGCCGGCGGCGTGAAGGGCGGTGTGCTCGGCGCGGAGGAGGTACTCGCCAGTGGGAACCTCCTTGGGGAGGGTGAAGGTGAAGTTGCGGAGGCCGTTGGAGGCCCACTGGAGACCGGCGGAGGTGATGTCCGAGGTGGTCAGCTCGTACACCTTGAACCAGTCGCCGTCTTGAAGATTTAGATTAGCTATACGTTTCACTAAACGGTAGAGATGAGAATAAACCTACCGCCCTTGTAGGACGCGACGCCGGAGGGGGCCTTGGACATGTAGACTGCGAGGGGGCCAGGGTGGCTGATGTCGCTCTCAGCAGTGAAGCCGAGCTCATCGCCAGCCTTGACGGCCTTGGTCTTGGTCTTAGCCAGGACACTGGCGTCGTTGCCGCCAATGTTGCAGACCAACCCGTCCGAGGTGACGTCCGTGACGGGGGAGTTGGAGTTCTTGGCCTCGCGGACGTACTCGTAGCGCGCCGTCTCCTCTCCGTTGACGATGAGGGCAGGGAAGACGTAGTGAGCCATGGCCTGGGGCACGATGGCCGCGGCGGCGAGGAAAGCAACAGAGCGCATCCTGGCGGTTTGCAGCGGTGGTGAAGACCGGTATTTTCGTGTGCGGAAGGATTGGACGGGAAGAAAACGAAGTGTTTGATTTTCCACCAGGGAATGAACGAATGCGAATTTTCGGATAAGAAACGAATGTGGTTTATACAACGACGAAAAACACTGGTGATGGTTGAGGACGAGGTGGGAAGAGACAATACAATCATGCCAAGAGGCGGGAGAAGGTCGTCTTATATCTTAATCTACGAACACACCACCGCCCTCCCCCCCCTGGATGCCTGAAGCCACCAGCTATCTGCCGTCATCCAACGTTCCCGATGAGATTTCTCAACCCCACATCCTCATCGTCGGTTTTGGTCTGGGCCTTGCCGGCGCGAAAAGGGGACACGGGTGATGATAGGACCGTGAGCAAGGGTTGTTGAGGTCGACGAAGCAGGCCTCGTCCGACGGGGGTGAGGTGGCACGCCACGATGAGAAAGGCCAGCCAGAGGAAAATCTACAGACGGCGAAATTGGCCAACGGTCTTTTGGGAACATCGAGATGCAGGCATGCTGAATCCATTCTCCACCAACGGTGGCGTTTGCCGCCGGGGATTCCCTCCTTATAATAGGGTTGACTGGAGACGAAGTGTCCACGAAGTGGCCACAGTTAAAGTGTGCTGACGACATCGGCCCCCTGGAGGACCATCGGTGGTCGAGGGCTGATTCTCAATGAGATACAGTCGCGAAGCTAAGCTCATGCGCCGATTCTTAGTGTTCGTGGTCCTGTTCATCTAAACATCCCACCTTGTTTGCAGCTGCACACCCTGCAAGGGAGAGACTGGAGCCTACAAAGACATGGGTTAACCAACGCTTCTTGTACAGAATAGATTGCCTGGCATCCATTAGACTCGCCTTATTCGACCTATAGGCGCCAACGGGTTCCTGTTCCTGCATGGCTTGGCCGTTGCTGCTGTCAATTTCGGGCGACATTCCACGTTTGCTCGTCAATCCCAGGCAGCCCATGGTCAATTGTCGGTGGTTGATCACATGCTTTGATGAGTATTGAATGGCTCCGTGTTCGGATCCGCAGTATATTTGTTGTAGCTCCACGGATCCGGAAACTGAGCCAATAATCAACCTACCCAAGGTCATAGTAGACCCGTCTCCCCGGGGCCAAACCCGTCCAACTTCCGTCTTTCCACGAGGGATCCCTCAAGAAAACTTTGCCGCCGTGAGCTTTGTTCTTACGTAGTATTTCTGATCGACGCACCCGTTGTGGGATTCACCTGAAACGGAGGCCCCAGAGGGCACCGAGGAGAGGCGGGAAGACCCTGCTGCAGATCACTTTACCCGGGACGGAATGCCCACCCAGTGGGAAAAGGATACCCGCTCGCACCACGGCGCTTCGGTACCGTCTTCGGAATGTGCCAGGGTCGGGCCAGTAGGCACCGATGCTCAGCATATGCAGCCGAGAGTCTATGAAGGGAATCGCGGCCCGACGTACAGATATTCCGTTTTTCTCTCTACCCTGCTGTGGAGTGGTGACCTAGACGAGCATCGGGTCTCGTTGTCATCGATGGGGCAAATACCTCCTTGCCAAGGCGACTTGATGCTTCGCAAAACGGGGTGAACATAACCTGTCAATGTCAAGTCTGCTCTCCCGAAATATAGCAACAGGCCTCACCAAGGGATTCGCTAGTCCAGATGAGTGCCATTCCATTCCATGCGGTACGAGTTGCTTGCCTCTGTCGCCTCCAAGCTTGCGAGTCAGGTCTGGGCCACCCGGAACAACTTCTTCTGCCAGTGGTGGAAGAGCATGAGAGGTGCCGATGGGGCGTCCGAGAATAGCGATGTCGACCCCATCATGATCGAACCTATCATTGGCAAGCTCTCTACGGCTGATCCGATGGGGGAGATAGTTGTGCGCCGCCTCTCGGCTGGCTAGCTGCAAGTGTCTCAGCTTCATTGACAGCGACGATGCTATTCTCATATTTATTCTCATCCCCTATTGCGCAACTCACTTTTTGCGGAAAGTGAGACTCCTAAATCAACAAAAGATTACATTTAGGTATGTATCATGAAGCATAAGAGAGGGCCTCCTCTCACAGTCATCCTAGGCGAGAAACTCTCTAATAGACTCATAACAATCCTGGACTAAGAAACCTCAACAGGCGAAAGGACTTCAGCTGGTGATTCCAATCTGCTTGACTCTCCGGCGGACACGGCGGTGCGGCACGTGGGGCTATTAGGCCGCCGGATCGCTCTCGCGCTCTTCCGTCAGCCAAGAGAGTACGATCTGTGGGTGGTGTCTTCGCCTGTCGTGACCTGGCTCGACTTCCCTCGTATCGACCTGTCATACCGACAAATGTTGCGTGCGGCGAAGTGTTTTGAGTCCAAGTGACCACGTCCAACGGGACTTTTTGCTGAATTGGGTATCCAAAGAAACTTGTGAAGAGCGGTTTGCCTACAGCTCAACTGATCCATGATGCTTTTCAATTCGCTCTCTCGAATGTAGCGGCCCATCGTTCCCTAATCAGTCGATAGGAGGGGACTGGCTGTCTTGCCAAATTTCCTGCGGGCTCATTAATAGCCAAGCTATCGTTCCGCCAATACGCCAGTTCAGATATGTCAACCATATGGCAATTGACGATTGTTGTGTACTCTTTCGGTCGTTCGGAAAACTCTCGAGGACTCTGGAACTTGAATCCGCAGACGAAACTTCCACAATACGTCTATTTGTTTAAATGTCAATAAATCAGCCGCCAATATTTGTGCCTTGAAAGTCATGAGAGAAACCGCAGTTATAACTACGATACTGTCGCGCTCCTATCACTCAAGACACCCAAACCTGCGGTCAGGACTGTTATATTTTCGTTCATACTGGCAAGTCTGGTAGTACATACACTAGGTAATGTCTCTTATCGACCTACACATTACCCTATAAAATTTACGCCTGGCCGTATTATCCCCTGATGTCTGGTGTGTTCCATAATCAATTTTTAAGAGAATTGTAGCGTTCACCTTATCACGCTATGTCTGGCCTTGGTAAGCTTAAAGTCAGTTTCCTGTCAGATATGCCGGCGTCTGATTTCTATCACGGGTGAGCTGACTCTCTATTACTGGATACTAAAACCACAAGACGTGCTACCTTATCACACTGACAATATAAGTAGTTACTGGTAATAGGTCTCCTTGAGTATCTGAGTGTTCCCTACTAATGGGAGATTTATTAATGCTTGAAATGTCTCTTGGCTGAGTGCCTATGAGTCTAGCCGTAAATAACACTCTGTTGTGACCTATAGGTCCTATATAATAAGGCGTTAGTTACTGCTCTGCCACTAACGGCGTCGTTTTTAGTATGACACACTCTAAATCCTTTTCTTAGCGAGTTTAAGGTCCATGTAGCCCGTCTACAGCCGTAAGCTCCAGCTGTTTCAACACCATCCGAAGCGACAGACTCAGTTGACACAATCAAGAATACGCGCTATACGGCTGCTGAAACCCCACTAGATGTGAGAACCACTTAGACAATACACTATTACGAGTAGAAAGTGTGTCAGATGCAACCTCCAAACGATAATCTGTCAGACCCGTCCATCCACTAGATCAGACTACAGAGGCGCGGCGCCTGTGATTCGGCAACCAACGCGGATATGGGCCACCGGAGGCGGCTGGCTTCCTTCGCCCTGGGATCTTGTGCTTGTTCCCGCGCTTTCCCCGCACTTTGCACCCCCACTAGCGTTGGCTTGAGACGGGTCGAGTCGGCCATTGAGCCCTTGTGGTAACATGTACCTAGGTTGATGGTATCTTCGTAGGGATACGCCGTCACGTGGGTAGAACTGATAGCATTGGACTTGGACTTGGATCTGCAGCTGTCATCAGTTACATGTAAAGATTGTTGACGAAAACTATGCTGTAACTCCAACCCTGAGGCGAAGGTTTACAGCTATCTCACAACCCTGCACTAGGTATGCGAAGCTGGCTTCTCCGACCCCGCGACATCAGTTGCGGAGAAGCTGTTGCTAGTGTGACCGGCGGGTCCGGTGTAAAGACAGAGTTCAAGCCACCATCCAGGGCATTTGGCGCCCGCACTTGGCCACGACACCTCGAGCTCTGTGATTTGACCGGGAGGCCGGCTTATATCTTACTCCCCCGCATCGATGTAGCCGGTGGCGCGCTATTTTGGCGGTGATTGGGAGGGACAAGCTAGACCTCGACCTTGGCGATCTGCATTGTCCACCAAACTCTACCTGCCCGGCAGAAAACTGTTGGGAGTTGGGCGGTGGTATGAAAGTCTCGGAAAGTTCTTGCGCATGCCGTCTCCTCCAACTGCCCCCATCTATCTCCGCAGGAACCACTCACAGTGAGTTGTTGCTCCGGTTCTGTCAGGTGATGTCACATCACAGCCTCCGGTGCGGAGGAACCAAATAGTCTTTATGTGCAAAGGGAAGTCGTCGGCTCACAAGGTTCACTTTGTTTATCCCATCTTTAATGCTGATCTCCCATCTCTCGCTGCCCACAGCTCATTATTATCAACAACTGCTCTCGTAGGTTTCAAAACCAAACAGAAACCATGACAGGAGCCTATCCGATAAGCGAGCGGATTGAGCCCGGCTCGGTGAATCTTCCGCCTCGCGCGTATCCCCCCTCAGTCCGCTCGACATCTGTTGATGCGGGGAAAGCCGCGGCAGATGTCATCGACGCCTTCAACGCCGCGTTGAGGTCCAGGAACTACAAGGACCTCGCACAACTGTTCCTCTCCGACGGCTACTGGAGGGACCACCTGGCCCTCTCGTGGGACCTGCGCACCCTGAAAGGTAGAGACAACATCCAAAGCTTTCTCGACCGGGCGTGCCGCCTAAAGGCAGTTGTCATCGACACCTCGACGGCCTACCGGGCACCTCACCTCGCCCCGGTGGACGCCCATGGACAAGTGCAGTGTCTCCAGTTCTTCGTCAAGGCCGACACCGAAGTCGGGCCCGCAGAGGGTGTGGTGCGGCTGACCCAGTCAGGGGACAAATGGGAGATCTTCACCTTCTACACTGTCCTTCGTGGACTGAAGGGCCACGAAGAACCGTTGCGCCACCGGAGGGAGAAGGGAGTCGAGCATGTGCGCCAGCGGGAGAGCAAGAACTGGAAGGACAAGCGGGAAGATAGCATCAACTACGTGGATAGCGAGCCTGCGGTCGTGATCGTCGGTAAGCGCGATCCTCGCGTCGCAAGTAGGATCCGTAACTCACAAATCATCTAGGCGCCGGCCAAGCCGGCCTCACGGTCGCCGCGCGGTTGAAGATGCTCAACATCAACGCGCTCGTGGTCGACAAGAACGGCAGGGTGGGCGACAGCTGGCGCAAGCGGTACTACCAGCTCGTGCTGCACGACCCCGTGTGGTACGATCACCTACCGTACATCAGCTTCCCGGACTTCTGGCCCGTCTTCACGCCCAAGGACAAGATGGCCGACTTCTTCGAGGCCTACGCCAACCTCCTCGAGCTCAACGTGTGGATGTCGACGACGCTCACCGGGTCGACCTGGGACGAGTCAAAGAGGCAGTGGACGGTGACGCTCGACCGGCAGAAGCCCGACGGGACCAAGGAGACGCGGACGCTGCATCCCCGGCACGTCATCCAGGCCACGGGGCATTCCGGCAAGATGTTCTTCCCCGACATCAAAGGGATGTCGGGGTTCAAGGGCGACCGCCTCTGCCACAGCTCCCAGTTTTCTGGCGCGCGGCCGGGGTCCAAGGGCAAGAGGGCCGTCGTCGTCGGGTCCTGCAACTCGGGGCACGACATCGCGCAGGACTTTTACGAGAACGGGTACGACGTGACCATGGTGCAGCGGAGCTCGACGTCCGTCGTGTCGTCCGACTCCATCACGGAAATCGGCCTCAAGGGCGTCTACGACGAGGACTCGCCGCCCGTCGACGACGCCGACCTCTGGCTCTGGAGCATGCCCGCCGAGGTGTTCAAGGCGCTCCAGGTCGGCATCACGGAGCTGCAGAACGCCAACGACGCCGAGCTGCTCCGCGGCCTACAGGAGGCCGGCTTCCGGCTCGACATGGGGCCCAGCCGCGCCGGCTTCTTCGTCAAGTACTTCCAGCGCGGCGGCGGGTACTACATCGACGTCGGCTGCAGCCAGCTCATCATCGACGGCGCCATCAAGATCAAGGGCGGCCAGGAGATCGCCGAGGTGCTGCCCGGCGGCCTGCGGTTCGCCGACGGCTCGGAGCTCGAGGCCGACGAGATCGTCTTCGCGACGGGGTACCAGAACATGCGGACGGAGGCGCGCAACATCTTTGGCGACGCGGTCGCCGACCGGATCGGCGACGTCTGGGGCTGGGACGGGGAGGGCGAGTTCAGGGCCATGTGGCGCGACTCTGGTCACCCGGGCTTCTGGTTCATGGGAGGAAACCTCGCGCTGTGTCGGTATTTTTCCAAGATTCTGGCGTTGCAGATCAAGGCGAGGGAGGAGGGGATCGATCAGGGGGGCAGCTGAGCGGCGGGGGCTGGGATCGGCGTCAGGTATCCAACATTGGTATGGATATTCTGCTTCTCTCATTTCGATCCCCTTCTGCAACGCCCGCTCCGCGGCGAGCACGTGTCTGCGTGGTCGTCGATCTTTTGCGTGCTTGCGGCCAAGGGTTAGAGATAGAGCCGATGAAAGTCCTAGAAGCCGGGGAGAGAGTGGCGTCGACACGCCCCGGTTGCGCAACCACGATCATGCCTACTTCAAAATCGATCACGTTCTTTTGCTGGCGTCGTTCTGTAACTGTTTCTACTTCCTACCAGACCAGCAAAAAAAGAAACTCGCAGTAGTACCATGCTTCCGGGCCAGTTTCACGCTCGTGGTCCGGGGACCGGAGCAACAGACAGGCTTTGCTGATCGACATTCGCGCTGCTCCCGCGTAAAATGCTGTGAATCCGTTTGTTAGTGGGGCTCGAGGCCGATTCACCTCCTGATGTTTCTCTTCCCGACGCAGATCTTCATTCAGACTTTATCGGTATCAACTTGGTGAGCAGCTCAGACGTGTACGCCGTCGCTCGACAGACTTCGTAACACCCTCACGACATGGGCAGCGGTTCTAGTTAGCCGCGGCGGGGTTAAATCGGGTTTAAGCGTGCGGATGAAACCCCATCTCGTGGCATTCAGCTGCGCTCCTGGCCCCCCTCCGCCCCTCCGCCCCTCTGACTATGTGTAAAAATAATGCGGACCAATCGTTGCTGAGCGATGGCCCAGCAGGCCCTCGTCTCTGCTGGGTTACACGGTCTTCTGGCGAGCCAAGAGGAGAAGAGATCCTCGACATGATGGGGACTCACCAGACACCATCGTTTTGCACCGGACAGCCGCTAACCAAGAAGAGATGGCCAGGGCTGCGTCAACAAAGAGCGTTGCTGTTCCTGTCTGAGACCTCGTCGAACCTACACTTCAGGTTCGTCTGTTGGTTGGCACTCGTCTCACGGTGCGGCCACCTCGCAAATTGCTCTCCTTGGCCGCCCTGTTTTCCTCCCCCCCCACCGTCTTGAGGCAGAGTCCGAGAAACATTTCAGCGCTCGGCGGGATGCCTGGACGCGCCGTGCAGACCAGCTGAACCAACGGGCGGCGCAGGATATCCTGGAATGCGCTGACATGACATGCTCTCGAGTCATGAGAACTCATATGGGGAACCAGTCTTCCGATCCTTGAACTTTCTCTCGCTACCCAACATTCCGGCCGGATGGGAATATGAGCCTCTTCTCTCCCCTGCCCCTTCTTTGCCCCACAACGCCCGAGATGGCTACGGTTTGCGCTCAGTTCGAGTGTTGTGTTTTGTGTGCCTGGGTGGCCAAGTCGGCGGGAAAACAGATCGGCAAAACGATCATATTGCCGTGTTTAAAGGATGGTTCTTACTAATGAACTCTGTCACGTTTTATCTTTCTCTCCCCCTTTCTACTGAATTGTTTCGCGAGTCCAGGCGGCCGTCACGTCGCCTCGCTCGTCACTTATCACAGCCGATCTCGTCATTAATATCGCGTGGGTTATAGTCCTGCAGGTAAGTCGGTGCCTTATTGCTGGCCCATTGTATAATTTGCCGACTCAATGCGGGAGTCAGAGGAATCGGAAAAAGCACCCTCTTCCATTTCTGTAGCCGGCGGCCGTTGACACTAACCTGTTTCTGAGCCCCGAAAGTCCAAGCGAACGACAAGCCAAGGCCGGAATCGGACGACAGCGCAACGCTCAACGTGCCATGAAGCGTGCCAGGGCGGCCAGGGGCTGGGATGAGGGCTTCCAGAAGAGAAGAGAACAGACGTTAGACAAGCGTCCCAAAGGACGGCTAGCCGTTGACATTTGCAGATTGACGACGTCTGTGATCGCCGACAGGTGTGGTCGCACCTTGTGGCTTGTCCTTCTTCACCCTTTTCTCCCCTCCCGTGCAGTCAGCCAGCCAGTCATGGATGATGGTCGGAGACGCCCGCAAGGCGGCAAGCGTCTCGGGCCGGTATCTGCGTTAGTTTTGAAATACCAGAATGCCAAACCCTAGCGGGGAGGGAATGGCCGGCTTCAATTCTCCGGCCGACGTCGTGTAGATGTGAGTTCCGGTGATCTGGTCTTCCGTTAAGACTCGTAACAGGCCCCCCCCCCGTGGTGATGCACGAACTCGATTCACGCTAGGTGATGGCCGTTTCCTTTTGTCCTCACTCGGCTCAGGGGGGGGGGGGGAGGAGGAGGACACCACCATGTTGTCCTTAGCCGTAAGCAGTCGTACATTCTGTAAAGGACTATCCCGGAGAGGACATCCGCCTGCTTCCCTCCCTCCCTCCCTCCCTCCATCCATCCCTGTCACCTCCATTTGTAACCCCGGTGAGACTGCAGCTCCTATTGGTTCCTACTGCTTACACAAACTACACAATGTGACCCCTCTGCTCGGCATGTCGCCCGGGAAGGCTAAACTTCCTGGCGAACACGCAGAACGCCATGGGTGTGACCTGGTTTCGGCATGAACATGGTGCGGTAAACTTGCAGTGTCCCCGCTCCAGATGTTGACCTCTCGGAGCTGTCTTCGCGCGTTTGCCGGTCCATCCCTTTGAGAGCGACCCCACGGGAAAATCTCGAGCCACGGACCAAAAGTTTAGTAGTTACTCTCAGCGCCTCTATTACGACGTTCAAGCAAGATCCTTGCCCTCCACAGAGATGACCCGACATTCCACATCGGGTCTTAGCGTATGTTGGACCAGAAGTGCCCTTCTGCAGCTGCATGAGTTTCGATGCGGGCAAGGGGTCCAGATGAGAGCAGGCCACACGAACGGAAGGGGGTGGGATAAATATAATGAAGCCACGCTCATTAAGTTCTGTCATCGAAAGCCTATATTCTGTGCCATCATCCTCGAGTCCGAGTTCTACCATCACCATCTCATGCTTCGGCGCCCAGCAGAATCATGACGGCAATCGTCTTCCACCAAGCACTCGGTGCGGTGCGGCATGTGCAGAGGGATGCCGCCGCAGAGGCCTTAGTCATCGACCATTCCCGAGATGGCGAGAGCCGTTTCGCAGAAATCCTCGCCATACTTATCATCGGCGCCGTCTTGTCGACATTAGCCGTGGCACTGAGAGCCTTTACGAGGATCAAGATGCTTCACACCTTTGGCCTCGATGATGTCCTCATGGTGGGCGCACAAGTAAGTGGCGGTCCTGCCCCTTTTTCAGCCTCTCCAGGGGATGTCTGCTCACCATGCCGTTCAACTAGATTCTCGTAATCGGGGCCGCAGTGGCCATCGGACTCGGTGAGTCTGCTTCTGCTTCGCACTGCGAAATCAGGGACGCGTTATACTGACGGCACGAAGAATCCGCGTGGGGACTTGGCAAGCATTCCTGGGTCCAGCCAAAGGAGGACTACATTCCCTACATGAAGGTATGTTGACGATGCAAACTCCAGGCCGGCCTTGTACACTCACACGTTGCTGACATCTGACCTCCCTCACAAAGTCATTCTATGTCTCAATTATCCTGTACAACGTCGCGACGACCGTCGTCAAGCTCTCCATCCTCTTACAATACCGCCGGATATTCGCCAACAGCCTGATGCAGACGATGACGACGTGGGGTCTGGCTTTCATGACCGCCTGGACAGTCATGCTCTGCTTCCTGCTTCCGATGATGTGCCTGCCCGTGGCGGCCTTCTGGGATACGACCATCAAGGGACGCTGCATCGACCTCCTCGCCAGCTGGTACGTGATGGCGGCAGTCAACATCGTGGCCGACTTTGTCATCTTCAGCTTGCCGATCCCCGTCATCAACTCGCTCCAGATTCCTCGGCGCCAAAAACGGATGCTCATCTTTGTCTTTGGTCTCGGATTCCTGTAAGTGGCCACACCCCCCACCTGTGCTGGCTCTGATGGTGCTCAAAAGACTCTGGAAACTCGGAGGCTGACGTGAACCTCAACAGCACCTGCATCATCTCCGCCTTTCGCATAAAAACCCTTCGCGTCGCAGCTCAGACCCAAGACCCGTTCTGGGACAACGTCGACGCCGCCACCTGGTCGTTTCTCGAGGTCACCATCGGCATCCTGGCAGCATGCCTACCGACCCTTCGGCCCATATTCGTCGCCCTCCTGCCCCGGCTCTTCGACGGGTCGTCATTCCATAGCAGGTCCAAAGGCCAAACCGCGAGCGAGCCCAGCAGGGTGCAGGGGAGGCATGAGCTGGGGCGCCATCTGCCGTTGAGCAGCACGGAGAGACTGAACCACCAAATCCAGAACGATATCGAAATGTCTGGATCCGAGCCGGACAGGGCACCCGAGTACACCGTCAGCGTCAGCTCGGGGTCACCAACGGTCTCGGAAAAGATGTCCCGGGTGAAAAGCCCCAGTGGCGTTAAGGATGAAGCGGCGAACGTCAAGGGGCAAATCAGGACCACCACCGTCGTCACACAGCAGGTTACTTTCGACAACGCAAAACGCAGCCCGACGCAATAGTAGAGAAGGACGGAATTCGTTCCTTGTGAAATCACTTGGCGGCCTTTCACTGCTGACGTAGTTTCATTTGTAATGATATTCTCCCATTCGTGTTGCAAAGAGGCGCCTCTCAGACCGTGCGCGGCCGAGCACGAGTCGCGCTTTGCCCGCCCTCGGATCCGTTTCATGACATGCGGATGCCGTTTGACTTTGCACGCCACCCGATTGGTGACCTGACGATGATGGTCTATAACAAGCTTGTCTGGGCTCCCAAGGATCAGTGTCGGCTTCTCACTGCAAGGTATACCTTGATAAATCAAGCATGATCAACAACCATGACTAGGTAGCATTGGAGCCCCTACCCGCTTGTTTACAAAAGGCTATATAGAGTGGGAATGTCCTCAGGAACTATTCCTTTTTCGTTTATTGCACGTATTCGTCCAACACACTCCTGGGCTCTACATACTTGCCCAGGGGCTTATAGTCGAGATCGTATCCGAACGCCCTCGGCCCGCCAATGTCCAAGCCTGCCTGTGTCTCCGTCCAGCGCGGCGAGCAAGTGATGCCAACCACCGTGACCCTGTATCCGTACTTGAACTCGGGCACCCCGAGAGCCCTACCCGACTCGTTGTCCAGGATCGAGACCAGATCAGGCACTGCCGCCAAGATCTTGGCCTGACCACTCTCGTCGGTGTGCTCGGCAAGGATGTTCTCATTCTTGAAGGGAATCTTCAGCGTCCCACCCGCCGCCACCGCGGTGGCCCTGCCCTTGTTGCCGGCCGACTCGTCTTCGTCGCCGCTTTCGAAGGCGGCAATGTGTACTTCGCCGTAGGAGTGGCCCTTGAACAGCCGCCTCTCCACCTTCATGATTTTGCCTCGGAACAGCACCTTGGCCGCGTCGGCCCCGCCCGCCTCCTCGATGATGGACTCGGCCACGGTGCTCATGGTGTTGGTGGCCTGGCAGACTGCAATGCATCGCCCGATGCGCCACGCGAGCGAAACCGTGTTGAGGACGCCAAACCTCTTGACTCTGTCGCTGGTCGTCGGCTTGGCCGCCATGCCCACCCGCGACCCCATCTCGGAGCACGACGCACGCAGAGCGCGGTCGACGATCTCGTCGTTCGGGGCCCTCGTCATGACAATGGTCTTGCCGTCTCCTGAGTCGATGGCACAGGGAACCAACTCCAACGGGGCATGCACCGCCAGTGTGGTCTGCCAGTATGTCGGGTAGGCCCTCCCCATCCAGTCGCCGTCAATGATGGGACTGTCAAAGAACCGGGATGAGCCGACGAGGAAGGGCTCCAAGCCATTGGCGCCGCCGATCTCAAGGCCCATCACTGCGTCGAAAGAGCCATGGCCGAGGTACTCCATCAGAGCCTTGAAGGCGTCCACCGTCTCGATAGACTGCAAACGCTCTATAGATACTGCCGGAGAGCCCATGTGGCCTGGGAAAATGTCAGGAAAAAAAAAAGATTCCAGGTTATGTGTTCAGCCAAGTCCGAGACGTACCGCCCCAGTAAATCACATCCGACTCCTTGAGCGAGGATGCGTCAACCACGCGCATCGTGTGACCTGCTCGGAGCATGTTCCGCAACTGGATCTTGGAGGCTGCCGGGCTTCCGCCGCCAGCGCACCCAAGAACATAGCAGCCGTCGGCCAGGTACTCCAAGTCTGTCTCGGTTATGTGCCACTCTGCAACCGCGTGTGCGTTTCGGACGACCGTGGGCCTGTACGTCACCGGGTCGGCCTTCTTCTCCTCGTGGGTGGCACGAGTAAGATCTTTGGTTGCCTCGACCAGCTCCTCGTCCTCTCCGTCCCCGCTTCCTCCTACGACCTCGCCGAGCTTGGCGTGGAGGTCAATGTCGCCGACCGCCTTGACAAGGGTCCTGATCTGGTTGGCAACGTACTGCAGCGGCATGGTCTCGATCTCGGCAATCTTGATGCTTTCGGGAACGGCGCCGGCGGCGACGGCGCGCTCGACTGCCATCTTCTTGGCGTTTTCGATGGCCTCACTCTCCGTCTGGTGGGTGGTACCTTGTACGATGTCGACCGCACCGCACACGCGTGCGATGGCTGCGCCGACCGCATTGGCCACGTCGTGAAAGGGTGGCCGGATGAGCTCAGAGGCCCCCCTGAGACTGTCGGGTGAAAGGATGGCGCCACCTCCGACGAGCAAGACGGGGACGGGGTCAGGCGACGTCTTGATCACATCAACGGCACCCTCCAAGAGTACCTGGATCCGCGACACCGCTTCTTGGACGAAGTGCGGATCCAGGCTCTTGGCCTTCTCCGCGGCACCGACGACTGCCATGCCAGCCGCGACCGCAACGTCCGTTGTCGTGCAAACATCGCCCCCAAAAACGAGACCGCGAGTGACCAGCTCAAGGCCAACAGACTCGGGCCCAACCTTGACCTTGCCGTCGACAGCCCTCACGATGGAGCCGCCACCAAGTCCGATGGAATGGAGATGCGGCATGGAGTAGTTGATCCGGACCCCGGCAACGGTGACATAGGCCGATGCCTGGCGTGGCATGCCCGAGGGGAGCAAGACGCCAACGTCGGACGTTGTGCCGCCAATGTCCACCACGATGGCGGAGCCGTCGGCGCCGGAGTCCAGGCCGGCGAGGTAGGCGGCGCCTCTCATCGAGTTGGTCGGGCCGCTCGAGAACGTCCGGATCGGGATCCTGGCCGCCGAAGCTGCGTCGAGAATGGTGCCGTCGTTCTGCGTGAGGAAAAGGGGACAGGCGAGGTTGAGCCTCTTCATGGCGAGCCTGAACCTGCTCACGGTCCTCCGCGCGTAGCGCAGGATGGCGCCGTTCAAGATGGCCGCGTTCTCTCGCTCGATGAAGCCGATGCTCGCGCTGGCCTCCTTGCTGCAGACGACGTCGACGCCGGGCACCTCGCGGAGGATGATGTCGCGGACCTTCTCCTCCTGCCCAAAGACCTCGTCGATGGGCGAGTACACGCCGGACACGACGACGGCGCCGACGCCGCTCCCCCGGATCTTGGCGCACTCGGCCACGACCTGGGCCTCGACGACCGGCGCCTCCTGCGAGCCGTCAATGTGCAGGCCGCCGTCGACGATGCCGACGTAGGACTGGATCACGGCCGCCAGGTCCGGGGGAAACTCGGCGAACGCGGGGACCTCTCGGAGGAACGACTTGCTCAGGCGGAGGACGCCGACGCGCTGCAGCCGGCGCACATCACGCTCGATCACGGCGTTGATGAAGTGCGTCGTGCCGATGGTGACGCTGGCGATGCGCCCCGGGGACTCGGTCAATCCGGCCGCCGCGAGGACGGTGCTGACGGCCGTCTCGATACCGGCGCTCGCGTCCGGGGTGGTCGGGGTTTTGAAGTGCGCCAGCACGCCGCGGTTGGCGGTGTGTTGAAGGGTCAAGTCGATGACAACTGCATCGGTGTTCGTTCCTTTCGACCACGGAGTCAGTTGACTTGCTTGGGCATGGATGATGGCTGCGCTCACCTCCAACATCGACCCCAATGCGCACGGTTCTACGTGATGGTGGCATCTCTCCCATGTTGACTGGTAATGCGATACTGCACCACACACTTGGCTAAACTTCTAGGAATGATTCGTCTTCTCGGCCAGTGTGTGGCAGGCCGAGTGCCAGGGTATCATATAAGCTCCTTGGCCGCCAGACAGTCACCTCGCGATAAATCACCCATTACGCAAGGTGTTTACAAGAGCTCTAGCTCGCCAGATACCGTCCCACCGACTAGGCGGCTAAAGCGGTTAAAGGGATAGAAACAACCAGCTCCACGTCTGTGGTATCGCGTTAGCCAGAGCCCGTTTCGGTGGTCGGCATTGGAAACTTTGGGGGAGGTAGTAGCAAGATAAGCAGGTTTAAGCAAGCAGGTATCCGTACAAGCGTAAAGCTTCTCCGATCACAATACAGTCAAATGACATTGTTCCTTGATATCCAAGGGCGAGCTTGCGGGGTGGCCCTGGCTACCCCAGCTTGGAGACGTTGCAATCTTGTCCAGAGTCGCTCTTATCATCTCCTTACTCCACAACCCGGTCGAACTCTGATAGGCATCTAACACCAGCGACCTGGCTATCAAGCGGTTGGAGTTTGACCCCAATGATAAGAGCTATTAGTGCCCTGGGAAACACCACGCGGCGCTCGCTATCAGTGGAGGTCATGGATGAAACGGCATGCACTACAGTTGAGCGGGCGCCCGATGCAACGTACCTGAAGTCATACCCAGATGTAAGAGTGGCGTACGAGCTGCATCTCGCCGCATGCTGTTTTCTTCTTCCCAAGCCGGACCCATTAAACCAAGGCCTTGTCCTCGATCCCAGAATCGGGAGGTTGTGATCGCAGTTCCTGTGCATCAACCGACATGAAGCTCAGCGGTATCGTCAGGTGGCTGCGGCTGCCCGACAGCGAGGTGGCCGAGTCCAATGTCTGGATCAACGACGACATTCGGCCTATGCCGCCGAGCCGTCGACGATGGACGTCGTGGACCTTCATCTACTTCTGGTTGACTAACCAAGTGGCCAGTAAGTATCTCTTGTGTTGTGTGGTGCTGAGAATCCGTCAACTAAGGCGCCGACAGTCTCCAACTGGCAGCTGGGAGCATCTCTTGTCGCCGCAGGGCTCTCAGTCTGGCAGAGCGTGATTGCCATCATTGTTGGGAAAGTCATCATCGCCCTCGTTGCCATAGCCAACGGCATGGTAGGCGCTGAATGGCACATCGGGTTCCCCGTGCTATCCCGCTACATATGGGGCGTTTACGGACAGTATCTCATATTGATCCAAAGGATCATTCTGAGTCTTGTCTGGTTCTCCGTGCAATCATGGACTGGCGGCCTGACAGTTGTCAACTGGTAGGTGAACTTGGGCTTTGCCAGGGATCGGTGATTAACGACCACTTGACTCTAACGCGCTGTCTAGTCTGTCTGCGATCTTCCCTTCGTTCGAATCACTGGGGAACGTGTTCCCCGAGTCTTCGCATCTGACATCGAAGGGCTTCATTGGCTGGATTCTTTACAACATCCTTCTTATCCCGATTCTCTACATCAGACCCGAGCGCATCCAAAAGATTCTTCTCGCCTTCAACGTCATCTCAGCAGCCACCCTGGTGAGTATCATGATCTGGGCTTTGGCAGCTGCAGGCGACGCCGGTTCTCTTGTCAGGCAAGGGTCGAAGTCCATGTCCTCGAGCGAGCTCGGATGGCAGATTGTGCACGGAATCACCACCGTCATTGGCAGCATCGCCGTCGGCTTGACGAACCAGCCCGACTATTGTCGGTTCGCTCGCAAGCCGGGAGATCAAGTTTTCGGACAATGGTTCAGCATCATCTTCTTCGGCGCCATCTTTCCCATCTTTGGATGTATTGCTGCATCGGCAACTGGCGTCATTTACGGAGAACCGATCTGGAATCCGCCTTTGATCGTGCAAGCGTGGCTTGACAATGACTACAGCCCCAAGAGCCGCGCTGGTGCCTTCTTTGCCGGCCTCGGTCTTCTTTGCATCCAGCTCAGCATCAACTCGGTCGACAACGCCTTCTCTGCCGGCATGGACCTTGCGGGCCTGTTCAGCCAGTACATCAACATCCGACGCGGCGCTTACATCGGTCTCGTGCTGAGCATTGCGCTTTGTCCATGGGAGCTTCTATCGTCAGCATCCGTCTTCATCAGTGTTCTCTCCGCCTACAGCGTCTTCCTGGGACCAGTGATCGGCATCCAGGTTTGCGACTACTTCATCATCCGTCGACGGAGAATTAAGCTATCAGACCTGTATCACCCTCACCCCGACGGTTCTTTCTACTACTGGAAAGGAATCAACCCGCGCACTTTCGTAGCCTGGGTATGTGGCTTTGCGACGCAGCTACCAGGGTTCGCGGCCAGCGTCACTCCTGATAGTGTCAAGGTTAGCACAGCATGGATCAACCTTTACTACTTGGCATTCCCTCTTGGCTTCACCATCTCGTTCCTCCTGCATCTGGGCATTAACACCATGTGGCCACCCCCAGAGGCTGGCGTCATCGATGATGTAGATTACTATGGAACCTTCACGGAGAGCGAAGCCAGGAAGATGGGAGTGACGCCGCTTGAGACGGAAGTTTTCAAGGGCTCCCAGAAGGTGGTCGATGTAGAAGCGCCCAGTAAAGGCCCCAAGGCTTGGCTCAAGTCAGTATTGAATTAACTGTCGAGGATGGCAATGTGCTGGTTCGATTGGCTACCATTTCATTATCCCATGATTCATTCAAATTGTCATACTCGAGATGTCGATCGGTGGGGTGTATGCTGATGATTGGTTTTTTTACAAATAAGCTATGTTTGACTCCAAGAGACAACGTGTGAGATGTTGAATATTATGATGCCAAGACTCTTGATGCTGCTCCAAAGTGGAATTCACAGTGATGCTTATTCCATACTTGCTAAAAACTGACTAATGGTCGAAATCATGGGTATCTACAGCCCAATGCCGTCTTCCAATCTGACTACTCGGTGTATTACAGGTCGCTTCCCTCGTAAAAGCAAACAATATTCCAGATAAACTTCGGATATCAAAAAACCCATTCCCTGATCATGTGGACGCGTTCCTCAGATTTTACCCAGGACTCGGCTGACAAATGATTTCTTACTTGGTCTCGGAGGAGGCTGGTTAATGGACCGAACCTGTCGGAGCAGTCCAAGAAGAGTGGCCACCGCCAACGCCTCGGCTTCGCCCGTGAGATTGTCCGAGAGCAACAATACCCCCTCGATGTAGTCGCTTGGCAGGCCAAAAGCGATTCCAGCATGGTGATAGATGGCATGTATGACTGGCTCGCCGTTCTCGGCAACCTCGGCCGTGTCCACGAGTGTGTATCGTAATGTTCCAAGCTCTTTTGGGAGGACTTGCCATTCGAGGTTGGCGGGCACTGTGACTGTTCCATCTTGTAACGTATGCGAGATAGTGAACCACAGGTGTCGCACTGGAGTTGCACCCATGTACTATCGTCTCCGTTCGGTCTCTTTATCATAGCCGAGCTCAGTCTGTACTTGTTGCTCCCGATGAGCTCTGTTTTCACGGCCTTGGCATAGGTTTCCGTTATATCGTATAGGGGGAGATGAGAGGTAACATCTTGATGCTCTGGAACGTGGATGATGCGAGAGAGATGGGCCGGGATGGGCTTCAGATGGCGTCCACAGCTCTAATCAAGGGCTACAACAAGAGCCCCATTTGGATGACCGAGGTAGTTTCCAAACCCTGGAAGTGCGGCCATGTTGGGTTACGCTGTGATGGACATCAATACTGAAAAGTAGTGTTAGTTGTGATGGCTTTATTTCTGGGTGGGCGGAAAGTGGGTTCCTCGACTTACTGATCTACAACCTCGATAGCTGAAGCTGATTTGTGCATGTCGATTGCTAAATAGTTGAAGAAGAGAAACTACCGCCGTTTGGTTGCGAGTGCTGCGGATATGGGACACTTGATTTCGTCCCAGCCATACCCATCTGCCGTGGATGCGATCTATTGTATGGTAGATCACGTAGGTAAACAAATCTCCTTTTTACGCGTTTCCTACTCTTTAGGAAGCTGCCTTTAGGCAGGTTTACTTTTGTGACAGTGCCCGAGCAGTGACGCGTGCCAATAGTCTCCTCGACTCAAACCCCTAGGTCGAAATGTCATTTCGGCTTTTCACTTCGGTTTCTAAGCCTCGCTCTCTAGGGTGGAGACCGCGAAGCTCCAGAATCAAATCAGCAGACCAGAGAATGCTGGCTGCAAACGTAAAGGCAGCACTAACGAGACAAATGATAGCGACGGTCATGACACTCTGAGCGGTACTGGCGACTCCAGCAGAACAAGATAGGCCCTCACGTATAAGATCATCGCTAATTGCGAAGATTGCGCTAAGCACATGGCTTGCGATGACTATAGAGGCGAAGACGAGGTTTGCGGAAATGGCTACGGCCTTCTCCTCGGCCTTGAGTCCCACGAGAGAACAAAAGAGCAGGAGGCCATTCCCCGCCAAGCTTACGGCTCGGGTCTTTGAGAATAGCTCGTCGAGCCGTACAGAGGTGCCACGGTTGGGGCATCCTGCGAGGAAAATATCAGCAATCAATCAAGAGAGACAACGATAATTTGTTCAGAGTTGTTCTGACCTGCTAGCGGTTCTTCCAGGAGGAACCGGATATTTAAACCAGGCAAGCCGGGAAGGCCGGAAACACCACCGCCGCGTCCACACGTTCCATTAGGGCCAAATGCACCGTCAGGACCGAAAGGACCAGTGGGACCAAACGGACCATTAGGACCAAACGGACCATTAGGACCAAAAGAGCCATTTGGACCAAATGGTCCATTAGGGCCAAATGAACCTGCGGGACCGAAGGGCCCGTCGGGTCCGAATGCTCCGGTAGGGCCGAAAGGTCCAGCAGGCCCAAACACGCCATTTGGGCCAAAGGGGCCATTGACAGCGAAAGCGCCGGCAGGGCCACAGGGACCGTCAGGGCCGAACGAACCACCTTTACCCAAAGGACCACCAGGACCCAGTGGTCCATTGGCGCCGAGGGGCCCGTTTGGTTGGGATAGGAGTTGTGTGAGGTCCTTCACAGCATCAAGTAGTGGAATCGGGTTTGGAAGGAGCTGTCTCGGGGCAAGAGGCGTTTCCTGGCATCGGGAGTCTCTGTTTGAGGTCATACTCTCTGCAGGAACACTTAGAGCAACATTATCCTTGGGTCTTATTAGCCGTGTGCAAGTCCCGTTGACAGAGGATACACTACCTTGAATGCAAAGCCATTGCTAAATAAACCGACCCTCCCGCTGTACAGAGCACACAGAAGCATAAGCAGCAGCGAGGTGGCAGTAAGAATAATGGGAATCATGGTTCCGAGGCGAGTTTGGCGTGTGTTCTCCATTTTTTTTTTTAAAGATGTTCTCCTCTTTTGTCCTAGACGACGTTGACAGTGGACAACTCGATATCAAGAAAAGCCTCTAGAACGGGCGTCCTCCAGGCATTTGCGACTCGTCAACAAGAAGCTGTGGGCCACATACAATTGTATGATTTTATCCTGTAGATGCTGAGCCTCATGACCCTGAAGTCGTCTGAGTTTCGTCGGACGTTTCAAGTCCCGTCAAAGTATGTCAGGGTTTCGGTCGAATGATTAATTATAGACAGCTAAATCTCGGGCGCAAAGCTTATATTGGGATGGCTTTTCCAACGCTCGTACTCGGACCTTGGCTTCCTACCTGCCAAGTTCCGATGGCACACTTCATTCAACGAGATACAAACTATCATCCGATTCGGAGCAGAATGGCTGATGCCAACTAGGGACGGAACAGCCCCGATCGATTCGGACTAGATGAGTGATGTGAAGAGGGGAAGACCCCCCTTTCTGGCACTGTGCTATAAAATTCCTAGTTGTAGACTCTGACTAACCTGTGTCTTACACGCGACGGGACGGAGTGTGCTTTTGAGAAATGCTTTGAGGCTACCCTCGTGGCGCAGCAAGGAGCGTTCATTTCTCGAGATTATTCTTCCTGGCACATCAATTAGGCCGTTTTCGACAGCCCCAGATAGATAAAGATGTCATGCCCGGTTAATAATACACCAAATGTCGCTTGGGCTCAATAGTCAAGTTAGACGGCGAGAAATATGTAAACATAAGCCCAAGTATTATAGGGGATGTTCACGAGGGTGCTTTTGCCGGTGCATTGAGCGCCGACGATGTAGATGTTGCGATAGTCAGAGGAAGCCATGGTATTGTGTTAAAAAGAGAGACTTGATATTTGAATTTCGAATGTGACTGAATAGCTAAGACTTGAGCGAGGTCTTTGATGATCTGTACGTTCTCGAGTCAACCCCGCTTCTTCCAGTCTGTTGGACTTCGAGTTCCGCACAGTATTATCTATCATCTGTCAGATGAGACCTTATCGACACTACACTGTGCTTGTGTATCGAAATTATCTTGCTATTGGTCAAGACGGAATGGGATTTCGTTTCCGTTGGAAGCACGTTAAGGTTTGCCCCTCAACAACCTAACAAGCAGAGACATGTATCCCAGAGGTCTCTTCTCCCTTTCTATATAATCCAAACAAGATGACCCCGTTGCAAAACAACTGAAGGAATACCACTCGGTTATCCAAGCTTTGGTATCACTCGAAGATAAAGAATGGGAGTATTGTCCTGTCCCCTCTCCCACCCAGCTCACAAGCCAATGCTGCCTGTCCAGTCAGGTTTATAGCACTGACAACCAAGGAAGCTCGACACCAACTTAGCCTCTCTCTCGTGCCGGTCCCTCCAAGCCGGTCCATCTCTTCAATCCCACCCGAACGACTCATCCTAATCTCGTTTGCCGGTTTCCGTGCATAGCAAACTCCGTCCACCGATGCCGTATCTACTCAGCCTTCCACCACACGAGAATGCACCAACTATATTGTTAAGCTTCTCCGCGCCGGCCTGTCCTTTAACAGGTTACAGTGAAACTTTTACGGCCACAGTGATAGTTAGCTTAAGTCGCGGACGTGCTTTCTGTTCGCTACGCTAAAGGGCGAAATTATAAAATGGTGGCTGCCATGGGCGACCTTTATAGTATGAAGACTGTGTAGAAGAAAGCTAAGAGAATTAAGCTCTTGTTTTTGATAGTGCACGCAACTTTGAATGTTGACTTATAGTGGTGCCAGGACATAGCAGACATTAAGATGGCGGAATACATCTTTATAGATGGATGCAGGTTAGTAGCGCCACATCTTGCGCAAGAGCTGGCCAGGAGGATAGGCATCGTCTTCAGGACCATTTGGAACACACCCTCTGTCTTCTAGATCTAATACCAAGGATACAAAGGGGTTGTAAATATAGATCTAGCAATAAAGCAAGAGGCGTCAACACTTCTCAAGTTGCGCAAGTTAACAAAAAACTCCAGCAGCAGGAGTGATTGCAGCTTTTTAGTTGTACAATACTCCAAGGTCAGTCAGCCTTAACAGCTTGGCAAGCTTACAGTTCACTCCGTTCTCAAACCACTAAAGACAAAACGTGCGCCAGCCTTACGGGTTTGGCCATCTCAATGACGAAGTTATCCTCTTGCTCTGTTCCCTTGGCATCACGTCTAAGGTCCTGTTGTAGAAACAACGACAACACTTTTAATTCCTTGCTAGCGCTCCTATTGACCCTTACGCTCAACTGCGGCTTTCTTGGGGCACCCCAACAGACGTCTGGTTATTTAGAAACGCATTATGTGTCTTAAGGGGGGGAAAAAAACCCTTATTTCCTTCAACTTACCTGTCCTTAGATCCTCAGCCTTGTGTATGGAAATGGTTACTATCACTTTGATCGTAGCTAGAAAGGACTCAAACCAGAAGACTAGGGCTACAAGATTACAGTTCTAAAGCGAATGTACTACTTATTTAGCCCATTCACGCCAATGGCCATCAATTGCCGATATCCTTGACCCTAGAGCTTTTCAGATTATCCACTTCCTGAATCAGCAACAACCTCCGCAAAGGCCACTTCAACGGTGGTCGACAAAGGAAATTCCTTCTGCTGATAACAGTTTCATAAGGCGCATCCTAGAACTAGACCTTTGGGATAGGCCGACTGTGGAGGAGATTCTCGAGAAAGACTGGTTCACAGAGAAATCAGACGATACTCGGGAACCTACACCTTCTCCCTACTAAGCAAGGATGTGAAGTGTGTAGCATTCGAAGAGCCTGGTTCCGCCGATCGTGTGGGTTTGAAGGATGATGGATCGAAAAACCACGGATATTTTTAGATCTAGGGATCTCCAAGGCTCATCAGCTGATGCAACAGAATGTGACTGCAATAGACGTGCGATCGTTTTGTTGTCGGACACTGAGACCCAGCGTTGCAGTCAAACAACACGAATCTGCCTTGGCGTTGTCGGGACGGTCTTCCGATATGATAAGCCATCCGATCCCGACATGTCGGCGAGCGAGCACCGACGCTTGCCGTTTCCGGGTGCGGCCTCCCTGTCCAAGACCCAACTCTGGCCACTTGGTCATTGTTATCTCATAGATCTGAACTCAATGCACCCGATGGCGGCAGTGCACTGTGAGACTTCGATCCTATCGGTGGCCCAATGGCATCCCGATTCACCTTTGGTGGCGGTCCTGTCTTACCCACTTCTGAGGTAGTCATTGAATGCCAGATGGGCCGCAGGAACCCTTGTGACGGGGCTATAGCCGCAAATCTAAACGTCAGGACCGTATACCCCAGAGTGTACAAAGAGGTTATCGGAACGCCTATGGTGGGGTCGGCAGCTCGGAGACATACTTCGACGATAGTTTGGCGCGGCCGCGACTCAGAGTTTATGCCGTCCATAGCCGTCCGAGATAGATAAATACTTATGCCCAGGCACCCTCCCACCCGTCCGCTGAGTCTCACCACACCACGCGTTTAACTCACTCACGATGCCAGCCAGACTCGTCGTGTCCAGCCAGACGCCAGTGCCTTTCTGCAGGTCTTTGCGACTGCAAGGGTCGGCGAGATGTTCCAGCACCGCCGCCACCACGCCGGCGGCCAAGACTCAGGCTCTACTTTCAACCAGCAAGAAGTCGCCTCTATCCAGATTACCAACAGTCAGTCTGGTACGGTCACTCGTTCTCACGCAATTCATGTCGTCACCACTGCTCATGAAGCCCGCGCTCCCTCTACTACACTTTATCTCCAAGTCCAAGATGGCACTATTCAACCCGGACCGAAATCCCGTTCTCAAGCGTTTGCTGCGATGGACCATCTACGACCACTTCTGTGCCGGCGAGAACCTGCGAGAAGTGACAAAGGCCGTTTCCAATGTCAAGAGAATGGGGTACCAAGGCGTCATCCTCAACTACGCCAAGGAAATCGTCCTGGACGCAAAGGAAGCCAGCGCCGAAGGGCATGCTGGTGATTACGCGGCACCCTTCTACGAGATGGTCGACTTGTGGAAGAAGGGAAACATTGAGACGCTTCACATGCTGGCTCCTGGCGACTTTCTCGCCGTCAAGTAGGTTTCTTCTTCAACAACGGTTCCCCCACAATTGCCTAAACTGACACCTCTGCTCAGGATTACTGGTGCTGGTCCCATTGCTGTGGACGCGATGAGAGCCCGCGCCCCTATTCCGGACGTGATTCGTAAGGCCTTGGACGAAATGTGCGACGAGGCCAAGAAGCAAGGCTCCCGTCTCTGGATCGACGCCGAACAACAAGCCCTGCAGCCCCAACTGGACGAGTGGACCATCGATCTGATGAGACACCACAACCGCGACAGCAAGCCCCTGGTTTACAACACTATTCAATCATACTTGAAGGCCTCCAAGGCCAACGCCGAACGTCACATCGCACTGGCCGCTCACGAGGGCTGGAGCCTGGGGGTCAAACTGGTCCGCGGGGCCTACATCGAGAACGAAGTGCGCTCCCTGATCCACGACACCAAGGAAGACACCGACCGCAACTTTGACGACATCACGGACATGTTCATCAGCCAGAGACTCCCCGAGCAGGCCAAGGGCTGCGAGTTCCCCTCGAGCGCGCTCTTCCTCGCGACGCACAACGCCGCCAGCTCCGCCACAGCCATCACCAACCACCGTCGGAGGCTCCTGGAGGGCCAGGCCACGACCGACCTCGAGTGCGGGCAGCTTCTCGGCATGGCTGACGAGTTGAGCTGCGAGCTGCTCGACAACTACGACTCGTGCCTGACGGACTCTGGGCTGAAGAGGGACGCGATCCCCAAGCCGTTCAAGTACCTGCCCTGGGGAACCGTTTCGGAGTGCATGGGATACCTGCACCGTCGGGCGGTGGAAAACAAGGGAGCGATCGAGCAGAGCTCGCACATGCTCGGGTCTCTGAAGAGCGAGCTTCGTCGCCGGGTTTTCGGATGAGAACGCCGGGTTCTTTACGTCTTGTGTTTCAAGCGATGCATGATGAATTATACATAGATATCCCATAATGACAGGCAAGAAAAAAGAAAAAAAGAAAAAAAAAAGAAACTCTGAGAAATACCCAAGATGTCACCTTCCCTGCTGCACGATATGACTGTGAAATGAACAGACCCCAGGATGCAAGGACCTGGCCAAGTGAGCGGAGTTTTCATCGCGTGACGGTCCATCCTTTTCTTCCAACTCCAGTTATAGTGCAACCGAGAATGACTTTTCCAGCGGCTCTTCTATCATTCTTGCCTTGGTCACGGAGTTCTTTGACACAAGTAATCCCCTTGACCGCTCACGGCCAATGACTTAAAAGTAGCCGAAGGGTGCCAAGTTTATCGTCGCAGCTTTCGATAACGCACTGGACGCGAAAGGCCCAAGAGCAATCCCGGAGACCAGCAGCTGATAGTCTTCTATCAATGAGCGGTCTGATGCGTAGGGATTCTAGATTAGATCGTCATCACGTTCAGTCTGGGCACCTTGGCCATGTCTTGGACTTAAATCAGGGGTTAGGTCACGTTTATTATAATGAACCACAGCGTCCTAACATATATAAAGAGAAGTAGTTAATTTTCCTAAGTCTAAGTATAAGAGAAAACTTACCTAGAAATACTCTTCCTAATATAGGTCTTATTAGTTAGAGGCACTACTCTATAGTGTCTTTAACTAAAACTAGCTATATAAAGCTATCTTAGCTTTATAATATACCCCCCTAGTTATAAAGTCTATCTCTATAACTAGATAAAAAACTATAGATATTTTTATAATAAAAAAAACAAGATAGTTATTAGTTAATAATAGCCTTTTAAGCTAATTAATAAGTAATAAAGTAAATAATAGTATTATATAAAAGGTCTTTTAATATTATATTTTATTATTTATTATTATTTACTATAGTAGTAGTTTTTTTTATTTCTTAAAGTACTTATTTTTTTTAAAATAAGTAATAACTAACTACTTACTAGTTAAATAATAAATATTTCTTAATATCTTATTATTTAACTTTTTTTTTTAACTAATAACTTATTAAGTAAAGTAAGTTAATATTCTCTTTACTTACTATATATTCTAGTTTATATAGTAGTTCTAAAGCTATTTTTAGATAGCTAATAATTAAAAGAAAATAAAAAAGAAGTTATAGCTTTTTTTTTAACTAGTAATATATTTTAAGTAGCTTAAGTTTCTTAGTTAATAATTAACTTTACTTTTTAAGTCTTATAGTTTTTTTAACTAAGAAATTATTTAGATTTATATTTTTACTAATAATCTTTTTTAATAAAAGAATATATTTATACCTAAGTTTAGACTCCTTAGCTTATATAGTAGTTTAATAGCTAGAACGTTTTTTAAGTTATATCTTTAATTAAGTATAATATCTAGTTATAATCTTACTAAAGGTATCCCTTTAAGTGCCAGGTGACCCCATTTCTACCAAGGGCGGGGTAGAGCCAATGCATTTGCAGCATTAAGTCTAACAAGCCAATAGTTTTGTAGTACCTCTATTTATATAGCGTTTTGCCTATGCTATAAGTACTAGTAATCTCTACCTTTACAAAGGGGTATATTATAGTCTAAGCAGCCCTGCTAGGTCTTCTGTCGCTGTGTTTGCCTATTACTAGATACTTTACCTAAAGGCTGCCTCTTTAAGCTACTACAATAGGAGTAAGGTTAATTATACCCTTGTGAACCCTAGCGGTAGTCTATAAATAGGATAAACGTATTTCTTTTATAGGACTATTACTAAGGGTTTAAAAACTAGTAACCTTTTGCTAATAGTCTAAACTATTAAATAAGCTAAGTAGAAAGTAGTTACTACTATTAATATTAGTTTATAACCTTTAGCTACTTTAGGCTTCCTCTTAGCTAGAGATAGAAGGTATTTATAATAATAACTTTAAGTAAGAAGGTCTAGGCAATAGCTTACTAAGATCCCTGACGTATATAGTAGTTAAAGTAATACAAGGCCCTTATATAGTCGCTAATATCTACCCTATTTATTATATAGTTATAGTTGTCTATTAGCTAAGGGACTAGGAGGTCCTTCTAGACCTCTAGGCTAAATACCTCCTAGGTAGTCTACTTTACTACTGTCTTACTAGCTAGCTAGTAGCTGTAAGGGGTTGGCACCACCTTCTGACAGGTGTATAGCAACTTGATACGATTAATCTAGACTAAGGAGGGAAGGCTAATTACAGTGGTGTGCGCGTTGTATACGTAAGGTTAAATAGGGATGCTAACTGAGCGCTAACTGAGTGCGCCTGCCTCGCTGGCTTGTGCGTTGTGGTGGGCAAAGCCCTGCCGCACTCACCGTGGCTCTGGCCCATAACATGTGCCCCCTCCCCGCCGGCGGTCGGAAAAATAAGGTTCCCGGGCCCCACTAGCCCTCTGTTGCACATGACCACAGAAACTTAGCCCACAGTTATTACCCAGCGCGGACCGCCTGACGTTTTTTCTTTTTTCCTCTTTTCTTCAGGCCTCTTCTTTGGTATTGTGAGTATCCCTTTTTGCTGTCGCGCGCTGTTGTTGCAAAGTGATCGTTTTGCTGACGCAGTCCCCGTTGATCAGAGACAATCAAAATTAGAAGATACCAGTAAGTTACCCTTGTAAACGCGCGCGCGCGCGCGCGCGCAGACCCGCTGTCAATTCGTCGCTGACTCGTTGCGTTACAGCCCCCTGCTCTCAGCCGGAGCCCCTTGCCCAAGGGCAAGGAGCAGCTCGTGCCCAAGACCCTGTTGCCGCCGTTGACCCCAAGCGCGCCCCCGTTGCGCCAGTCCATGAGTTGACTTGCGCTTATATTGCAGCAGATTAACAGCTAACGTCAAAGATAGTCCCCTTCCCCTGCGCCGCCTGCGGCAAAGAAGGTCCGCCTCTTGGTGGGCGCCATCTGGCGTCCTCCTTGCTGGTTGTGCGCTAACCGCCTGGCGAAGGACCCCGCGGCGCCTCGCTGCGCCAAGAACGCGGCGTCCAGCAGCACCCGCTGCGCTCCTTGCGCGTCAGGCAACTGACCCTGCCTAGAGGGCGTAAGTCCTCTATTTCTCGCGTTTGTTGCTCCTTTTGCGCACTAATCCCTTGTCTTAGATACCTATTGCCTCTATAGGCCTCTATAAGGCCATAGACACTGCTGCCACTGCTGTTGCTAATGGCCCTATAGGGGACCTTGCCCTTTGGGGTGTCTACACTGCCGCCGCCAAGGCCTAGTTGGTCTTGGTGTGCGCTGAGTGGCAGGCCACCTGT